GCAAAAGATAGGAATGATGGAACTCACCTCACTCTTGTTTTTTAGCAGAAAAACCCACATAAAACGTGTACAATCATCAATAAATGTAACATACCACCGGGCACCAGATATATTAGCAATTGGAGCAGGACCCCAGACATCACTATGTATAATATCAAAAGGAGAACAACTGATTGTATTACTTCTGGAAAAAGATACACGAGACTGTTTAGCAAGTTCACAGACATCACATTGAAATGTAGAAACATCAATACTACTAAAAAGACTGGGAAACATGGTTTTTAGGACATGAAAAGAGGGATGACCAAGACGCTTGTGGTGAAGCCAAATAGTGTTGGTATTGGCTGTGATTGTGGTAAGAGCTTTTTGTGGAGGTTTGAAGACAAACAGTGCATCAAGGTAGTACAGGCCATCTCTTTGTTTAGCAATTCCAATCGTCCTCCCCGTGTGTAGATCCTGTAATAAACAGTGGGAAGGGAAAAAAATGGCAGCACAATTAAGATCAACTGTGAGTTTGTAAATAGAAGCAAGGTTCATAGCCAGGTTTGGGACATGTAGGGTGTTTTTCAGATTTAATTTTTCAGAAAAAACAACCGTACCAAGTCCCGCAACCTTTGTAGGTGTCCCATCAGCAGTAGTAATGTGCGTGGATGTAAAACATGGATGATAATTAGAGAGTAAAGAGGGTATGGCAGTCATATGAGATGTGGCACCTGAGTCTAATATCCATTGGGATTGTGAACTCTGTTCCGAAGCATTAAGACAAAAAATATTAGAGGTTTTACCTTGCAGGGCCAAAGAGCTATGACCAGAACCATTTGAGTTATTAAGAGACTGTAACATCATACGAATTTGCTTTAATTCCTCCTGGGAAATGGGCCAAAGATTAGTAGAGCTCTCAACAATAGTGGGAGTGACTGAGTTGGCACGTCCAACACTCATTCCACGTCTGTCTTGGCTTTTCCTTTCTTTCTGTAGATGAGGATAAAGTTTCCAGCATGTATCCACATTATGGTTGGACCGCTTGCAATGATCACACCATCTTCCTCCCTTACTACCCTTAGTTTCCTTAACATCTGAAGGAGTAGATTTGGCAGCAAGAGCTGTACTGTCAATCAGATTTGTATTCATCATTATATTGCGTCTGCTCTCTTCATGTTTGATAGTGGCAATGGCAGAAGATATGGAAGGCAGAGGAGTAATGCCAAGAATTTGACCCCGAGTCTGATCATATTCGGGATTTAAACCAGACAAGAAGCAATATAGACGTTGCTGATTTATATAGTTCTTGTGAAGAGCTGCATCTGCAGCATTCGACCACTTCATCGTTTGATACTGGTCAAGTTCAGACCATCGTCGTTGGAGGTCAGTTGCATAATCTGTGACAGATTGTGAATCTTGCTTAAGATTCGTTGTTTTGAGCCATAAGTCATAGACAAAAGCGCCATCTTTAGCAACAGAGTAGGACTGCTGTATGAAATCCCAGATTTCTTTAGCCGAGTCCATGTATAAACATGTACTGCTAATGTTGGGATCCATAGAGTCCCATAACCAGACCCGTACGTTGGCATTAGTTTTCTCCCAAATAGCAGCATCAATCTCTCCTTCTTCTGGGGTAGAGACAGTGAGATAATCTTCAAGATCTTTGCCACGTAGAAGAGTGTAAACCAGCTTTGACCACCCAAGATAGTTCCTGCCATTGAGACGGTAAGATGACGGGATAGAAGGGAGATCAAATTTCTGGTTTCGAAGAGCAAACGCGGCTGCAGTACCAGCTGAAACAATGGTTGAGTGATCAAGGTTACTTGAGGCTGATTCGGCTTCTTTAGACATGATAAAACCCTTGATGAAGAGACTCCACCGGGAGTTAAAGAGAGAGAAGGGTAGAGACACCCAAAAAAATGACCGTTGGAGAGGTGATAGACTGACTCAAAAAAGGCTTAGACGAAACCAAGCTCTGATACCATGAAGTTTTCTGAATATTATTTCCTTGAATTCATTTACAAGAAGTACATAAGCTATTTATACAGATAGGAATCCTGAGAGAGTCTATTCAGCACCCTAGGTGACTGTCTAAATACTAAACATAAATGATTGAGAACTGAAAAGACAGCAGCTATTAAATACAACCTGAAGCACTAAAGATACATAATTACAGTAATAATAAGGAAAATAAATCCTAGATTAATGATGTCTCTTCGTTTTATCAACAGTTTCTTACACCTAAAACATAATCCTTTCGCCCTCAATTCTGCGAACTCCTTTGGCGGAAGATGAGTGAACTGAGAGCATGTCGTAGGCTGCCCGGACAGCCCTGACTTCGTCCCTGGAGGCTGCCCCATGTCTTTAGGAAAGCTGCCATTTGATCCTCTTAAGTTGCCACCACTTATGGCCGTGCTGTTACTACCACTTGGGCGTGAAAAACTGCCCGAACGCAAGTCCGTGTTGTTGTGTTGATTTTCCCTGTCTCCATCTTGAAAGAACAAATTGTCCTCAATATCTCTGGCCAAATCCATTGCAATCTCCAGGATGTTTGGCCGCAGCAATCGTAAGGATCCCCGAATCGGTCCCTTCAGCCCATTCATGAAATACTCCAAATAGTGATCATCGGACAACCCAGGAACCTGATTGGCCAACTGCACAAAAATGTTAGTGTATTCTTCTATGGTTTCCAACTGTTTGGCCCCGGACAGCCGTTCAAATCGGTTGCCCTTGAACCGTGAATCAAAACGGGTCACCAGTGCATCTGTGAATAACTCCCAAGCCAGGCCTGGATTCCGTGCCCTCAACCAGGTCAACCAGTACAGGGCAGCCCCTTCCATGGCTACCGTAGCTGCTGCCACTTTGCTTCCAGGTAGGGTTTGATGAATTTCAAACTGCTGCTCAGCTCTGGCCACCCACCCGTCTGATGGAATCTTCGCCGTCAAACGCAAACACCAAGGTTGGAGTTGTGATGCGCGGCAAACCTTCGCCGCTGGGCGCGGTCACTGCTGTAATTCCGACTGCCGCCATGGATGTTTCCGGCGACACCGGCGGCACAAGGGCATGTGTCAGCGCTGCCAGGGAAGCAACGATCTCAGCCATCCGCAAGCCGTGTTCCTCCAGGGTTTGATTCATTCAAGCTTGTTCGGCCTCCAACTCTGTCAAGCGATCATTTTGAGACCTCTTCATCTTGGCGGGACGGGATCCGGCAGGTCAGACCAATTGTTGTGTAACAGAAAAATAAAATCAACGGGTAAACCGTTGCCCAGATAATCAACGATAAAAATAGCGTTAACCAGATCCAAAAGGCTATAACCAATTGGGAGAATTATCAAATAAGCCCTCGAACTTTCATAAAAAGTGCAAATAAGCCCTTTTATAGGAGACTCTGTTTGACCGTCACCATTTTGGACTGTTTCCGGTGGAGTTTTTTGATGAAATTTTTTGAGTATCTTCTTCATTAAGTCTAGTTTATTCATACCAAATTTCAGGTAAAAGTTCAATCGGGAAGGCAGTCAAATGAATTTTTGAAGATAATTGCGCAGTTAGACAGCGCAATATATTTCATAAAATCATTTGACTGCCTTCTCAATTGAATTTTTAGCTGCAATTTGGTACGGGTAAACTAGACTTAATGAAGACGATGCTCAAAAAATTTCATCAAAAAATTCCACCGGAAACTGCCCCAAATGGAGACAGCCGGACAAAGCCTCCTGTAAAAGGGCTTATTTTCACTTTTTATGAAAGTTCGAGGGCTTATTTGATAGTTCTCCCAAACCAATTTTATTCCAAGATAATAAGAATGAACCCTAGCGAGGGTATAAATAGCCTTCTATAAGAAACCCTAATCAAGCCTAAATTAATTAAATCCTAATTAGGCCCATACTAACTCTACTAATAAAAGGCCCAACCCAAAACATAACGTTAACTTAATAATAATAAATAAACTATAAAGACAGCCCGTAACCGGCCCACGGAAGTGGGCCCAAGCCCGGTCCCGCCCCATTCTCTTCCCGCTACCTATTACATTAGTATTATTCAATAAACAGCTTTGGAGAATTAATTATGGGATCTCTGGAATACTTCCAAGATCAAATTAATTCCACTGAGCCCTTTCTTTTAATTCTTTCAATTAATACGTTCATCATAGATTTCAAATTACAGAATTCTCTAAGTTCTTGTTCCCTGCCAGTCTCTCGTTCTCGTCCTTGGGCGAGATCTTGTATGTCTGCTCTTAAGATATATCTTCTGTAACAGAATCTTCAGTAGTGTTATATAACTATCATTTTTTAACGCTTAAAGTTCATTTTTAGATGAATTCCAGTTTTCTTTCAGAAATCTCTGTGATCTTTTTTCTTTATTTTGGGAAATTTGAAAATGCATTGTGGAATTATGTGATACGTTCCTTTCAAGAAATTCTCCATCCTACCATTGTGACTGCTATTTTCAATAATTACCGAATACCAAGATGGGATCATTCGGATGGCTTTCATAGAATTGATAATGCTCGTTAATGTGCAATTCAGACTTTCAGTTTGTTCTTTACAGTTTAAGGTCCATTTTATATACATTGGGGGGTGGGGGTGGGGGGAGCTTCAGACTTATGTATTTTTTAATATATCTGCTATATTTGCTTAACCCTTACAGGTTTGGTGATTCTCTTAGGCATCCTCCCATCAAGCATGATGATTCTTTTCTATCCTCGTCTGTTGGCCTTTTTTTTTGCTTGGAAACATGCATTTGATTTGCAATGTTGTGATTTATCTGCTCCGTCTTTTCATGAAGTATTTCATTATATGTTGAAATATCTATCCTGCCTTTTATATGTATCCCAGTGTTGTCTGGGCTTGTGAAGTTCCGAGAGTATATTATTTAATGAACGTTTTGAATCGCTGCTTGTCTTCAAAGTAGGGGGTTGAATCCTGGGAAGTATCTGATATGATTGGTGTTCTGGATCAGATGTGATTCTTAAAATATAGATCTATATGCAGATCATGTATGATTTCATTTTCTTGCAGGCTCAGGTTATGCTTTCAGAGATCTATCCTGGCAGTTCCCCCGAAATGGGGTCAAAATACTGGGATCAGATTCATGATATGGCAATGATTTCTGTAGTTAAGCGCCTCCTTAGACATTTACAGGAATTACTTGAGCAGGTAAAGACTTTGAGGTTTGAGATTCCATTTAAGCACGGACATTTTAAATTACTGTTACTACTGATGATGATTTACAGTTCTTTTCGTTGAAATATTGAAACCCTATCATTTGCTAAGGTGTGTAGCCTATATGCAGCCCATGATGCTTGATGTAAGCTTGTGTAAAACAACAAGTCAAAAATTGGGTCTTAATCCTAGATCACTGGAATTAGCTATCTGAAACAAAAGATAATATCCTTAGGTCATTCATTAATATCTTCATATTCCATTCTTTTTGGTTATGCACCATGTGGCAGTAAAGCTCTCCCACTTGAACACCATAAGGTCCTTTTCACACCCTCAATCCGTGTTATTTCCAGAGCAGCACATTTGCTCTTTGGTGCCCCTTACTTGTTATTCTTGATACATTTCACCAGTTCGAGGTCGCAAGCAGTTTCTTTCTCTACATCAAGCCATTTTAAATCTCGATCCTCTCCTCTCCTCTCCTCTCCTCTCCTCTCCTCTCCTCTCCTCTCCTCTCCTCTCCTCTCCTCTCCTCTCCTCTCCTCTCCTCTCCTCTCCTCTCCTCTCCTCTCCTCTCCTCTCCTCTCCTCTCCTCTCCTCTCCTCTCCTCTCCTCTCCTCTCCTCTCCTCTCCTCTCCTCTCCTCTCCTCTCCTCTCCTCTCCTCTCCTCTCCTCTCCTCTCCTCTCCTCTCCTCTCCTCTCCTCTCCTCTCCTCTCCTCTCCTCTCCTCTCCTCTCCTCTCCTCTCCTCTCCCCTCCCCTCCCCTCCCCTCCCCTCCCCTCCCCTCCCCTCCCCTCCCCTCCCCTCCCCTCCCCTCCCCTCCTCTCCTCTCCTCTCCTCTCCTCTCCTCTCCTCTCCTCTCCTCTCCTCTCCTCTCCTCTCCTCTCCTCTCCTCCCCTCTCCTCCCCTCCCCTCCCCTCCCCTCCCCTCCCCTCCCCTCCTCTCCTCTCCTCTTTTAGAGCTCAAGCAATGTTTTACTCCTGTTTCGGGTATTTTCTTAATTATTAACGCATAAACCAGTCTCAAATTGTGGGTCCTAGCATAGGTAGGGAAATGACACTACAATTTATAATCGAAGTATACTAATGGAACAAATCTTGAATGTTGTTTCCTTTTTCCAGAACACTATGGGAATCATATTAGGCCAGAAGAAGTACCAAATTTCTAATCGAAACAGACTAACTCTGAAAGGGTCCTCATTTTTGAAGTCTCCACCTGTGGACACTGTGGCAAGCGGCTTAAGTTTGAAAGTTTCATGTCTTTTGAAATGAATTATCACAACACTACAATAATTTCAAAATGCACAGAGTTTAAAATTGTGTCTTTTGTTGCTATTCACGATGCATGCATATTTGATAGTGAAATATGTAATCGGAATGGTGGAACAATTTTCTGGCCCACTCCCAATTTCTGAGGCTATGTTGTTTGGCTTGTCAGGCATTATTTTTTATTTTCTTTAATGTGTTCGATAATAGTTAGATTTACCAAAAATTACTTCGGTGATAGTCTTTTCTTTCAGGAAAAATCTTCAGATCTTCAGGTAATTTTATCAGGAGAGGAGCTTGGTTCATCCTCAAAGGAGTTCAACCGGCAAGGGCATAGGGAACGCGCTCTTGTTATGCTTCATCAAATGATTGAAGATGCTCACATGGGAAAAAGACAGTTTCTTAGTGGTAAGCTCTCTGTACCTTTCTTGTGTATCTGTTGAGTGCTAACTGCTAACCATGAATATACATGACGATTCTTTTGGAATTCAGGCAAGCTTCATAATCTTGCAAGAGCAGTTGCTGATGAAGAAACAGAAAGAGATAACTTTAAAGGGGAAAGTTCATATTCTGATAGGAAAACATCTCTAATGTGTGCTGTAAATGGGGTTTTGGGGCTTGGCTTGAAATCTTCGAAACAAGAATCACCAACTTCTGCAGCCGGTGAAAGTAATATACAGTCTGCTAGCCATGTCTGCAGAGAAACAGGGAAGAGATTATTTGGTCCTTTAAGCTCCCGGGTGGTAACATATCTCTCACAATTTGTTCTCTACATTGCTGCAATTGGTGACATTGTTGATGGGACTGATACCACTCATGACTTCAATTACTTCTCTCTCGTTTATGAATGGCCTAAAGATGTGAGTCTTTTCTGGTATAGATTCTTCCACTTACATTGTCACTCCTTACTTTTTGAGAAGTCCCAAGTTTTCTTCTTGACTTGAGACTTGCAAGTATATAAGTCCATGGTACATATGATAACATATTCAATATTAGCATGAACTTGATGGATAGAAGTAGAGAAAAACCTGCATAACCAGCTTATATCTAGTTTTATATGAGCTACATTTTATTTCTATTGCCTGGACGGTTTAAAAACTATGTTCCCCAATCCTTTCTTTTACCCCCTTTTGGAAGAGCAGCCGGAATGGTGACATGTCAGGAAAAATGCAGAACCTGCAAAATAAATAAATAAAAGATCTCTGACTTGTCTTTTCCATTTTAATGCAGATGTGAGTAGTTTTAAACATAGCTCAACCATCCTTTCACTTTTTTTTGCACTTCAAAGTATTTTGTCATTGGCTAACGAAAAATTAATTTTCATATAGTACACTCAGTGGTAGTTGAATAATTTTCTACAATCTTTGAGAGAGTGGAGGAGGCTCATACTTTAATTTTAGAAAATTTATCTCTTCCACCAGGAAAAAGTGTGCATTAAAGTAAAAGAGTTTCTCTCTCTTCGACCATGAGAAATAAAGATACATTCACCATTCATATGAAAACTTAAAAATGAGAAGAGGCAGTAGGGAGGTACTGTTCATGACCAGGGATGGATTTAAGGGGGGGCGACCGCCCCCCTTGGACTTTCAATTTTTTTTATTATATATGTAATTATTTCATACTGTAATTAGATATATATGTTTTCGCCCCCCTTAACTTTTAGTTTTAAAAATTTATATATAGCATTACATAATGTAATACATAATTGGAGATTTAAAAAATGTAACATCTAAAATAATTTACTTAACTTGAATGAATAAACTATAGCAGAACCCATTGTTTAAGACATATGACATCTATTATATAAGGGGAAAATAATTTAATTATCCCAAACTTTGAAAATGTGTGATGTAAACACCCCAAACTTTCATATGTAATATTTATATCTCAAACTTTATATAAAAAGTAATATTAGTACCATGAAACTATGTTTTTTTAATTCACAATGTATATTTATGATGTTTTAACTACATCTCTATAAATGTTTAACTATTTTAAAACATGTGCTTAACACCATAAGTTTACATTTTTGAATAAAAACTATATAGTAATGGTGATAACATAACTTTTTATGTAAAGTTCGGGGTATATATATTACACATGTAGGTTTGGGGTACTTAACTCACCCTTTTAAAATTTGGGGTATTTAAATTATTTTCTCCATTATATAAAAATTTCTAGATTTGTAATATTTAATTGTCTTTATTAGATAATTAGTACTCAATTTTGTAAAATATCGAACAATATTAAATAGCATACACACTAGTTAAATAATTTTTAGATCATGTGAAGTGAATCTAAAATATAAATGTTTATTGACATTAAATTGCACAATTCATTTACTTATTACTTTCTAAAAACAATTTGTTGAATATATAGATAATAAACTTGAACTTACTGTAGCATTAATACAAATACAATATGCACCATATATGTGAATTAACAATACTATGTATAATATTATTCTAGAATAATAATATCACACATACTATTGTAATATTAAGAAAACTTCTCGTGATCCACGAACACCATCCTTAGTAAACAAAAATTGCAATTCAAAACCAATTCTTTATTCTAATAAGATCCATATGGATAAACAAGGCAGAAGTTATTTAAAAATCTTGGTTGATGTGTACCTTTTAAACTCTTTATCTTCAAATAATTTTCATTTGATTTGTCATTTCTTATGCTTTAATGTATCAATACTTTTTTTAGAGCATTTACAATTAAAAAATTAAAATTATTTTTCCATTGTTTAAACATAGAATGTAATATTCTTTCAAAAAAAAACTTAGAATGTAATAGATTTAAATATCATCGTGTATGTACCGATGGATTTTTTGAATGAAAATTAGGCGCAAAGCTCTATGCTAGCAAAAAAAATCACCCCACTACACAAGCGGAAAAAATTGCCACGATACACTAGCGAATTTTTTTCGCCCCCTATACTAACAGAAAAAATTCGCCCCCCTTGACTCGGTATCCTGGATCCATCCCTGTTCATGACAGTTTATTGATTTAAAAGGAGAAGTTATTAACAGATTTGGGCCACATGGTTGTGGCTTTGGTATCATATTGAAATTGGTCTAGTCAAACATCCGGGTGGTAGGTCATTGCAACGACCTCAAGTAGCTAATATACATAAGAATGCGAGATATGGTTTGTTATGTAATTGCTTGGAAACATTTGTAACCTCTTTAATGGTCTAATATAAATATGGATACTTGGGACCTACAAATTGAGATGTTCTTTATTTTCTAAATTTAGCTAGTCAGCCAGGCGCTGTCTTAGCAACCTAAAATCGAAGAACGGGGTGGCACATACAAAAATTAATTCACCACCGACTTCCATTGTTTTTTTTTTGTTTGCATGAATTGATTGGAAATTAGTTAAAATTTGAGAAATTGAGTTCGAGGATGCTTCAGGCAGATCAGTCTTGAAAAAGATATATCAATGCTGGTTGGGTACAATAGAAAATGTTGAGTTATTGTTTATAAAAAGAATACTTTCTTAAGGATAAATGTAAATAATAGCTTCATTGATAGTTTTTTTATATCATATAAACTTTTACAGATTTATGAGTTGATTTTACAAGTCGAATTTACAGCAGCTCCACAAGTTTACATAAACCCTCGAGTGTGACAATCTTGTGCGTAAGGGCGTAACACTACCGACCTGAACCTAGCATGCTAAGACTGCTATGCTTAACAATAATTGTCATCTTTAGTCCTAGATGATTAGTAACATCAAACAACAGTGATTTTAACAGTCCATCAATGGAGAGACTGATTCCGGCACCAACTTAACGATTGATGGACAAAAAAACGACCAATATAACTGGGGGTTGATTTGACAACTGTCTTGTTAATTGAGGGACTGACAATAAATTTTTCTTATTGTTTATTTATACCTAAACTCTTTGGGATTAAGGCTTGGATATTGTTATTGTATTTGTTTATTTATCTTTTTGAACTGGTGAAATTTTGGTGTAAGGATTTTCTTGCTCTGCACCCTTTCTCATCTTAAAAAGAAGTGCAATGTGATTTGCTAGGTCAGTGGCTCATCCTTGAAACTCTTTTCATGATAATTTTTTACAGCTTTTAACTCGTCTTGTCTTTGAGCGAGGCAGCACTGATGCAGCTGAAAAAGCAGCAGAAATAATGGCCGCTGATTTTGTGCATCAAGTCATTTCGGCATCAGTGCCTCCAGTATACCCTCCAAGATATGGTCATGATTGGGCTAGTATCGCATTGGTCCCTACATTTCCTAAGAATTATTTCAGAAACAGTGCAGTTTCACCTTCACGCGAACCTAAGCTTGATCTTTTTAGCCAATCCCCATCAACTCCTGGGTTACATTTATACCCTCTCCAGCTGGATATAATAAAGCATCTTATCAAGCTATCCCCAGTTAGGGCTGTCTTAGCATGTGTGTTTGGTAGCAGTTTACTTCACCGTGGGAGTGTACCTTCCATACCCAGGCCATTTCATGGCGGCATGATACCAATATCTGATTCAAATAGATTATTTTATGAATTTGCACTTGATCAATCTGAGAGGTTAGTGTGTAACTGGTAGATGTTTGTCCTTGCTCCCTGAGTCCCTGCTATGTATGCGGTTAATTGAATTCTTAATTTTAATAAATAGGTTTCCTACTCTGAATCGCTGGATACAGATGCAAAGCAACCTTCATAGAGTTTCAGAATTTGCTGTAACGGCTGACCATGCAAAGAATGATATCATCGAACCTGAAAGTAGGGGATGTATGAAACGGCTTCGTGACTATGGAAGTGATAGTGAATCAGAAATTGATGAAAACACCGTAAGCAGCAATAATATGATAACAAGAGTGCCAGATGTAAAAAATGAGGAAACCATGTATCCTGATCCTTGGGGCGATCCTCCAAAGTCTATACATTCTGAGTGTGATTCAGTTCTTCTTTCCTTTGACTGGGAAAATGAAGGCCCTTATGAAAAAGCTGTTTCACAGTATGTTCTGACCTCATTTCTGCCTTTTCTGAACAGTCGATGTTTATTATATTTGTTTTGTTTGAGTCGGTTCTGACGTCCTATTGATCAATCTATTTTGGCAACAAGGTGACCTATAGTCTTTTTCTTCCCAAGCATGATGCTCTTCTATTATGATTACTTAAATTTGCGATCCTTTCCTCAAATTTCTGTTTGATTTTCCACTTCAGGATGAATAGCATCAATTGAAACTATTGTTGCCGTTGTGATATTTGTATGCTGGTTCTTTGCATATAAATTCTGCCTCTTCTTTTCAGTTTTTTTCCTTTTAAACAAAGAACTGGTGTCAAGATTTCACAATGCATTCTCTGGGAGTGTGGATATTATAGATAAAGCAATGACATTTATTTTCTGATACAGCTTAATTGATGAAGGAAAGTTGATGGATGCTCTTGCTATTTCTGACCGCTTCTTAAGCAATGGTGCCTCCGACTGGCTGCTTCAACTCGTACTCGAACGGGGTGAAGAAAATAACTCGGGGCAGTCTCAAGGTTACGTAGGAAATCACATCTGGAGCAACACTTGGCAGTACTGTCTAAGGTTGAAGGATAAGCGACTTGCTGCTACACTTGCCCTCAAGTATGTTCCTTTAAATGTTGGTTCTTTGAAATCATTACTGCTAGTTGTTGCATACATTTTTTGTTAAACTGAATAATATCCTGCAATAATTATTGTCTATTCTGTACTAGTCTCCGGGAAATGCTTATCATTTTGTCCACTGATTTTTTTTATTCTTTTCCCAACAGTATGAATCCTCTTTTAACTTGGCTGGTGTGTGACTTACCATATTGAAGAGAATAGATTTTTTATTGAGAACTATGTTGCATGTGCACATACACTCACGCGTATACATTGTGTGCTAGAATAAACCTAACCATGGTGGGGCTTAGCCTGATCAGGTGTCAGATCAGTGCTTACCCTTCATTTAGAGGTGCAGATATAAGTTGTTTTTATCCCGATTAATGCATCAATTCAACACTCTCCTTTCTCATATTTTATTAGCTACTTTGTTAAGCTTTACTTCTGGCGAGTTTCTTTTCGTCGTTTTTCTTGGAGTTCATCATAACACCTTTTCTCTTCCAGACAAAAATATGGTAGGTTTCTTAGTATATCCATAACAACAATAGCTTCAAGACTCGGTCAGTGTCACAACACTACATTAGATGTTGCACCATCAGAAGTATATGCAAAGGTCTTTATTTAATGGAATTCATCATTTACTGTTACAAAGTCCTTAAGGGGGACGTGGATACTGTCTTACAAGCACTGCAGGCTAGATACCTGACACATGTCTTCATATCCTAAGCATAACTGGTAAAAAGAGTTGTAGAAAGTAAATTACATCAGACTATTTGGAATAAACAAGGAGAAATACTCTAGAAGAAGACTTACTATTTATAGTATCTGTCAACAATAATGCCGACCTTGATTCGAATGAGATTCGAACTTTCTAAATGTAGTATGATTACTATATTGTCATTAATTTCCTTTGTTAGTATTAACAGTAATTTATTATTATTATTATTATTATTATTATTATTATTATTATAGATTTTCTATTGTAGTTAACATTCCTAATAGCAGTATAGTACTACGTAATATGTTTACAGTTACTCTAACACTAATCCACACATAACTGTGCTCTATTCATTAATGGTATCATCAATAATTTTGGAGTCATTTTTTGAGGACTGTCAAGGTTGGACCGTCGGACACCACCTTCAATTGCCTAGTGCGAGGAAGATCTTCATCTTTATTGATTTATATATCTTCGTTTTATCTTCTAACCACGGCTGTAATATGGTATTTATAAATTTCATTTGTTTTTACCATCTTTTATTCCCGGTGAACACTGGGATGAGCAGATAACATGTGTTCTTTTTTTATGATATTTCTTTCTCATTTTAAATATATGTCGAGTGACATTTCTCAAGGACGGATGCCTCTTCTCTTAGATATTTGCATGGATGGGAGCTGGATGCTGCACTGGATGTCCTTACTATGTGCAGCTGCCACTTGCTTAATACAGACCCTTTAAAAGATGAGGTAGTGTTGTGATGGTGTATATTTAGAAATTTATCTTTTATTAATTTAAGTTGTGACAATTTGAGTATCTGATATCAAGCCAACATAATCCTTTACCAATCAATTTGCATAAGGTTTACACAGAATTATGCATTTTGTTACTTGTTCAAGTGTGTGAAGTTCAAAACTCTAAGTGCTCTTGATATGGATTTAAAAAAAACTTCAATGTAAGGCTTTCTTGTGTATAGACACATATCCTTTGAAACTCAGATGAAGTTATCCTCCATACTCTGAAGACAAACCATGGGCTAAACCCGTATTGCAGTCCATTAAACTAATTGATCTTGTCAGATGTTATAGGACCTGTGAAAATCATTTGGTACAAACAGTTTTTTGTTTCTCCCATTAGTCCCATATAGAACAATTTTTTCTAGGCAAAACCTGTTCCTCCAGCGAAGCATAGGAGTTAGGACATGTGAAAATCATTTGGTTAAGTGAAGGCTGCTGTGTTTTGAAGGAACTTATGACTTTGTATGGGATGTTAAAGTACAAAGATTTGTGGATTAATGAAAAAACAAGAATTTCTTTGGGTGGACATAGAAGAAATGGAAGCGATAGATATACTCAAAGTATATATGTATTGTTTCATGATATAATAATGGAAAATATAGTCCCTAGATTAACTTCCAACCACCACATTATTTGTCATGCACAGTAACAAACTGATATGTCTTTCTCTCTTACAAGGTGGAGCGAATGAGGCGAGCCCTGTTGAGGTTCAAGCATATATTATCCGCTGATGACCTCTACAGTAGTTGGCAGCAGGTAATAATTTTTCTTCATTTTCGATCAGTTCCATAGCAAGGAAAACAGGTGGAAGATTTTTAAGCTTCGTGGAGACTTTTTCTCTTCATTTTATTGAACAACTCTGCCAACTATTTCAGGTTGAGAGACATTGCAAAGAAGATCCTGAGGGCCTTGCACTTAAACTAGCTGAGAAAGGAGCTGTTTCTGCTGCTCTTGAAGTTGCTGAAAGTGAAGGACTTCCTATTGAACTACGGAGAGAATTGCAAGGCCGACAACTTGTAAAGCTCTTGACTGCAGATCCTTTAAATGGTGGAGGTCCTGCCGAAGCATCGCGGTTTCTTTCATCTTTGCGTGACACTGCTGATGCTTTACCTGTTGCAATGAGTGCAATGCAACTTTTGCCAAACCTCCGATCAAAACAGCTTCTTGTAATTGTCCATGCCCGTGTAATAAATTAATTGCTCTTGCAACCTACTATTAGTGTTATCAAAGTTTTCGTATTCCTTTCATCTCTTCAGGTTCACTTTTTCCTGAAAAGAAAGGATAACAATTTGTCTGAGGTGGAGGTTTCCAGGCTCAACTCATGGGCATTAGGTCTTCGTGTCTTGGCTTCCCTGCCAATACCATGGCAGCAAAGGTGCTCTTCCCTTCATGAGCACCCTCATTTGATTCTTGAAGTTCTGCTGATGAGGAAACAACTCCAGTCTGCTTCTGTGGTAATAACCAGACTCTAAATGGCACATTTACAGTTCATCCATAAACATATTGCTTCTTTACGGCATATTGACTAACATCTAGTTCATTTATTGTTTAATTATGTGCAGATTCTTAAAGAGTTCCCCTTGTTGAGGGACAGTATGATTATTGCATATGCTGCTAAAGCTATTGCTGTTAGCATTACTACACCTTCTAGGGAGACACGAGTTGCAGTTACAGGTCAAAGGTCAAGACAGAAAAAAACTGGAACATCTACACGGTCATCCTTTACAAGTAGCCTAAGTAACTTGCAAAAAGAGGCTAGAAGGGCCTTTTCTTGGACTCCACGCAATAGCGGAGATAAATCTGCCCCAAAAGATACATACAGGAAGAGAAAGACCTCCGGATTAATGCAATCTGAAAGAGTGTCATGGGAGGCAATGACTGGTATCCAGGAAGACCGTGTGTCCTCTTTTTCTTTGGATGGGCAAGAGCGACTCCCTGCGGTTACTATTGCAGAGGAGTGGATGCTCACAGGAGATATAGAGAAGGATGAAGCTGTTCGGTCTTGTCATCGTTATGAAAGTGCTCCTGACATTACTCTTTTTAAGGTATACTGTAGGTTTTTCATTAGCAGAATAAAAATGTTGGATGGCTGAATATTACACTCTCCGTCCCTTAAAACTTTGCCAGCTTTGCTTTTTTGGTTGTCCCACTAACTTTGCTACTTTCCCTTTTAATTAAAGAGTTTGTGGTTCCAGATAATTCTTTCCCCGTTGCACAAACCTCAACCACACAGTTTTTACTTTATTATTTCCCGTGCCGGTAAAACTTGGACAAGTTTTAAGGGACAGAGGGAGTACATATTTACCGCTGTAATGTATGTAGTATTTGCTATCACACCCCGCTGTCACAGCATACAGTATCACAATATTATTCTACCTCCAAATAATGAAGTAATGCATTTTTGATATTGTACAAGCTATCCCATCATTGTTTCATCACAGCCACAGTCATCTGCCCAATATTCCTACATCGGTTTTAGCACATAGGTTTTGGGGCAGCTTGTCTACATTTTATACCTATATGTGTTTTCTTCTCTCATCTGAAGAATACAAAATATAAGTTTTCTTCTATTTCAACATGGTATGAGAACCTGATTTCTGTTGCCTGATTCCTTATCAATTTTTTTCTATTTCTTCCTTTCTCAAAATGGAACTCTAAAATGAAAAATATCCGCTAGCGAGCCTAGCCATCATTTGCAGTCTATAATATCATCATTACGCACCACTGTGTCCTTATCCAATCCAATGAATACAAGCTGGCTTGTGAGCTATTTGTCTCCCTGCTTTTCCAATCCAAACTCCAGAACACTTGGCAGCCAACCAGCAATCCTTCTGTTGTTATTCCATAAGTTTCTGAGTTAATAGAATTACTGTTCTGACCTGCCAGACTCTTATAGAAACTTGGCAGCATTTATTTCAACAAAAAATCTATTGTTTCTTCGTTTTCTTTTATCCTGACTTTCTAGAGCCGAGCTTTTAATATGCTCCCGTTGTCCCAGGTGGGTTTGTTCTACTTAATGAGCACCTTTATCTATGTCCTTTCCTCCCTTTTATCCATAGAATGTATGGATTCTGTCACCATAGTGGTCAGAGGTTACAGTATTAAACTTGGCCACATCTCTATTTTATCATCATTGGAGGTTTGGGTTTAGGGCCCGGACTCTAGGACAATGTAGATACCTGTTTGCAGACCATGAATGTTGTTTTAACGGTTTTAAGATTATCCATCTCTAACACCAGGAGACGGAAGGACAATGTTATGTTTCCATGTAAAAATATTTCATTATTTTGCAATGCAGACAACTTGAATGTTTGCAGGTTTCTGTCTGTAGAGAAGAATAATTAAAGGCTGGAATGTTATAGAAGTTTCTTATTAAAACTCAAGGTCCTTACTTCATTCCTCTTTTTATCTATGTAAAACCCACTTTAAATCGATCTGAATACAACCAAGAAACTAAGCAAGAGCTCTTCAAAGAAACACCACTGACAGTTATTTTATAATATTATATCTTTTTTCCATTTCTTCCCTTTATTATTGAAAAGGAATTCCACTGAATGCTCCTTGGCATTCTTGTGCTTTTCGTGCTCAATTATGTATAGAAAGCTGCCTTTATCCAGATATTCTTGCCCCTTCAATTATTCCGGATGCATGCATAACATACACACGTTTTCAGAAGGCTTTAAATGTTATTTTCCTCCCACAACACACAAGCCCAGTCCTTTTTCCCGAACTCATGTTGCTCCACATAATGCTTCTCACTTTATTCCTCGTATCCGCACAAACATTGACCCACCTATTGATCTTCACGTTAGTCCTACTATTGCTCCTGGAAAAACTGTATGACCTTTCCTGCAAGCTTACCAACAATGAAAATGTCCTTTGAGCAATCCGAAAAGAAGGTAAATGTCAGAGCTTTTCATACCATATCTAGCCCAGGTCCAGGCTCTTTCTACGAGTCTTATGTAGCATCTCCTACAATCCTCACTCCATCTGTAACTTCCTGTTATATCCCTGATTTTATCCATCATGCTATGCCTTGGAGAGTTGGAGTCCAGTATATCTTTTATTTCCATTCTAAAATAGTTCAGGAAGCACTTTCCCATACAGATTGGTATCATAAATTTTAATAAAGGGTAGCATTTGGGGTTTGATACTTCAATGGATCATTTTTGGCTTGGAAATTAGATATGGTATTGCACTATTGCCATCATTTTAATGATCAGATGGCTGCTGAAGGTAGGTAAGCATGGTCTCAATGTACGCTAGATATTCTTAATATTTTACGAATCCAATTATTATCATGAATTTCTTGCATGCATGTTAATTGTAGAGATGAACAGTTTATCATGATTTTCTTGCATGCATGTTATTTGTAGAGATGAATGATTTATCATTTAAGCTCTCATTTGTTGTATTCAAGGCACTTCTTTCACTTTGTTCGGATGAGAGTGCATCAGCCAAAGCTGCTCTTGACTTGTGTGTTAATCAGATAAAAAGTGTTCTAACCTCCAAACAAGTACCTGAAAATGCATCAATGGAAACTATTGGTCAAGCATATCATTTGACAGAATCTTTTGTGCAGGTACATACTTTTTATTCCTTTGAGATTTTTTACTCGACCTTGGCATGCTGGGATAATTTTTCATGAATGCTCTTGTAGGGTTTGCTCTTTGCCAAATCATTGCTAAGGAAACTTGCTGGGAGTAGCGACATGTCAGTTAATGTGGACAGAAGTAGAGATGCTGATGATTCGTCTTCTGATGCTGGCAGCTCTAGTGTGGGCAGTCAATCAACTGATGAGTTGTCAGAGGCACTAGCACAAGTTGAGATATGGCTAGGACGTGCTGAATTGATGCAGAGCCTTCTTGGTTCTGGAATAGCTGTGTCTCTTGATGATATTGCCGATAAAGAGTCAGCAGAACATCTTCGAAACAGACTCATTTTAGAAGAGAAGTATAGTATGGCTGTATATGCATCCAAGAAGTGCAAGGTACATACAATATTGCCTTCTATGCTTAGTTGAACCAGTGTGAGTCTTATAGACAAATTACATATTTTAATTTTCATGATACTTACTACCACTAGATTGATGTTTTTCCTGTGTGGAATGCGTGGGGCCATGCTCTACTCCGGATGGAGCACTATGCACAAGCTCGAGTAAAATTCAAGTACGATATTCTTTTGCTTCCATTAATAAGTATGTTTTTAGTAGTTATCTTCATTCTCACGAAGATATTGCAATATAGTATTGTACGATAAATAATTTATTGTTTTGGAAACCATTGTATGCCTTACTGTTGAGCTCGCAATGTATAGACAAGCACTTCAATTACACAAAGGTGATCATGCAAATGTGATTCTGGAGATTATAAATACAATTGAAGGAGGCCCACCTGCTGATGTTTCATCTGCACGGTCAATGTAAGATGTTAAATTTTCTATCAAATAATAAATTTATCATTGAAAAGATCTATAATAAAACATAGGTTGTGTATATTCCACCTTTCACTAAACTTCTCTATTCTCCCTATGTTAGAAATATATGCTAGTTATTTTATGGTCATATGGAAGTGTATAAATACGGTCATATGTAAATATGTTACCATCACTTTGGAGCATACAAATTGGTCTTTCTGTGATTGGAATAGAGGAAATTGGTGGCGTGATAGGTTGCTTTGTGCGTAGTCTGGTGGTGTTGGGTGGCATTGCCTGAGTTTAAGGAGGCAGGCGCCGGTGTCAGTTTGTGGGGTGTTACTGAAAAAGTTATTGGTTGAGAAATCGGTACTGCGCGATGACATGGAAAAGAACTGAGTGTTGGAAAAGATTTAGGCTTGCCGGGATTGGCAATCTCCTGTGCCATGTGAAAGTTTATAAATTATATGTTTGATGAGGATGATAAGAAGTTGTATCCTCATCTATAGTTTGATACTTTGAGTACAAGGAGTGGCATCACCGCATTTGGTTCCCATCTTTTAATTTGACCACATATAGTCCTACATGTGTTGTGGTATTGTCTTATTTAGGCCAGGACATTTAGAAATGAATAATATATTAATATAATATAATAATGTTGAATTTTGAGCTTCTTCATTGGTTGTGTGAATTACGACTCTCATTCTTATTTGTATCCAAGGATTACAACAATAACTATATTTATAGCTATAACTATGGTACAACTAGAGCTAACTACATAAAGTGGGCTGATCCCAATAAGCTAGAATTTTGGGTTTCAACACTCCCCTCAAGTTGGAGGATATAAATCATATGCGCCAAGCTTTTTACAAATGTATTGTATTCGAGGACCTCGAATAGACTTTGTTAAAACATCTGTAAGCTAATCAGTCGTGCTGACATAACTTGTGATGATTTGTCCTTTTAAAATCTTCTCTCAGATGAAGTGATAATTAACCTCAATATGTTAAGTCCTCTCATGAAATACTAGGTTAGATGCGGTGTGCATAGCAGCTTGATTGTCACACATCAATTGCATTGATTTCATGTTTCCGTATCACAATTAATGAAGAAGGTGCTTTAGCAATAAAATCTCACATGCAACAAAGGTCATTGCGCGGTATTCTACTTCAGCACTTGATCTTGCAACAACACCTTGTTTCTTACTCTTCCATAAAATCAAGTTTCCACCAATTAAGATACAATATCTAGAAGTATGACGTCCAATGGTCTGACATCAGCCTAATCTGTATCACAGTATCCCACAATGTTATTAAGGCCTCAGACTTCATAGAGTAACCCTTAACTTGGTATTTTCTTTATGTATCTCAAGACTCGGGTAGCTGAATCCCAATGGCCATCACATGGCTTATCCAGAAATTGGCTAAGCACATTTGCAATAAAGGAAATATCCGGTTTCGTTATTGTGAGATAGTTCAGCTTCCCAATGAGTCTTCTGTAAATATATCGATCTGGTATAAGCTCCCTTTGTTCATGTAAGAGTTTGACATATTGGATCCATCAATGTATCTACGGGCTAACTCTAACATATCTATTTCTTTGAGAATGTCCAACGCATACTTTGTTTGGAAAAGACCAATATCGTTGATACATAAAAATAATTCATCTTCTCCAATTTTTTCTTTTCAGAATTCGCTAGAGATATTCCTTGAGCTGAGTGATACCCTGGTCATCATTACCTATAATGACAATGTCATCAACATATTTAAACCAGATAAATGCACTTGAATCATGTCAAATCTACGAATGACATCACTGAATCTCCCAAACCACACATGCGGAGATTGCTTCAGACCATAAAAGCAACGGCGTAGCTTGCACATAAGGCCAAACTCCCCCTTAGCAACAAAACTCGGTGGTTTCCCCATATAAACTTCCTCTTTGAGATCATCATCTAGAAAGCATTTTTTATATCCAGTTGGTGCAATGGTCAGTGACTCATGCGGTCATGCCCGCCATAGACAAAACTAAGTGAACGAATGCATCTTTGGTCATAGGAGAATATATATCAGTATAATCCAACCCATAAATCTGAGTATACCCCTTCGCTACCAAACCTGCTTTAAAACGGTCAAATTTTCCCTCAGGTCCATCCTTAACAGTATAAACCCACAGATAACCGTACACCAATTTTCCAGGGGGAAGAGGAACTAGAATGTAGAGCCTCCATCTTAGTCAACATGGCGCAACGCCACTCTGGATGTGACTGACGAATCGGATCGAGTCGTATAGTGTGATATTTGTAATTGTATTTGTTTAATTTTTTCGAATACAAACCCAAATTCGAATATTAAACGAATATTAATTTCGATTTATGTTCGTATTCGTTTAACAATACGAATAGTTAATGAATTATATACGAATATCAAATCGATTTGATCATAAGCTAAATATTAGTTAAATATCACTTTAAAACAGCTTTTCCAATAGTTTTTTATGTTATAAATGCATGCTATGACTTAATAGTTATTTTAAATTTAATTTGTAACATTACATTTTTTTAAATTTAATGGATTGATGCATTTTTAGATTGTGCACAATACACTAAAGTGAATCAATTTTATAATTTATATACATAAATCTATTTCAAAGTTTTTGAAATAAACACTAAAACACACTTTAGAAATTATACCTATATTGTGTCAAATAAGTTGATAACTATATCAAAATAAAACGACGTTGTTTAATGTTTGATATTTAACATTGGTTATAATTAAAAAAAACATTAGATATAGGGTTTAAACTGTACACACGGACATATACCAAGTAGTTGATGCGCACACACATACTGGGTATTCATATTTGAAAGATATTCGAACAAAAAATCTGATTTATATTCGTATTCGTATTCTATATTTTCAAATTCAAATCATAGTTCTTGAATCCAAATCACCAATCGAATCAAAATTATTTTCTTCGTTTACAACTCTTATTGCGTATTATAAATGAGCTTGAAATGTGTATACGTAATTGTATATATGGGTTACCATTTGAGGGTATGGTTAGCTTTTAATAGTTATTATAGTATTAATACTATTCTTATTATTACTATTATTATTAATATTATTGTGTTATTATAACTATTACTAATCAAATATATATTTCATTAACATCTGAATCGAACATGCTGATATTCTTATTTGTATTTGATAGCAATTCGAATCAAATTTAGTATTCTTATTTGTATTAGTATTTGAATTTTTTGAATTCAAATAGTCCTATATGAATTCTAATCCCGAGCCGAGCATAAATTATTTGATTCGTATACAACCCTAGATGTGACAGTCTCACAAGTGGTTTTAGGTTTATACACATGAGATAGGTGTGGAATAAATGCATAGTTAGGAGTGATGATAGCTGAGACAATTATACATGGGATGAGAATTCAAAATAGAACGTATACCTTTCCGCAGGGCAATGGGGATATGGTAAAGTCAGTTGTATGCTTGTTACCTATATGATAGTGTTACATTCGTGAATAGAAAAGGCATATAGGATAATAGGATGACCATAGATAATGTTTTCTTTTTACAATAGAGCAGAAAATCTCCTTGTGTTTGGAAATATATTCGTGAATAGAAAAGGCATATACCAAGATTGCCTGTTATATAGATAGTATATGATAGCATCGTGAAAACGCATTTACCAAGATTGCCTACTTTTACCTACCAAGATTGTGTATTATCTATTGATAGCGCTATATTCGTGAATAGAAAAGGCATATAGGATAATAGGATGACTACATGATGATGTTTTCTTTTTACAATAGAGCAGATAATTTCCTTGTTTTTGATAATATATTTGGTTTGCTGCTTGTAATGCATTTTTTACTAATTTGATGGCATTAAATCTCATTAAGACTAACATAATGAGATACTTTTATGCCTAAAATTTGCTCTTGATTGTTAAAAGTTGATGATATTTATCCTCACAACGGTATCTAAATCTGAGGAGTGCTGTTTGCCTGGTAGATGATTTCAGAGGTGTGGAGAGGAGGCAGGGAGGGAATGATCTAGACATACGTGGATTAGAGTAATCAAGAATAATATGATACTTATTGGGTTAGATGAGAGCATTACTTCGGAGAGAGCGGAGAAGAGGGAAATTATACGTGCAGAGGATTGATCTAGTTTTGTTTGTCTTTTTCTCTATTTATTATTTTTAACTTCGAAGTCATGAGATGATTCATGTTAGCCGACCCCAAACTGTTTTGGAACTAAGGCTTGGGTGTTGTTGATGTTGTTTAGTAAATGTTACACATAATTATTGGCCGATAACAGCTTGATTGCACTTTTGTGAAATCTGAGCTTCTGAGCAAGTTTATAACATATACTCCCTCCGTCCCATTTTGGTTGTCCTACTTTCCTATTTGGTTGTCCCAAAATGAATGTCATGTTTCCCTTTTTGGCAAGAAATATGTGGTCCTTATCATTTCACTTTATTCTACTCAAATCCCAACCACAACTTTTTCTTTTTGACCACTTTATTAATAATTGTGCCAAATTAAAACAGGACAACCAATATGGGACGGAGATAGTAACATTTTAGATAATTTACAGGTATGAACATTTAGCTAGAAGTGCCCCCGCAATTCTTGATGATTCTCTGTCTGCCGATTCCTATCTCAATATTCTGTACATGCCGTCTACATTCCCACGCTCAGAAAGATCCAGGCGATCTCAGGAATCATCAAATGATCCTTCTGCTAATGATGCTGATGTTGATGATGAACCTCATAGCAACTTGGATAGTGTTCGATACATTGAGTGCCTTAATTATTTTCAAGAAGTAAGTTCGAATACTACCTTTTCATATCGTAAGTTTAATATCCTTTTCGTTTTATTGGGTTTTCTGTTTCTTTCTGTTCTATGTTTTCATGTTATCTTCCTTCTGTGTACAGACATTAGAAGCTGCTAGATATTTTTTGACTAAATAAAAATTTTCTTCTCTTTTCTAAAGATCTACTTAGCCACCCCCTCCTAGGTCCCACTGTTCTCTTGGCACCATCCTTGTGTCCCTGTTTTAGTCTATTCGGTAAAAACAATGTTTATCTGACTAGTAGGGTGCGCAGACCTGACATACTGGGTGCCTAAAATTGTTTTTTTAGATTCAAGTCCACAACCTTAAATATGCATGTCAAGTACACTACCGACAAAGTAGCAAACTAAGAGAATTATGTCCCGATTACAAACAATTTTATGTTATACATTTATCAAATACATATTGTTTTGTTGAGGTACCTGCTAAGTTATTAATCATTTTTTTTGCATTTTAGATTGTGTCATTAATCCATGTTTGATATATGCATGTATGTACGTATGTATCATGTATGTTGAGTATTATATCATATTTATACAACACTATTTATAAAATGTGTATTAGGTGCTGGACTAGCGCCCACAGACCAGCGATTTTATAATTTAGAACATTGAATGGACACAAGCTATTATGTTAGAATGTTCTGTTGCTGTTCCATTACTAATATAGTTTAAACTATGCAGTATGCTCGTCAGCATTTGCTTGATTTCATGTTTAAGCATGGCCATTACCAGGATGCTTGCTTGTTATTTTTCCCACCCTCTTCTGTTCCTCCACCACCCCAGCCATCATCAGGAATTGTCACTTCATCTACTTCTCCTCAAAGACAAGATCCTCTGTCAACCGATTATGGTAACCTTGATATTTTGTGTGATCTTTGCATTGCTTATGGGGCCGTTCCTGTATTGGAGGAAGTGTTGTCAGCAAGAACCTCAACGAGTGCTTCACAAGACCCTTTAGTATATGAGCACACTGTTGCCGCACTTGCCCGCATATGTAGCTATTTTGAGATCCATAAACATTTCAACTATCTTTACAAGTTTCAGGTATAATATCATTCTTTTGTTTTGACTCTGCTTTTCCTAATATGCTTCATACTTCACACTCTAATCAGGAAACTTCACTTGCATGCTCCAATCTGCTTTCAAAATGTCTAAGCTCTTGTCTGGTGAAGCATAGTTATTCATTTCATTGGTCACAATTTATGGAAGGGTGTTGTGTAACAGAAATATAAAATCAACGGGGTAAACCGTTGCCTAGATAATCAACGATAAAAATACCGTTTCCCAGATAATCAACGATAAAAATACCGTTGCCCAGAGCCAAAAGGCTCAAACCAGATTTATTCCAAGATAATAAGAATGAACCTTGGTGAGGAACCCTAATCAAGCCCAAATTAATTAAATCCTAATTAGGCCCATACTAACTCTACCAAGTACTCTACTAATAAAAAGCTCAAACCAAAACATAACATTAACTTAATAATAATAAATAAACTATAAAGACAGCCCGTAACCGGCCCACAGAAGTGGGCCCAAGCCCGGTCCCGCCCCATGTTCTTCCCGCTACATATCAATCCATCCTCCTTCAAATTAACCTTGTCCTCAAGGTTCAAATCTCGCGGATCGGGGACTGAAATTTCCAGCCATAGAATAGACTAAAATCTCTTTCCTGAAATCTTTCCTGAAATTTCACAGTACTCATGCTGTTGGAGGTCCAACTCTTCATGCCCGCAATTGCTTAAAGGGACAGTCATGCCCCGGTATAAATGGTTTCTTACACCTAAAGCATAATCCTTTCGCCCTCAATTCTGCGAACTCCTTTGGTGGAAGCCGAGTGAACTGAGAGCGTGTCGTAGGCTGCCCGGACAGCCCTGACTCCGTCTCCGGAGGTTGCCCCATGTGTTTAGGAAAGCTGCCATTTGATCCTCTTAAGCTGCCATCACTTATGGCTGTGCTGTTACTACCACTTGGGCGCGAAAAACTGCCTGAACGCAAGTCCGTGTTGTAGGGTTGACATTCCCAATCTCCATCTTGAAAGGACAAGTTGTCCTCAATATCTCTGTCCAAATCCATTGCAATCTCCAGGCTGTTTGGCCGCAACAATCGTAAGGATCCCCGAATCTGTCCCTTCAGCCCGCTCATGAAATACCCCAAATAATGATCATCAGACAGCCCAGGAACCTGACTGGCCAACTGCACAAAAAGGTTATTGTATTCTTCTATGGTTCCCAACTGCACAAAAAGGTTATTGTATTCTTCTACAATGGTCTCAGTCCGTTATGATTTATGTGTGTGGAAAAGACAAGGAGGACTATTTGACAGGTGATGCACCTGCTCCAGATCAAGGAGATCCAGGCTACAATAAGTGGAAAAAGGAGAATTATACTGTGATGTCATGGCTCATCAATTCCATGACAACCAGTATAGGAGAAAATTTCCTACTATACAAAATAGCTCAAGAGATCTGGGAGGCTGTGAAAGAAACATACTCAACTTCAGATAACACTTCTGAATTATTTGAGGTTGAATCAATGCTACATAACCATCAGCAGGGAGAATTGAGTGTAACTCAATACTTCAACAACCTTGTGAGACTCTGGCAGCATCTTGATGTGTTTGAGACATACAATTGGTCATGTTCTAAGGATAAGAAGTTATATCAGGAGATCTGTGAAAGGAAGAGAGTCTTCAAATTCCTGTCAGGTTTAGACAAGAGTCTAGATGAGGTTAGGGGCAGAATAATGGGAAAGAAACTCACCCTTAGAGAAGCCTTCTCAGAAGTCAGAAGAGAAGAAAGCAGAAGGAAGGTAATGATGGGTCTGAAATCTCAAGGCCAACAACAAAATATTGAAGGGTCAGCCTTATATACCTCTTCCAGACAGAATGAAAACAAGAAAAAAGGGAGGCCATGGTGTGATCACTGTAAGAAACCAGGCCATACCAAAGAAACATGCTGGAATTTGCATGGTAAACCTAAAGATTTCAAACCAAACCAAGGGAAAGGAGCCTATGTAGCTACTGGAGATAAAGAAGATATGGGCACTTCTAATCTTGCTGCATTTACCAATGAGCAGATTGAGGTTCTTCAACATCTAATAAGTCAGAGCAAGGGGCCTGCACCATCAACTAGCCTTATTGCTCAGACAGGTAATGCCCTAACAACCCTAGTTGCACACAATCAGCCCTATTGGATTGTTGATTCAGGGGCATCAGATCACATGACTGGAGATAATAAGTTTTTTGCTGAACTGATCCGTATGAAGAATAAGGTAACTGTGAAGATTGCTGATGGAACTACTTCGGCAATAAAAGGGACTGGAAGAGTCAAAATTTCTGACAAGATATTGCTTAACAATGTGTTATATGTTCCAGATTTAAAGTTTAACCTCTTATCAGTCAGTAAACTGAATAGTGATACACATTGCCTAACTAAATTCTCTTTCACAATTGTGTGAATTTCAGGATTTGGATTCGGGAAGGATGATTGGCAGTGCTAAGTAAAGTGGTGGACTCTATCTTCTGGAACATTCACCACATTCACCCAACTCCACCAACAAGACAACTTCCAGTGAGAGTCAATCAACCATAAGTCCTTAGGGAGTCTTAGTAGGAGTCAATTTGATACTCAAATTCAGTTATGGCATTATCGTCTTGGTCATCCTAATGTCTTGTACTTAGAAAAAATATTTCCTTCATTATTCATAAATAAAAGTTCTGCCTTTGATTGTGAATTTTGTCAACTTGCTAAACATACAAAAAGTCACTATCCCAGTCTACCTTACAAACCATCTAAACCTTTTTCTCTCATCCACAGTGATGTTTGGGGCCCATCTAAGGTCAAAAATCTCACTGGCTCAAGGTGGTTTGTTCTGTTTATTGATGATCATACACGTCTATCCTGGGTCTTCCTCATGAAAGATAAGTCAGAAGTCAATATTATCTTTCAAAAATTCTATTCTATGATCAAAACGCAGTTTCAAACCAAGATTCAGGTTTTTAAAACTGATAATGCCAAAGAATATTTCTCATCCAATTTAGGAGAGTTTCTGTCAAAAAAGGGGATTATACACATTAGCTCCTGTGTTGACACCCCACAATAGAATGGGGGTGGCAGAAAGGAAGAATAGACACTTACTGGAAGTTGCTAGAGCCCTTATGTTCACCACTCACACTCCTAAACACTACTGGGGAGAGGCTGTCCTAACTGCAGCTTACCTGATAAATAGGATGCCCTCCAAAACTCACAAATTTAAAACACCATACCAAATCCTATCTTATCTACATCCTCACATCCCTATTACCAATCTTCCACCAAAGGTCTTTGGTTGCAAAGCATTTGTTCACAACCATTCTCCAGTTAGGTCAAAACTGGATCCTAAATCCTTACCTTGTATATTCATAGGATATGCTGCCAACCAGAAAGGATATAAATGTTATTCTCCTGCCAACAAAAAGGTCTACATCACAATGGATGTAACCTTTTTTGAAAATCAGCCTTTCTATTCCAAAACTGAATTTCAGGGGGAGAACCACAATGAAATCCAGTCTTTGAATCCTATTTAAGACACTATTCCAGACCTCCAAGAATCTGAATCTAACCACACTGAATCCATACTCCCAGACAGACCTGAATCAAACCCTCCAGACAATACAGTCTCTCCACCAACCACACCATTTCAGCCACCAACTTTATCACCCCAATCATTACCCCAAAATCCTACACTAAATCAAAATTCCCCATTCTACAAGAATACCTATAAGCGGAAACCTAGAACCAGAGTTCCAGAAGAAGAGCACATCACTCCAATTAACACCACCCAATCATCTGACTCAAATTTGAGTCCTGATGACAAAGAGGTTGAGGCTATAGAAGGAGATGATGAGGAACCAGACTTGCCTATTGCTATCAGAAAGGGAGTAAGGGAGTGTACCAAGCATCCTATCTATAATTTTGTTTGTTATAAGAAACTATCAGCAAACTATCAAACTTTTATTTCAAAGATTGATAGTATTCAGGTTCCTAACAACATCAAGGAAGCCCTTGAACATCCAGGGTGGAGGAAGGCTGTCCATGATGAATTAGCAGCATTGAAGAAGAATGGAACTTGGGTGCTTACAGATTTGCCAGCAGGGAAGAGAACTGTTGGCTGCAAGTGGGTATTTACAGTTAAATATCAGGCTGATGGAAAGATTGAAAGGCTGAAGGCAAGGCTGGTTGCTAAGGGGTTCACCCAAGCTTATGGCATTGATTATTCAGAGACATTTGCACCAGTGGCAAAGTTGAACACCATTAGAGTGCTGTTATCACTCGCAGTGAACCTAGACTGGCCATTACATCAACTAGATGTTAAGAATGCCTTTCTTAATGGAGACCTAGAAGAGGAAGTATTCATGGATGTACCACCTGGATTAGAAGACTTGGGGAAATCTGGTCAGGTTTGCAGACTGAAAAAGTCCTTGTATGGACTAAAGCAGTCTCCTAGAGCATGGTTTGATAGGTTCACAAGATCAGTTATTAAACAAGGGTTCATGCAATGTCAGGCAGACCATACACTGTTTGTAAAGAGAGCAGACTCTGGAAAATTGGCTATTCTTATAGTATATGTTGATGATATTATTATGACTGGGGATTATAAGGCTGAATTGGACAGATTGAAGGCTCATCTAGCAAGAGAATTTGAGATCAACGAGCTAGGCGAGTTGAAGTACTTCCTGGGAATGGAAGTGGCAAGATCTAAGAAGGGCATTTTCATTTCACAAAGGAAATATGTTCTAGACTTGCTAAGTGAAACTGGAATGCTTGGGTGCAAGCCTATGGACACTCCTATGGATATATCAAAGAAGTTAGGCAGTGAGACTGAAAGTCCACCAGTTGATAAGGGTAGATATCAAAGGCTGGTAGGGAAGCTAATCTACCTATCTCACACACGGCCAGACATTGCTTTCTCAGTAAGTGTGGTAAGTCAATTCATGAATGACCCAACCGAGGAACACCTAACTGCAGTGTATAGAATTCTGAGGTACCTAAAAATGACTCCTGGAAAAGGATTGTTGTTTCAGAAACAAGGGACAAGGAAGATTGAAGTGTTTACAGATGCTGACTGGGCTGGAAGCCTCTTAGACAGAAGGTCAACTACTGGTTACTGTACCTATGTATGGGGTAATTTAGTCACCTGGAGGAGCAAGAAACAATCGGTGGTTTCTAGAAGTAGTGCGTAATCTGAGCTCAGAGCTTTAACACAAGGAATCTGTGAAGGATTGTGGTTAAGAAGATTGATGAATGAGTTCAAACTCCCATTTGAAAGCTCCATCCAGATCTCATGTGACAACCAGTCTACTATCAGTATTGCTAAGAATCCTGTTTATCATGACAGGACCGAACACATTGATATAGACAGAAGGTTCTTATCAGAGAAGATTGCAGCAAAGGATATCCAGCTGAACTATGTTCCAACCAGACAGCAAATAGCGGATATACTCACCAAGGCACTTCCCAGAATTCAGTTTGAAGACTTATCTAGCAAGTTGTGCATGGACGATATCCATCACCCAGCTTGAGAGGGAGTGTAGATTATTACAGATAATTACTCATCCGATTTAGCATTTATGAGGAGATATCTTAGAGATCTCAGAATCTCTAAATATCCCCAATTATCTTGTCTTTATTAGGGAATCTTAATTAGGAGGATTCCTGCCTTATTCCATTTTTCTCTAGCTATATATATTCTGTATTCATCTCATTGATTACACAGAATAAGAGAAATAAAATACATTTTACTTTCTCAAGTTATTTCTACAGCTTCCATGTAGGGTTTGATGAATTTCAAACTGTTGCTCAACTCTGGCCACCTATCCGATGGGATCTTCGCCGTCAAACGAGGGAAGCAGGGCCGTAGCGGTGCTGCGCAACTCTCTGCCGACTGAATGCGCAGATGCGACGTGCGCAGAAGAGCCGCTGTTGCTGGCCGATGTCCGCGACTTCTCCGGCGGTATTATGACCTTCGCGATCGCAGCGAGGGAAGTCGCGATCTCTGCGAGTTGGGCGCCATGCTCCTCTAATTTCTGCCCTTGCTCCTCCAATTTCTTCCCTTGTGCGTCGAGTTTCTGATTGATTAGGGTTTGCTCGGCCTCCAACTCTGTCAAATGATCGTTCTGAGATCTCGTCATTTTGGCGGGATGGGATCCGGCAGGTCGGACCAATTGTTGTGTAACAGAAATATAAAATCAACGGGGTAAACCGTTGCCCAGATAATCAACGATAAAAATACCGTTGCCCAGAGCCAAAAGGCTAAAACCAAATTTATTCCAAGACAATAAGAATGAACCCTGGCGAGGGGTATAAATAGCCTTCTACAAGAAACTCTAATCAAGCCCAAATTAATTAAATCCTAATTAGGCCCATACTAACTCTACTAAGTATTCTACTAATAAAAAGCTCAAACCAAAACATAACATTAACTAAATAATAATAAATAAACTATAAAGACAGCTCGTAACCGGCCCACGGAAGTGGGCCCAAGCCCGGTCCCGCCCCATGCTCTTCCCGCTACCTATCAAAGGGCTAAATCATTAAATGCGGTCCCCAAACTTTTGACTTATATCATTTTGTCCTAAAAAAGGCTAGAGTACTCATTACTCTAGCCTTTTTTAAAGCCTTTCATTTTCCACACAATGTTTCTTTACCATAAAATTTGGTACAATTAGTTTATAAATAGATATACTCTATTCTTACATGCTCCTCTAGGCTTTTTATGAACTTTAAGAATAAAACTGTACTCCTTCCATTCCAATTTGTTTGATCTGTAGACTATTTATGCGGTCAACCAAATTCATTTATACTTTTTGTTTAAAGTAGGAGCATACTCTTACATTTTTTCCTAAACAAGTACTTATGTACCTATATATGTAGGAGAACTCTATGTACTCAAAGTGTGTACTAATAATGACAGGTCCTCTTTTCAACGTTCTTAAACTCTGTATTTCAAATTTTTATAATATTTGAATTCAGTTTTTGCTGTTAAATAGATGCTATAGTGTAGTTTCTAAAAATGTTATTTATAATTATTAATACTAATTAAATAGAGTAGAAAACGGGAAATAGTAGGAGAGAAGATGAAAAGTTGAAAAGTAATGAAGATAAACTAATTGCAATAAGGCCTCTTTGTGCATTTATTGTTAAAAACTAAGGTGGATTGGGTCATCATTTCATTTTCATTTACCCCAGTGCCGCAAAGGCTCCCACCTACGGTGGGGTAAGGGGGGGTCGGATGTACGCAGTCTTACCCCTGCACTAAAGCACAGAGAGACTGTTTTCGGATGACCCATTGTGAAAATCGCGTCCAAAATTGCATGGACTGACTGCTGCTCCATAACAAAGAAGCGCAGACAGTTTAGTGAGCCATTTTGCTTTATTACATCTTAATCTCAAGCCAAAAAATAATGAATCTTTGGCTCCATTGCAAATGATGGAAAAATATGGAGCTTTCTTTGATTGCAAAAATAAATACAAAATAAGTATATATCTTCTACACTAGTCAACTGGTATTAAAATGTACTCTGTAGTACTTCTCTGTTACTTGCTTTATAGTAATGAAAATTACATTAAAATCAAACATTTTTAAAAGTTAAAGTTTTTTTCTCAATTTAAGTGTTACTCCCTCCGTTTCTAAAAGAAACTCACACTTTCCTTTTTGAGATGTTTCAAAAACAAAGTCACACTTCCCTGATTTCCTTATTTGGCAAAGAAATCTACATCCAAACAGTGCCAAACAGTGTCTAAACAATGTTTTCTACAGTAAAGTCAATTTATTTCCTTAATAATTGTGAAGTCAAACCGTGACTTTCTGTTGGAAACAGAGGGAGTATGTTTTTAATTAGCCTCAGTAGAAGATGATCAGTTTAGTGAAGTGTGCATGCATGTCCTTTGGTCATATGTTCAGATGTTAAAGTTCCTTATTAAGTTATGTTGAATCATCGAAGAGTTAACACCATGTGTTTATATGGTCAAGAGTTAGGAGCACATAATTGTTTTCAAGGAAGATCATCATGTAGCATTGGAGTTGCTACAACTTTAATTTTGGGATAGTTTAACCGTCTATAATATATACACATGTCTGCTTTCAGATTTTTAAAAGCTTCATATTAATTCTTTTTGGGATAATGAATGTAGTTCGAGGTTGATGAACTGTTGGCAATTGTATTATACTCCCTCTGCCCCGTAAAACTTGCCCAAGTTTGACTTGCATGTAGAATAATAAGTAAATACTTTGTGGCTGATATTTGTGCAGAGGAGAGAGGGATGATTTTAACATATTTATTATTTTAAATGGAAATGACAAAGTTTTCTGGGATGGTTAAATAAGGAAATTCGGTAAAGTTTTGTGGGACAAAGGGAGTACTATTATAGTTTGTTTCACCAACCTGGACATGTTGCCTATAATATTGATTCAGTACCTTAAGTTTAAATGTCATTTTTTTGGTACAGCCTCATTATTGTCCTTAGACATGAATACATGATTAGCCGATGGCATTGTCTTTCCGCTTCTGATTTAGATAGATTTGTAAAGCCGAGTTCCAGTTAACATTGCAAAAGTGCAGTAATATGGAAATCGTAATGTAGAAGTTATCTCACTTTAATTCTCCCATCTTTTTTTGTCTCTGGGTTCTCGTACTTGAATTGCATATAGTTTCATGGATGACTAAATATTACTCAGGTAATCAAGAAAGATCACTTAGCTGCCGGGCGTTGCTGCATCCAGTTGTTTATGAACTCATCTTCTCAAGAGGAAGCTATAAAACATTTGGAACGTGCCAAGGTAAGCAGCCATTCTACATACCCTAGCTTTGTACACTTTTTTTTTTGCTGCTGGACATAAGATATCCCTATTTTTGTTTTCTACCAGTTCTTTACTTTTAAGTAACTTATGATCGTGGTATACATTTTTTCGAGGCTTTGATAAGATAGATGAGTCTTCTCTTTTTAGCACTGATAACATGGTCCGATTCATGTTAGCTGACCGTATATTCTTTTGGGATTTAGGCTTGGATGTTGTTGTTGTTTGATAAGATAGATGAACAAGCAGGCTTATAAGAAAGACAACATAGGTCATTAATATAATATCTGAGGGAGGGGAAGGCCAAAGTTTCAAGATGCATATGTATATCTACCCAAGGAATCGAAGGCCTTTTTTGAAATGGTTACTAACCAAAAAGTGGATTTTATATAATTTTAACTTCTGGTTCTATAAGTCCTGGCATTCTGATTTTTCTGTAATATCTAGATGCATTTCGACGATGGGCTGACAGCTCGATCGAAACCAGGAGATTCTACTAAGCTTGTTTCAAAGGGTATAAGAGGGAAAAGTGCCTCTGAGAAGCTTACTGAAGAAGGTCTTCTCAAATTTGTTGCCAGAGTTTCCATCCAGGTATTTAATTATATGGCATTGTTCTGAAGATTAGTTTCATTGCTTCATGACTGGAACTCTATTTATGATGTATTTAGAGTAGTAGCGTAATAGGATTAATCGGAGTAGAGTATTACAGAAGGTTTTGATCGTTTTGTGGATAGTGTCAGTCTTTGTTCTGAGTTTTCTAATAAAATACATAACATGCACTCTAAATATATAAAATATCAAACTCCCTGACATTCATAATTACCAATATTTAGTAATTGGGGTCATAAATCAAAATACAAATAGATGAGAGTAGTAAGGAAGGTGATATAGATCATAGGAATGCACTACAGTAGAACTGGTTGCAACTAGCAAGTGGCCTGAGGTGGCTCATCAGGTCTCAAGTGGCCCTAAATGTGTCAGTGGAGGTCTTTATTCTACTTGCAACTAGGGGTGTAAACGAACCGAGCCGAGCCCGAACTCACATATGCTAGAACTCGAGCTCGAAAAAATTTTATATGCTCGAGTTCGGCTCGAGCTCGATCGAGCTTAAAAATTTGAAACTCGAGTTCGACTCAAAAGCTTTACTTGAGCTCACGAGCCGCTCGAGATTGACTCGAAACTCGAAAGCTTAGCCATTTTATGAAGTTTTGATAACATGCTGCTCGGTTGGTTCACAATTATTGGGATGGATATGAGCTACTTTATAGGTGGCTGGTAGAGGAAACTACTCCTCACTTTCCGGTGTGGGAAGCATAGAAATTAGAAACTAAAAACAAGTTTGAGTGTTGAAATCCGAAGGAGTACACAAAAGAATACCTTGGAGGGGATTCGAACCTGGGCTGCATACGAATCCTAAGAGGGCAATTCCATCCCGTCTACCAACCTGTTTGTGTAAATTTTGATGTCAAATTCTTTTATTCTTATTCCCAGTGAACTAATGAAAAAACTAGTCATGGACTCAGGCCGGGTCGGGCTCGGGCTCGGGCCGGGCCTAGGCCCGGTCGGGCCGCCGGTTTGTATCATATGGGCCCGGGACCGGCCCGAGGGTTGGACGGGTCCGGTTCGGGCCGGGCCACCCGCCTGGGTCACGGGTCGGGCCACCCGCCGGGCCGGGTCGGTTAAAGATTTTTTTTTATAATTTATATTTTATACTTTATAGTTTTATACAAGTATTAAAAAACAAACTTCAAGTGCATTTATTTGAAATGAAATATGAACTACATTTGAAAATTAAATAGGAACTACAATTGTTTTTAAAACATGACATATAATCAATCATTCAATCGGAATCTCCGGCATAGGTAGAGCCACCCTCGGTTGTAGATTCATCCATAAAGTGTTAGGATGTGGTGATGTCAATTTCTTGAGCTCTACGGGCTGCTTTCAACCAATCGTGGTAGCATATAAGCATCTCAAGAGATTCAGCGCTCAACCTCGTTCTGGTTTGTATTAGGACATTGCTGGCCGAACTAAATTCTTGTTCCACGGCAACCGTTGAAACCGGCATTGATAGCACTTGCTTAGCCATCTTTGCTAAAACCGGGAACATTCTTTCTTTTCCCTTTCGGACTTTCGGACGTTTCGGACGTTTCGGTCTTTCGGATGGGAGTAATAGAATGACTTCAAATTAATTAGATATAATTCCAACTATATTAATAGATATAATAAATGTATAAGTAATATATAATTAGATAACAAATATAAGTAATATAATATTATAATGTATGTATTTATAAATTATAAGTAGATAATTAATATAAAGTAGATATATAAATAATAAATATAATATATTGGAGAATAAGAGAATTAGAGAGTAGAGAGTTAAGAATAGGATTTAGGAAGAATTGGAGAAGAGATATGAAAAAATGTTTAAGATTAGGAGTATTTATAGGTTTTTTTACCCCCCACCCCCCCCACCCCCCGGACCCCCCTGCACCCCACCCAACGGCTATATAGCCGTTTGGGTTGTCCCCAGCCCACCCCCAAGGCCATAACGGCTAGTTTGGGGCCCAACAATTTTTTTTTAAATTGGACCGTTGGACCCGGACCCGACCCGGCCGGGTCAACTTTTTCAGGAACCGTACCCGCCCCGCCCCTCCCCGCCGGTTCGGGTCTACACCCGGTCCCGGACCGAACGACCGGGCCGGTCCCGGGCCCGCACAGTAGCGGGCCGGGCCGGGTCACGGGCCGGGTGGCCCGAACCGAATCCACCCCTAGAAAAAACTAATATTTTTTTTGTTTTTACGAATAAACTAATACTTACTTCGTGTTATATATGTAGTATTATAATTATTATAGATAATGATTATAATAATATATAATGCTATATTTTATTATGTCTATTATAATATACGTAGTAATAAGTATTAAAAATAGAGTAATTCTAAATAGAATAACTATTTAAAAATTATTATATATATAATTATTATACAACATGTAGGCTCGCGAACCAGCTCGCGAGCCACGAGCCTAAAATTAAGAGGCTTGACTCGAGCTTGTTTAGTATACGAGTCGAGCCGAACTCGAGCCGAACTTGAATATGACCGAACTCGAGTCGAGCTTTTCCCGAGCGATCCACAAGCGGCTCGCGAACGGCTTGGCTCGTTTGCACCCCTACTTGCAACTTAAAGTCAGTTGCTGAAGACATAATTGATGGTGGAAGGAAGTCACTACTTGCAACTTTCAAGAAAAAAGGATGAAATATAGAGAATAATACTAGAAAATGCCAATTCGTTGTACCGGTCTGTTCTTTTTATCATCATAAAGGGGGATTTGACTTTGCACCCCAAATTTTGGGCAAAATGGGACTTTGCACTTCATTTTCAGAAAAATTAATGTATGCACCCCATCAGTTCAAAAAATTGTGAAAGAATAGGGTGCAAAGACTGCAAACATTAATTTTTTTAATCTAATGGGGGCGCACATTAAACTTTTGAAAATGCGGTTCAAAATCTTGTTCTCACCAAAAATGGGGTGCAAAGTTTAATTCCTCCCAAAAAACTTAGGCTATGTTTGGCACTACGAACTAGAGCGGGAGAGTAATGTTTGAATTAAGGGGTATTGTCTAGAGCTGAGTTATTATGTTTAGGAAGATAATATTTTTATTATCCGATTATCATACAACATGACTCACATAGACATAGTGGAGTAAAGGGTACACCAAAGCAAAAGATAACCAAACTTCATAAAGGAAAATGAAGAGTTAAGCATATGCTGAAATATTAAAAAGCAAATCTTCAACACAGACCACCAAAAAGGAAAACATGAAGAAAATTATGGAACCCCTCTCTTCTTAGATTTGATAGTGCCTCAAGGTGCTTTGGAATCTTTTTTGGCTAGGGGTTGTAGTGAATACTGATGTTCTGATAGGTACACTGATATTATTTTCCTGAGATGGACAATTCTCGAATCGTTCTTACCGATTTGAATTGGCACGCTAACTAACAAGATGAAATTATGTGGTTGATGTTTATTCTAGGAGAACCTAAAATGGAAAACAGAAAATTTTGGGATAAAGGGAGTAGTAATGCTTGTAGTTCCTGATATATTGTTCAACGTTCAATACATTATACCTTTTGAATGAGTTGTAATTTGTTGCATTCTCTCTCACAGATAGATGTTGTCAAATGCTTTAATGATGCGGAGGGACCACAATGGAAGCATTCTCTATTTGGGAATCCAAATGACCCTGAAACTTTCAGGTTGGATTTATTTCACGTTTCACCCCTTCTATTCTCTTCAATGCTTCATGTTCTTATAGTGATCAACTTGGCCTCTTAGAAACATTGGAGACCCTGATGTAGCTCCTAGTAGTTCCATAAAACCTTTATGTCAGCACTCAGCAATTGATAAATTGCATACACGTTCTTGTCCAGCATGTTTATCTAGAGTCCAGACAAATTTTAATGTTAGAATGTGACAGAGTAAACAGTTCAAGAAAATAAAGTGAATTTAATAACAAAAAAACTACAAAATAGCTCTGGAGAAACCATATAAGAGCCTAGGAAGAACCCATCCTGCAGAAATAGTTCTTGCCCCAACCAATTGCTGATTATTATTTTTAACTCTAATGGCTTTCTTTCAAAGAGGTGTAATTTTAAATCATGGGAATCATCAGTGAATGAATGCAGATTAATTAAATATGTTTCCATAAATATCTGTCATTCCCAAATCAATATTCAGTCAGCTTCATTAACTCTATATGCGTTCACAAGGTATGAGATTGGAGATCAGCCACCGAAGAGAGAGATAGCATGTAATCCGTGTATGTTTTACCCGTCACGGCGTCGCCTTGAAGTGGGCCGCCTCTATTTTTATCTCTACTAGACTTTGACACTGAATTTCAGCCCGTCTCATAGCTCCATATTTTAATAATTCTACATGAGGGAGGATAGCCGGGGCATTTCTCCTAGGAATTCTTGCATCAAGGGCTAACATGTGTGCCTTTTCATTTTTCTCATTTCCTATATTGCTCCACTTGCGTTAAACAGATCTTTGGACTCTCCCCCCTGTAGATGTCTGCTTATTCGCCTTCTTCCTAGATCAGCTACTGTAGTCTCTCCAACGAACACTATCCTATAGGTCGCTGTCTTTTTTGTCTCAATGCAGTAAATGCCGATGATTTCTTCTGCTCTATTATCTACTGGTCTCCTTCTCTATGTCACTCTCTATTGCTCTTTGCGCTTATATGTTTGATAACACTGGCTTGATCAATCAACGACGTAATTTCACCAATTACTACACTTGCTTTGGTTTGTTTCTTGCCCACTTTTTAAATGGTCAGCGACTCTTTAGAGATGATAATGAACTAAGGATCTTTTGAGGGGGAGGCCAGTGAATAGGTTGATTGGTGTTGGATGGTTCCAAATCTGGCTCCTCTTTGGTAGGTGAAACAGTGTTGGTCATTCTCATGATCCCAATGTTTTCAGATGGTTTCTCATCATTCAATAACATACATCTGTTGAAATATTCCTAGAGCTCGCGTTTTAAGTTTAACGAGTCGATGACAGCTTGTTTCTGTTGGAGTCCCTTGAGCACTTAAGCACCCTACCATTCATGTACTCAACAGTTATCCTTATTTTAGACCTTTCCATATGCCTTAAGGGAAAAAAATCTTAGTCTTTACAAACTGCTCAATGCGGTTATTCCATTAAAATTTGAGAGTTGATTTTCTTTTGTGGTGAACCTTAAATCTTATTGGGAAATTAGATGAAGTTGCTTACCGGTCTGTCACATGTTGAGCATTTCATCGAGTTTGGTTAAAGATCTGCAAGGCAGTTAAGTGTCTGAGACATGTATTGGTAATATTTCAGCCTCTTCTCCACGTGTCTCAAATGCAACTCGAGGGGGCGGTGGGTGTGGTAGTGAAGAGTTGAGTCTTTTAGTATTTCCTATGGGATCAAGTATTCAAGTCTATATTGACAGCCCATACTCTAGGAGTGGGTACATGAGTGATGAGTACATCTCACTCTCCTATGACACCCAGCGTTATCATCAAGTTGAGTACCATGGATTTGTTTTATTTGATTTATACATCAATAAATTAATAAATAGTGCTCCCTCCGTATTTTAAAGTTTGACACTTTCTTGTTTAGGATGTATTTAAAAATTAAAAGTTTTCTACACTTTCCCCCATTTGGTAAGTTTTACCTTTAAAAATACTCAATTACCCTTACTTTTTCTACTTTTTATCTTCTATTTCCTACTTTTCCACCTTCTGACCTACTTTTTCCACACTATTCATTACCCCTCTTATTTCCCTCTTAAATATTGTGTCAAAGCTAATGTAGTGATCTTTTAAATACGGAGGGAGGAGTATATATAAATAACAAAGTATATATCTATATATAAGTAAATAAATGTAGGGGTTTTGCACTAATATTACTAAATGGAAACTCATGAACAAAAATGAGACTCATTTTAAATATTTCCAAAAAAGAGGCCTACGCGACTTTTATACCTCTCTCCTATTTACAGTTACCATGTCCGACCATTTACAGTTACCTGACCCAACCAGTTACAGTTACCCGGCTGACCAATTAGAGTTAATCAGCCCGACCAGTTACAGACATACAGTTATCCGATCCAATCAATTTCAATTAACCGAACCGACCAGTTATAGTTACCCATTCTGACCAGTGACCACCGCTAACCGCCACCAGCCACCACCGCCAGCCATTACCTCCGGCCACTACCGTCGGTGATCCGCCGCTGCCCTCCAGTGACCACCCCGCCTCTGCCCCTCTCCGGAAGCCAGCCTCCCCAGCCCCCAGCCTTCAAACCTCCCCAGCACTCGCTGCCCTTTCCCTGCCCCCAGCTGCCGCACTCAGCCCTGCCACAACCCCTCCCATCACAACCCCATCCCCGCCTTCAACAACTTCCTCCACCACCAACAATCTCATTCGTAAACTCCATCCATAGCCAGCAATTTCAGTTGCAAAATACTCCTCCTACTCCCAATTAACAGAAACCAAACCCTAATCCCGCTCTCCTAATCCCAATCTCAGTTTAAGAGTTAATCGGATCATTTGTGATGCTCGCGAGCAGCAAGAAATAGAAGTAGACGATAGGAAGCGGTGGCGGGATGCGCGATATCAGGGAAGCGGAGGTCGGATGCGCGTCAACGTAATGGTGAAGGGTGCCTAATGAGAAATTAAATGTGCAGTAAAGTCTGTGTTATCCAACAAGTTCAACTAATTAGGTATTTGGACCTGTAGCATATATGTACATCTGTTGTGTTCTACTTCCTCTGTGTGATTTTGAACTTATAACAAGTATAAGTGTTTAACCAATATCTTAAAGTAAAGACTGCGTATGTAGCTTTGCAGGGATTAGTGTGTGATTTGTTCTTGTTTCCAAGACTCTTTCCAATAATAAATCAATTTATTATGGGAGATTTCCCTAAATAGTACTCCCTCCATCCCCCTAATATTGGGACGGAAGAGATTGGTGTGATTTTTAAGAAAAGTAGGATTATGTGGTTGATAATGAGTTGATAAAGTGGGAATAAAGTAAGAATTAATTAGAGCCACACAAATGTTACCAAATATGATATGAGACAACAATAGGGGGACATCCAAAATTGAAAAAATGGGACATCCAAAGCAAAATTCCAACAATAGGAGCTTAAAGTGTAAATTCCCAAAATATGACTAACTCTTCCTATTCTACCCTTTCCCTTGTCATTTTCAATAGGATTTTTTAAATAATAATAATAATAAAACATAAAAACTTAAAATAAAATAAAATAAAAACATAAAAAATAAATAAAAATATAGAGGCCTCAACCGCCACCTTCGGTCGCCAATAAAGAATGCCAAGTTGAAAAAAATGTCATTGTGATGGCAATTTTGAAAAGAAAGCAGGATATTTTCAAAGAGTACAAATGCCATCTTCATGACATTTTCAGAGGAATGTGGCATTTTTTACACAAGATGGCATTTTTTCCGGCAATCGGAACTGGTGGTGCTGGGAGGTGGAGGATGCGGCGGCAATGGCCTACATATTTTTTAATATTTTTTAGGTATATTATTTTATTTCATTTCACTTTTTCCCGTTTATATTATTAATTTATAAATATTTTTATTTATTTTTATATTTTTATTCTAAATAAAACTATAATTTTCTTATTAATAAAATAAATCTATGAGAAATTATAAGAACGGGGTAGAATGGGAAGAAGGGACTGGACATATATTACTCCTATTTGGGGAATACAAGGATTATAGTTCTATTGTTGCATTTAGGGCTACTTTTAGCCCTACTTAGGGCTAATAGCCGATTTATTATTGCTTAGTTTATTGATTTTTTGGGACTTGCTTCTTGATGCAGGAGGAGGTGCGTGATTGCGGAGACTCTTGCTGAGAAGAATTTTGGTTTAGCATTTCCACTCATTCATGAATTCAATCTTCCAGGTACTTGTTTTAACTTCTTCATAGTACAAGCAAGCAGTGGAGGACCTAAGGTGCATGGAGGGCAAGTGCCCCCACTTTCGGTCCAGAAAAGCACTAGTACTTAGGTTATATACTGCAGCCCCTGCTTCTAATTCGGCTGAATAATACTCCCTCCGTCCCATTAGAAGGTTCCCACTTTCCTTTTTTGGACGTCCCATAAAGGTTCTCATTTCCATTTTAGGAAACAATTAACAATCTTAAGTGACAAATTAATCATTAAATATTAAAAATAATACATTTATAACATCACTGTTATCAATACTAACTACATTATATATACCTATTAAAATTATTTCTCAAAATATACTCGAAGTACTTTATGTAATTATTGCCTAAATAACCATGTTGTTTTGTTATGAGAACCTTCCAACGGGACGGAGGTAGTATTAATTATGAGATTAATGTTTAGACTCAGATATCGTAGAAACTGCTAGAAAGAAACACTGTTGTATTCAATAAGAAAATGCATTACTACTGAGGATAAAGTCAACTTTTTCCTAATAACATCTAAATGAGTATGAATAATTGAGACTTACAGATTTAGAAATGTTGAATCACAAGACTTATTAAGGAGAGTAATATTGAATTCCAACACTTGATACGAACACTCTTAAAAGATATGAATTTTGGCACCGATTATTCAAGGATTTGCATAGACTTTTTTCATGCAATAGAATGTTACAAGGATGTTGTCATGGAAAAATTAGCACGGAGTCGTGATAAAAATTTGTGTCAATGCATAGCAAATCTTTGTCAAACCCATTGTTCTTTTTATATTGGAATATGAGAAAACTTGGATATATAAGATGATATATTAAAATTAAGTGGTGTTGAAGGTAGGAAGAGTGGACATAAGTTAAACTTCACTTTGGAGCAATAGTAGTATTATATTTCAAACAAGTACAAGTAAAATTTGTTGCACGACTTGTAGTGTCGGACACAATTCTAGTCCTGGACCGTAACTCAGGTCATTAGTTTTATGACACAAATGATAACTAGAATTCTAATACGAATTAAGAAATGGTGTAAGAATTATACCGACCTGAGTTGAAATCCATTTTGAGACAATTGTATTTCAAACGAATTCACAAATAATTGTTCAACACCTTGTAGGGTTCAACACAGTCCTAGTTTTAAATTGTAACTCAGATTGTTGGTTTTTATGATACATAAGATGACTGAAATTCTAATATGGAATCAGAAACGTTATGATGTAAGAATGATACGATTCTAGTGAGTTTATAGATAATGTGTTACTAAATAATTTTTTTCTAGTTTTATTTTTCTTCTAAAAAGTTACTCCCTCCGTCCCGTTGAAAGGTTCCAACTTTCCTTATTTGGACGTCCCATTTAAAGGTTCAAATTCCATTTTAGGAAATAATTTACTCTCTATGATTACACCTTTACTCAAATTTCTCTTTCCTACTCATTACATATCAGTTTCACAATTTCTCCTCTCCCAACTTATCGCACTTTAATTACATTCACTTTATAAGTTTACTTTTTCTAAATTTTCACTTTCCTCTGTTTTTACCCAAATCACTTTATTTAACCACTTGCCTAAAAAATCATGCCATTTATTCACGGGAACCTTCCAACAGGACGGAGGGAGTAAATATTAATGCTTGAAATTCTCCAAATGAACAATTTATCAAACGTAGAATCAGAAATATACATGACCGAAACCGGCACTACTTAGACATATTGTGGTTGAAATTCTTCATTATGAACACATATATTAATAAGACTTGAACCGGATCACACTTGACCCACATTCATCCACGCGCCCTTGAAAGTTGTTCTGGGTTCGCTACTGCAAGCAAGGGAACCAACACCACTTTCCCATCCCCCCTTCCTACTATAATTATGGAATGGATTGAAGATACCCAGTCCATTATGCTGAGCTTTTTTACCAATATATTGTTCTAGCTGTTGACATTTATGCTGGAGTTGCTGCATCACTTGCCGAGAGGAAGAAGGGAGGGCAGTTAACAGAATTCTTTAGAAACATTAAAGGAATAATAGTTGATGATGATTGGGATGAGGTACCATTCAATGTTTTCATTCCATCTTTAACTTTTCGTAGTTGGTAATGGTACAGGAAAACTACATTTACCTATACGACAGTACCACACATTATGTTTAGACTGTTTATGATGTTCTTACTTCTTAAAAAAGAAAAATCATTTTTGTAGAAAACTCTGTATGAGTTTGACTCTTGAAAAATTTTGTGAACAAAGAGCCTGGGGTAATGAACTGAAGTTTTTTTAAAAGAGTTGCTGTTATTTGAAGCAGTTGGTTGGGAATGAAACAAATGAGCAAAAAGGTTGGTGTATAACTATATAGGAAACAACGGGTACGGAAACCATTAACATGATTAAACACAATTTTGTGATCTTAAAAATTAGGAATAAGGTGTGAATAATCTAGAATTAATTCCACTTTAGGTCCTCCGAGTTTTGTGTCATTTCCATATTTAGTCCTCATCTTTCACTTTATCCATTTTTGGTACCTGACTATTGTTTTCTTGACCATTTGTGGTCCATTTATGAGCATTTTTACTATCGGAAAAGGACTATAAATGGTCAAGAAAACAATAGCCAGGTACCAAAAATGGATAAAATGAAAGACAAGGACTAATTGTGGAATTGGTGCAAAACTCGAAGGACTATAAGTGGAATTTCTTCAATAATCTAGGATTTGACTATGTATGGATAAGTTTAAGAGAACTTATGTGGTTACTTGAAAAAGTTATCCACTATTGCAGAATGGAAGAAGCTTTTTTAACGCCAATTGTACTGATAGCCAAAATCTAGTGCAAATAGAGGGGGTGTGGCATATGTACCTAGTCTCAGGGCTAACCCTCCAAAAAAGAATTAAAGAAGCTTAACTGGGTTCTTAGTCATTATCTTAGTCTAGTTTGGGTTGGCTATATGGATTATTTAGAGTATGTGACTTTTTCCCTGCCCATTACATAAGCAATGTGACTCTTGCAGTCCCATGCATCCATCTTAGAAGTAAACAATATATATAATTTAGTAACTAAAAGAAGAAAATAGGCGGAATAAATTTTCTTCTCATTTACCGAACATAAATAGGTACAGAGAGAATCCTGGAAATCCTGGGAATTAATTGATTCCCTAGAATAAAAAAATCTACAATATCAAAAAGATAATCTACCTTAAATACAATTCTAATCAAGGCAAGAGATAATTCTACAATTCTACAATTAATTACAATTACTATGCGCCTAAAATAGATGATTCTGTCCAATAACCTAAAATAGATCATTCTGTCCAACACTCCCCCTCAAGCTGGGGCAAAAATGTCAATCATGCCCAGCTTGACTAGAAAATCTTCAAATGTTTGTTTGTATAGCCCTTTGGTCAGAATGTCTGCGAGTTGCTCTGATGTGGGAACGTAAGGTATACAAATTTCTCCTACTTCTAGCTTTTCTTTGATGAAGAAACGATCAACTTCCACATGTTTGGTCCTGTCATGTTGGACAGGATTGTCAGCAGTACTGATGGCTGACTTATTGTCACAAAACAACTTCATTGGCATTTCTGTCTTCACCTTCAGTTCATTGAGAATGCTCCTTAGCCAAATAGCTTCACAGATTCCGTGTGCCATTGCTCTATACTCGGCTTCTGCACTACTTCTTGACACCACATGTTGTTTTTTACTTCTCCAGGTTACTAAATTTCCCCAAACGAATGAACAATAGGCTGATGTAGATCTCCTATCGTCCGCAGCTCCTGCATAATCTGCATCTGTGAAGACCTCAATTTTCCTACTGTGATTTTTTTAATAGAATACCCTTGCTGGGACTTCCCTTGAGATAGTGTAGGATTCTGTAGACAGCTTTCAGATGTTCTTCAGCCGGATTATGCATAAATTGACTGACTAAACTCACTGCAAAGGCTATATCAGGTCGTGTGTGAGCTAGATAGATGAGTTTTCCCACTAACTTTTGATACCGAGCCTTATCAACAGCAGCTCCGCCCTCGGACCTTCCTAACTTATGGTTAGGGTCAATAAGAGTGGAAGCAGGTTTACATCCAAGAAGACCTGTTTCCTTGAGTAAATCGAGGACATACTTTCGTTGAGACAGAACAATTCCCTTCTTTGATCTAGCTACTTCCATCCCGAGAAAGAACTTGAGGTTTCCCAAATCTTTAATTTCAAATTGCCTAGCTAGAAATAACTTCAGTTTCTCCAATCCTTCTTCATCATCTCCTGTCATTATAATATCATCTACATGCACAATTAAGATAGCAATTTTCACTTCGACCGTGTGTTTGTAAAACAATGTATGATCAGCGTGAGCTTGACGAAATCCATTTTCCTTTACAGCCCTTGTAAACCTTTCGAACAAAGCGTGAGGTGACTGTTTCAAGTCGTATAAAGATTTCTTGCATAAAAACTTCTTCTTAAAAACTTCTTAAAAACTTCATAAAAACTTTCATCATCAAACCCGGGAGGTACTTGCATAAAAACTTCTTCTTCTAACTCTCCATTAAGGAAGGCATTCTTCACATCAAACTGTAGAAGAGGTCAGTCGAGGTTAGCAGCAAGTGACAACAAGACTCTTACTGTGTTGAGTTTAGCAACCGGGGCAAATGTCTCCTCATAGTTTAGACCGTAGGTTTGAGTGAATCCTCTAGCTACGAGTCTAGCTTTGTACCTCTCTATTGATCCATCCGAATTATACTTGATCGTGAACACCCATTTGCTGCCTACAAGATGCTTTCCTTTTGGCAGATTTGTTAACTCCCACGTTTCATTTTTTTTAAAGCTCGCATTTCTTCTAGGACAGCTTCTCTCCACTTTGGAATGCTTAGTGCTTCTTGTATCGTCCTCAGAATTTCATCAGCGGTTATGCTAGTGGTAAAGGCCCTAAAGGTAGGAGATAATTGGTGATATGACACATAATGGTTTATAGGATGTTTGGTGCACTCACGAACTCCTTTCCTAAGTGCTATAGGTTCATTAAGGTTCGGATCAGGAGGTGAATTATGGTCATGGGAATCAGTCTCAGTCTCAAGAATAGGATCAAGGAAATGTAGAAAAGAAGTTGTGGGAATGATGTTACCTGGAACAACACTTTGGTCAGACGGTAGGTCGGCTTGAGTTGGTACTGAATCAGTACCTTGCTTCTTTTTTCTTCTCGAGTAAACACGTAGTTCAGATGTGAGATCCACATTATTTATTATTTCAGATCCTTTGTGAGGTGTAGAAATAATAGGTATGACAGGTTCAACATCAGTTGCCCTACTTTGATTATCATAATTTGTAAGAGGAACCGGTAACACAATATTTTCCCAAAATTGGTCTCCTATTTCTTTCTCCCCCTGAAGAGAAGTTTGATAAAAAATGGTTTGTTTTCAAAAAATGTGACATCCATACTAACTAATATCTTTCCCGAGCTTGGGTCATAACATTTATATCCTTTTTTAGTTGGTGAAACACCTAAAAAAATACATTTTATTGCCCTCGGATCAAGTTTATTTCTGTTAAGATCATGAATGTGGACAAAACTAGTGCAGCCAAATACTTTAGGTGATAAACCAGTGAAAGTCCTGTTAAGAGGATATGATAATTGTAAAGTTTTCAAATGGGTTTGATAGTTTAACACTTTGCTGGGCATCCTATTAATTAGGTATGCAGCATGAAGTATAGCTTCTCCCCAAAAACGTTTTGGAACATTCATAGAAAACATAAGAGCTCGGTCAACCTCCAGTAGATGTCTATTTTTTCTTTCGGCAACTCCATTTTGTTGAGGTGTAATAACACAAGAACTATGATGGAGAATGCCTTGGGCTGCGAGAAACGAACCAAGAGTGCAATTAAAAGATTCTCTACCATTATCTGTTCTAAGGACTTGTATTTGAGCTCCAAATTGTGTTTTAATCATAGAGTTAAAACTTTTGAATGTTTCTGCAGCCTCTGATTTTTCTTTAAGAAGATAAATCCAAGTGTTTCTAGTGTGATCATCAATAAAGGTTATGAACCATCTAGTGCCAGAAAGATTTTTAATCCTAGATGGTCCCCATATGTCACTATGAATAAGAGAGAAAGGTTTAGATGACATGTAAGGCAAAGAAGGATAAACAGAACGTTTATGTTTAGCAATTTGACAAATCTCACATTGAAATGAATTAGCATCCTTATTTTTAAATAAAATAGGAAACACATGGCGTAAATAACCAAAGCTAGGATGGCCTAGTCGATAGTGCCATAACATTATTTCATTCTCTAAGGATAAAAAACTAGAAGAACATGGTTTCTGAACTTGTTTACTCGAGAGGCTGTTAGTAGCAAGATAGTAGAGTCCACCACTTTCTCTTGCAGTACCAATCGTCTTCCCAGAGCGTTGGTCCTTAAACACACAACCATTTGACACAAATTTTACAACACAATCAGAATCGTGAGCAAGTTTACTGACTGACACAAGGTTGCATAATAAGTTGGGCACATGTAGGACATTGTTTAAGGTAATAAACGGAGATATAATGATAGAACCTTTTCCAGCAATTGCGGATAGGGAACCATCTGCGATTTTTACCTTTTGATTACCCGAACAAGGAAAGTAATCAGAAAACATGTAGGAAGACCCAGTCATGTGATCGGTAGCCCTTGAATCAATGATCCAAGGGTTGGATTTTTCTAAACTTACACTAAGGGCGGCTGCTAAGATACCTTTTTGCGCCAGAGATGATGAAGGATTGGCTGAGATATTTGAGGTTGGGGTATTTGAAACTGATGTATATTGAGTATTGATGTTGGTATTAGCAGACCGATGAGTATTCCAGGACTAAAACAATTGTTCTAGGCTATCCTTGGTGAAGGAGAAGGTGTCGCTTGATGTGTTTGCTTGATCTCCAGATGCAGCGAGGAAGCCTCCTTTGGTATTGCGTGAGACTCGGTTGGAAGGGGTGAAATCAGCTGGCTTGCCGTGAATCTTCCAGCACTTTGCCTTGATGTGCCCGATTTTGTGACAAAAATCACACACTGGCCGTTCTTGATTCTTATCAGACTGCTTCAAAGGATGCGGGGACTTGAAATTTGGTTTTGACATCATCAGTCTAGATGTTTCAATGAGTAAAGAGGTGGATTCATCTCTGAGCATCACATGTCGACGATTCTCTTCGCGACGAACCTCATCAAACACCTCTTGTGCACTTGGCAGTGGGTCTCGGTCAAGAAGTCTCCCTCGAACTTCATCAAGTTCTTTGTTCAGGCCAGCAAGGAAGTCGAAAACTCTTTCCTTTTCAACAATTTTCCGATAGAGGGCAGCATCCTTCGGGCAGTGCCATTTATAATCACAAAACAGATCATACTCTTGCCAAAGAGTCGTGATATCAGTGTAGTACTGAGTTACACTCTTCTCCCCTTGTTTCGCCTTTACCAATTGTGTCTTGATCTCAAATAATTGCCCACCATTCCCCAAATTTGAGTAGGTTTCCTTTAGGGCATCCCAGATGGCATTCGCGGATGGCAAAAACAAATAGGTTCGGCCAATTTCTGGTTCCATTGAGTTCACCAACCATGACATAATCATGGAATTCTCGGCCTCCCATCGTTCGTATCCATCATCTTTGGGGTCTGGCTGAACTGTTGTTCCCGAGAGGTAGCCAAATTTGCCTTTTCCTTGGACGAAAAGCTTGACTGACTGTGACCACGGGAGGAAATTACTTCCATTTAGTTTGATGGAGGTAATCGCCAGGATTTGGTTCGGGCAGAGTCACCAGTTGAGCTGGTGCTGATATCGCTCGAGTTCAGGCCTGCCATGGAAGTCGGCGATACGGCTCTGATACCATAAAAGAAGAAAATAGGCGGGATAGATTTTCTTCTCATTTACCGAACTTAAATAGGTACAGAGAGAATCCTGGAAATCCTGGGAATTAATTGATTCCCTAGAATAAAAGGATCTACAATATCAAAAAGATAATCTACCTTAAATACAATTCTAATCAAGGCAAGAGATAATTCTACAATTCTACAATTACTTACAATTACTATGCGCCTAAAATAGATGATTCTGTCCAATAACCTAAAATAGATTATTCTGTCCAATAGTAACTACCTATTTGAGCAATTGAGATATTAATTTCGTCATTTCATTATTTCATACTATTAAATCATTATTGAGTTTATGTTCTATTGCTTTTCAAATTTGTAGGTTTTAGGAGCTGCAATCAATGTTTATGCAAACAAACACAAGGAGCGGCCTGACCGTCTTATAGACATGTTGACTAGCAGCCACAGGTACCAATTTATGTATACTCTGAGTTTCTTCTTAAAAGTATGTTGCATTCTTTTGGGTGTTCACAGTGAACGCTTTGGCCTACAACTGAAGGGAAATAGTGGGAGTGATGTAATGCATGTGTGCGACTAAATATCAAATATGCAAAACACACAAATTTGACATATTTTGAAAATTACTCCATATCATTCAAAATTATATTATTATCAAAATTCAATGAATAACAATACAATAGTTAATAGTTATGCACTTGAAGCATTTTAACGATATCTCTTGCTTAAATAAATACAATGATATTCATATTTATGAAGTGGGGAAAGTATTATGGGATCCTCCTTCAAGTCCGTACTCCTTGATAGGAAGATAAGTATCTGGTTAAAAAAAGTATAAGAAGTGAACTGCCTGTGATGCCAATTGCTGATCACCACTTCAAAAAGTATCTGTATTATCAGGGAAAAAATCAGAATCAGCTCGATTCTATAGCATCTTCTTGATCTGTTGCACGCATCACAGTCGACCCAAACCACATTATAATATGTAGTGTAAGACTACTCAAATCTAAAGTAAAAATACAAACTATATGGAGGTATGGAACAGTTGCCACGCTAAATAGTAGTAGATGAAATTAAGAGTTAGAGAAACTAGTATTCCTATCAAACGGATACTGAATTCTGAAAATTAATAACACACCGTTTCTTGATTTGTTATTTTCTGTGCTTTAGAAGTGTTCTTGAAATTACTAGGCTTGGAGTCGAATTTTTCTATACAAAGCATTGGCAATAAAATGATAGTGCCATAGTCGTGTCTATCTAGACAATCACTGACATTAAAATGATAATCTAATGATATTAGGGAAAAAAGTTGAGGCCTGGGTATGTTTTTTAACCAATAGTCCTGTCTATCTTGTGGTTTAGTAATATATTAAAGGTTCAAATAAGCCCTTGTACTATTTCCAAACCGTCACTTAAGCCCATATACTAAAAAAGTATCATATAAGTACACGGTTTTGACCATTACAAAATGGTTCAAAAAAGTATCATATATTAAAGGTTCAAATAAGCCCTGTACGCCTACTTTACAAAATGGATCAGTTTGACCATTTAATCAGCTTTTGACCTGTAATAGCAGGTTTTAAATACTTCGAAATTCCAAAAATTGTTAAAATTTGAAGAAATATATACAAAAAGATTTTCTTTTTTTATTTTCACATTATTTTTTCAGTTTTATAATTTTTTTTTACTTTAATGTTTTTAAAGTTTTATCTATTTTTATATTTATACTATTTTTATATTATTATTAGATCATTTATTCAAATTTATATGAATTTTTTAAGATTTATCAATATTCCTAATTTAATTTAAAAAAAACTGCTATAGTAGGTCAAAGGGCTTGTTTGATTGTATTTTAAAAGTAGACGTACTTATATGATAGTTTATTTAGTAAAGGGGGCTTAAGTGACGGATTAGAAATAGTATAAGGACTTATTTGACCCTTTTTACGACTTTCTTTGAATGGCTATGGAACTTTCCAACTTAAATTTTTGGAATCGTCTTAAAGATTTTTAATATAATTGTAGATACTTTGACTCACAATTGTGTCTCCTCATTGAAAAAATATTAACTTTCAACTACCCTGTCAGTCATTTCTCACAATTTAGCTTTGTTTTTGCAGAAAGGTACTTGCCTGTGTTGTTTGTGGTCGTCTTAAGAGTGCATTCCAAATTGCCTCTAGAAGCGGAAGTGTGGCTGATGTTCAGTACGTTGCACATCAGGTTCATTTCATCTCATGCCTCAGTAATTTAAATTTGGGTCTCTGACAATTTACCACTGAACTGTTTTACAGGACCCTAATCTGAGGTAGACAATCCTTACATTGACTCACTATTAGAATGATCATTTTTATGCAGGCTTTACACGCTAATGCACTTCCCGTTCTTGATATGTGCAAACAATGGCTAGCTCAGTACATGTAGGAGGTATTATGCCAAGATTGTCAACGTTTACTCAAAATGGCAACTGCTTGGATCAGGTGTACTTTGACTTGTGCTGAGCGAACTGGTAATAACCCTGCCACCCACTACTGAGCTTGTCGAATGTGGCTTCTTTTGAGATTCTAGAGATTTTCTGTGTTTTTTATGTAAGCTTTTGTATTAGGTGCAAAATAAAATATGATCGTTCATGGCTTGACATCATGGCTTGATTCATGTTAGCTGATCCCAAAATCTTTGGGGATGAGGCTTGGATGTTGTTGTAAATAGCTTGATATATTCCACGTTTTCAAAATTAATAAAAAATGAAATATATCAAATGTTAAGTGGTTCGTTGAGATTCTATGTAGAGTATGTAGGTTTTCAGATTTTCTGGAGTCTTGCTACATTTGGAGCTTTAACTGAACTTTTGTATGTGCGTTATGCATTATTTGGCGCGTTATTGCCTATTTGAAACATATTTTTTGTGTTGGGGGACTGGGAAGAAGCCCATGTCACATACCCACTGCGGAAAACTGACTGGGCCCCGTCTAGCCTAGAGGCATGGGTTGTTGGGCTCAAGATCCATAGCCCGAGAGGTCCTGAAAGACCTAGCAGCTGCACCCAAGGAGTAGACAAAATAGATGAGAACTGGGAACACATGTTTGAACTAATGGTAGATCCACATGTTGACCAATTGTAATGAGAAGTTAGTGCCATTATTAAAAAAAGTAAGTTTATATAGTTGATATTGAATTTATAAAATAAGAAAGAGTAAAAATGATTTAGAAGCATACAAACTTTACCAAAATTTGTATGAGATTATGAATGGATCAAAAAGGAAAAATGAGACAAATTTAATGGAACAGATGGAGTATCAAATAAAGCACGGCGTGTGTCCCTCCCATGAGGATAGCTTACTATGAACACTAGAGGGCATTAGGGAAATTTGTCCACTTTCCTTTAGGAAAATTGTCAAAATAAGAGTACTAATAAGGTAAAATTTTGGAATATGAGTACTTTGCTTTTTCTTGAAATTTTATTGTTATATTTTGACCTTTCAGGCTTTATATATGGCAATACACTGTCATAATTAATACCCTCTGTCCCGTTAAGATTGTCCTAGACACTATTCACTTGGTCAACACAAATCACTCTTAATCTCTTCATAATAACATCAAATTTATATCAAATTTGATTCTGGTTTTTGCGACTTTGTAAAACTTTTAAGGAGGAATTTGACTTTGCACCCCATTTTTTGGGTGATATTAGACTTTGCACCCATTTTAAAAAAACTTTGACTTTGCACCCCAACACATACCATTTTGTGAAGAAAAATTTCTAAATGAGGTGCAAAGTTAAAGGAATTTTAAGTTAAATGGGGTGCAAAATCAAAGTTTTTTCAAAATGGGGTGCAAGTCCAATATCACCCAAAAAAGTGAGGTGCAGAGTCAAATTCCCCCAACTTTTAATGTAGTTTTTGAATATGTAATTTTTTTTCCTAAAATTAATTTGAGTGCGGGCATGGATCTCTTTGTTTTATCGTCGGTCAACCATCGTAAACCGAATAGAAATTACTCCAAATAGGATTAAAACTATGGCAAAAACTCAAAATAAGATTTACGATGTTTTTCTTTTCAAAATAGGATCATATTAGTCCTATTGGAAACATACCTATATTTTCATTCCATTTTTACCCTTCCTTTATATATGAGTTAATTAAATGTTTAATTCATAATAAATTCGAAAAAAAATCAAAAATTCGTAGAAAAATAATTAAAAAATTTATAAAATATTTATAAAATAAAAAATTAATTTTTTTTAATTTTTTTATTTTTTTTTAAATTAATAAAAAATAGTAAAACAACATAAAAAATAAAAAACTATATGGATGCCTTTCCCACCGCCTGTACTACCTCCCTGCGCCACCATCTCCGAGCGGTGAAAAAAATGCCATTTTTCCTAAAAACTGCCATTTTTTTCTGAAAATGCCAAAAACATGACATATTTCTCTTTGAGAATGACAACATTTTCATTGTTTTCTGCCATGAATATGGCATTCGTAATGAACTTGGCAGTTTTTCCCCTGGTGACTGGAGGTGGTGGTGCAGAGGCGGCGGTGAATTTTTATTTTTATTGAAAACAAGTAAATAAATAAATTATTTTTTTATTTTTTGAGAATGCCAACAGTTTTCTCTTTGAGAATGCCAACATTTTCATTATTTTTTTTTTATTTTTTGAAAATAGGTAAATAAATAAATTATTATTATCGAAATATTTCTATTAATTTTTTAGTATTTTTTACGAATTTTTATTATTTTTTATTATTTTATTATGAATTAAAACATTTGAATAGCTATAAGGGTATATTTGTCCAAGACACACATAATTAGTCCTATTTTTGGTCCTATTTGTGCAAAGTGAGTGACTTTTAGTCCTATTTTGATAATTAACCCTAAACCTAAGTATCCCAAACTAGTGGGATGGAGGTAGTAGTATTTTACTATTTTGCAAATTTCAGGCTTTGTATTTAGTCTTTTTTAAAGAATAAAAATATAGTGTTTCTATTTAGGCAATTTCTTAATAAAAATGTATCACACAATTTTCATTATTTTGGGTAAAAATGTTTAAACAACATATGTTGGCTATTGACAATCTCATTATTCACAACTCATAACTAAACATATTCGGTAGGTGTTTAGGGTATTTATGTCTCATTTTATCCATTCAGCATGTTCGCAGTAAGCACATTGATATTGATTATCACTTTGTTCAAGAGCGTGTGGCTCATGTTGACCTCCTGATGCAATATGTTCCTACGAAGTTTCAGTTAGCTAATATTTTTACCAAGAGTTTGGTTTCTCAACAGTTTTTATTTTTACGAGACAATCTAGTGTAGTTCCTCCTGCATAGATCGAGGGGGTGTAATATAGTGTAGAATTAATTAGTGTAATCTGGTGTAGAATTATTTGGAGACTTATTTCATTATAAATATACTGTTACGGCTATCAGTCTGATTAAGCCTGTTTATTACTCTCACACTTGATTTGTTGCATGCATATGATTCTAGTTAAGGGTAGGAAGTCTTGTGGTGCTTAATTTACTCTTTCTTCATTATACGAGGACTTAATTGAGTGTTTGTAAAGTACGAGGGCCTAATCGACTTTTTCGACATAGTACGGGGACTTATTTGATGGTTTTCCCTTATATAATTCTTTCCAATTCTTACACATTTTTGTTTCGTTGCTAACTATTCCAGGGTTCAACCTATTTTTTGTACCTCCAATCCTCATATTAACTGGCTGCATGGACCAGTCAATGACCTCCCCCATTATATTAAGAGAGAATTCTTCAAGTAGGATTAAATGAAACTTTGATTGTCAAAAGAGGACTATAACTTCAAAATTCTTTAAATAGGACTAGCTTTTCCATTCTACCATGGCTTTGTTGTATACAATTCATATTTCATTAATAATTAACATATAAAGTAATAACATAACTTTATTTATAATAAAAATGTAAAAAAAATAAAAAACACGAAATAAATATTAAATAAAATTATTAAAAATAAAAAATCGAAAAAATAAAAATAAAATTAATAAAAAAATTAAAAAAGATTTAAAAATATGCAGGCCTATGTTGCCACCTCAGCAACCTTACAGCACCATCAGCTCCGATCACTGAAAAAAATGCCAACATTTTTCAGAAATGTCATCTTAATGACAGTTTTCGATAAAATTTTGACATTTTCAAAGAGTAAAAATGTCATCATCATGGCATTTTCAGAGAACAAATGGCACTTTTTTCACAAAATAACATTTTTTTAGCCGATCAGGTGAAACTTGGCTGGGCAGTGGGTGACACTGTGGGAAACACCTCCATATTTTTTATTAATTTTTTAAGGTGTTTTATCTATTTTTTATTTTTATTTTTAAATTTTAAATTTTTTTTAAAAAATTATATTATTTTACTTTTTATTATTTTTGTATTTTTTAAAAATATTTTAAATTTTTTAAAAAACTTTTTACGATTTTTTTTTTATTATTTTTGTATTTATTACAAAAAAAAATAAGATTATCCTACTAAGTTATGTAGGAGTATATTAGGAAAATAGAGTATACTTTAGTCCTATTTTGGAAAGATAAATAACACAATCCTATTTATGCATTTAGGGATTAATTTAGTCCTATTTAAGGCTATTATCTCTTATATTAATTGAGTAACTCAGATCACATTTTTTTAATAAAATGTCATCAAATACAGCACATGGAAAATTAAAAGGAGATATTTTGAAATCGTGTATTTCTTCCACAATTGCTGATTTAGTGAATATAAGCTTAAAAGTACGGTTGCACAAATGGAAGCGGTGTATATTACGCCTGATATCAATTTCTTTGATACTATAAAAAAAATGTCCGCTAAAGAATGCATAGAAAAATAGATGCATAAAAAGTAACTTTTTGAAAATGAAACCACACAAAATGATTTAAATTGTGTTAGAATTGAGAGAATAACTATTAGATAGAAAAGGTCTGAGATTACTATAGGTTTGTGCACTCGCGTAGGCATGGACTGGTTGCGGGCCGGGCTCCGAGCCGGTCCTAGACGAGCTTTTTATTTTTGGGGGAAGACCGGGGTTTCCACTGGGTCCGGGCCGGTTCTATTTTTTTTTTTTTGCTTTTCTGATTAACCCCCAACCCCCCAAACCCCCCAAAACACCCAGCCCAACTCGGGAAAACAAAAAAAAATGAAAAAACAAAAAAAGACCTAAACCGGGCCCGGCTGGTTCCAAAGGAAGGGCATCCCTGAACCGCCCCGCCCTTACTTCCCGGTCCGGTCCTAGGCCCGGAACCAGTACCCGACTCTCGGGCCGGGCTGGGCCCGCACAGTAGCGGGCCGGTCCGGTTCACGGGTTGGTCGGCCCGGTACCAGTCCAACACTACACTCGTGTGTGCTTTTTGTTTAAAGATAAATGAAATCGTTTTTTTATACTGTCATCCTTATTAAGTACTTCATGATATAACATAGGGGTGGGCGTGATCCGGAACGGTCCGGTAAATTGGTAAAACTCGTAATATATCTGTGAGGTTTTTAACGGTCCGGTTCCAAGGATAGAACCGTTTGGTACCATGTCATTTCGGAACGGTACGGTACAATGCCAAACACATGCTAAAATTTTTGAAAAAATCTTGTAATTAGTAGACACCATCACACCAACCAACTCACATGAAATGTTGAAATAAATACAAGAAATTGCATACATCGTACTAAAATTCACAAATACACAAATAATGCAACACAACTAAGAAAAAGTATAGCAAAACGATGACGCACCAGATAAATATCATTTTTAATTTACTAAGTTCATGTGAAAATATAAAAACGAATATCATCAAATTGTTGAATATAATAGAAATCTTCAACGTTCTTCTTCTTCGTTGTAGGTTAAATATTACTCCGTAGTTCTAATTTAATTTATAGTTGAACATTGAGAGTTAAGATCATATTAATTAAGTTGTAAAAAATGCACAAACATGATACAACAAAAAGTCATGTACACTACATTACTAGAAATAAATAATCATTAATGATTTCTTACATTTTAATATTCTTTCAATACACAACAAAATATAACATAAATTATCTAAAAAGAAAAACTAACAATATATATATATAAACAACACATTTTAGATATCTTAGGGACACATGAATACATACTTGGGGTATAAAATTGTTGGTCTAGATCTATTGATATAGAAAAAAATATAAAAAATTCAAATGCATTATTTACGAACGGTTCGGCCCGGTATTTTTCGGTTCTCAAATTCTAGGACCGGTCCCGTACCCGTTTCAAACGGTACAGTTTCGGTACGGGATAAAAATCTATAGAACCGTTTAAATACCCGGTATTCGGGTTCGGTACCATTACGGGACGGTTCGGTACCGATTCGGTTCGGGTTTTATGCCCACCCTAATATAACAAGTAGTTCTAGCATAAATTATACGGAGTACTCCGTATTGAATAACCAATGAGGATTTTGAGATTTTTTTAGAGTTTTAACTTTTAAGGTTTGTATTTGTCTTTCACTATTCTTATGAAATACATCATCTATTTGAAAACACAGTGTCTTTATAATAAAAAGTTTTTTCCAAAAATATTGTCAAATAAACAAATATTTACTAGATTAGGGTTTGTTGAAAAGTATTTCCAAAAATACTACCCGAGTCAACTATGGTTAAAACAACCGCCACTTGGAGTGGCTGCTTATGCAAAGAGAATAGCACGCTAGGAGATTTGCGCACAAATCATCTCATGACTTCTGGTCCCACTTGGGAAAAAAATCACCTCTCTATTTTAAATAGCTATAACTTTTTTATTTGTATTCCGATTGTTACAAAAATATACTAAAATTCATAATTTTTTATAATCTTTCATATGACACTAATATTGGATATAAAAATTAAAAAATAAAAAATTAGCAATTTTAAAAAGAATTATGTTTTTAAAGTGTTGCAATTTGTTTTTATTTCGATTGTTATAAAAAATATATCAAAATTCATAATTATGTATTATTTTTCATATGACACTAATATTGCCTATATAATTTTTTTAGCAATTTCCAAAAACTTTTGTTTTTTAAAGAGTTGTAAATTTTGTACTTTTACTGTGATTGTTGTAAAAAATACTATGAAATAACTCATAACTTTTTATTATCGTTCATTTGAGACCAATATTTCATATACATAAATAAACAAACAATTTGGTGGATTAAAAAACTTTTGAATTCTAAAATGCTTCACTTTTTTATTTGTGTTCCCATTCTCACAAAAAATATTACAACTCATAAATTTCTAATATCTTTCGTGTGACATTAATGTTGCATATATAAAAATAAAAATAAAAAAGAATTTTGAGGATACGACTACTAGATATTGTTAGATTCTAAACCTTTTTTAAATACATCCAAGTTATGAAATCAAGATCTCATAATTGATCAATTTGTGACAAATTCTTTAGATAACTTTAATCTTTAGACAACATTTTGAAAGACAAAAATTTTTTTCAAATGTAAAATCATTTTTTTATTTCTATGTATGAAATATTGGTGTCATATGAAATATAATACAAAGTAAATAATTGTGAGTTTTTTTAATATATTTTTATCACAATCGGAGTAAAAATAAAAAGTTTACAACACTTTAAAACATAGGTTTTTTTAAAACTGCTAAATTATATTTGATATTTTTTATATCCAATATTGGTGTCATATGAAAGATAATAAAAAGTTGCGAATTTTGATATATTTTTTGTAACAATGGGAATACAAATAAAAAAGTTATAAATATTAAAAGTAAAAAGATGATTTTTTTCCAAGTGGGACCCAAACACCATGACATTATTTGCATTCGGAAAAAAGATCAAATAAACCCTTCAACTATAATGAATCAATCACATAAATCCATCTACTAATAAAACCATCACTTACACACATTTACTTTGTAAAAAGAATCGATCTGACCAAATTTACCGGAACTGAACTCTCTTTGCCAGTTAAAACACAAGTTTGACTTTTCTTTTTCTTCTTTTTATCTCTCTTTCTCTTGCTTCATTCTTTCCCAGCTTTTTTCAACTCCACAATGCTTTTACATCTTATCCCATTCACTCTCTCCAGCACGCCTTCGAACTTAAAATCGAGGGGAAAGGAAGTGTCGATGATCTGCTACCTACTTCTCCTAGGCTTCTAGGGACACCGGGTGGTGGCTAACGATTGTAATCATGTGGTGCGCATCCATGGAGGAACGGCCGAAGATAGGGATTCCATTGACGCATCTTTGTCTAGGTTGCGGCGGATGAGTTGGGAGAGATGGAGAAGGAAGACCGATAATTCCGGTGATTTTCCTTTGCCACTTGAATCATTCCGGCGATGAAAACAATTTTCGGTAATTGAATGGTGACAGATGAGTAAGGGAAGGTCACTCCCTGAGGATGTTCGTTTCTCTCTATTCATTGATCAGACCTCATGAAAGCAAATTGATTTTACAATCTACAGAAAAAGGATGAAAATAAAAAAGGGAACGAGATAACACAAAGAGTAAAAGATAAGAAAATTAAACAAAAAATTGAAAAGGCAAGAACCAAGGAGTGGCCAGAAATGAGAGAAATTGATGGAGGTGGGGCTTGGGGACCGGAGGAACGAAGTAGTGACCAGGAAAAAAAGTGAAAAATAAATGAAAATGAAAAAGAAAAGGATTAGTTTTTAACCAGTTATACAAGGTCATCTTCCGGTAGTTTGAGCTAATCGATTGTTTTGTAAGAGTAAGTGGATTTATATGATTGTTTTTTTAGTACATGGGTCTATGTGATGGATCTATAATTGTAGGAGGGCTTATTTGAACCTTTTTCCTTTGCATTCTTTTGTTAGCGTGTAACGTATTGTTCTCTATGCATAAGCCGACACTTCAAGTGGTGGTTCTTTTAACCATAGTTGACCCGGGCAGTATTTTGGGAAATATTTTTCAATCAACCCTAAGCTGGGAAATATTTATTTATTTGGCATTATTTTAGGAAAAAACTCTTTAATAAAAGTTACCATGTTAACATATTTCATATTATTCTTACGAAATAATATAAATTCAAATTCCTCTAGGAGGCACATAATCCTCTCACAACATCTTTATTTTGTCAATAAGTAGAACTTTTACGAAATGATGTTTCATATACGGAGTATATGTTTCAATTGAATATTCCATCTCTTGCTTGAGAGTGTTTTTGACATTATGTCTGCAGCAATTGAATAAAATGGGCATAAATGTACCATTTATTCTCAAAAGCGGCTGTTGTTTTATGTTTAAAACATCTCCGAGACTTTGATTGTGTATTGTTCATCTATTGGGTTCCATATTATTGCACTCATTAGATTTTTTAATTATTTGTGCTTTATTTTTCGTATTTACCTTTTAAATAAATAATTCTCGTATGTGAATTGTGTTTATAAATACTAAGTTTTTGCAGTTCATTATTAAGATTTTATAAACGAATTTATACTATGATCAAAGTGTAGTGCAAACAAATCTAACTTTACAATTTTATATACCAAATGGGTAATATTTCTAATTTTATTAAACTGAAGTGTTATGAGATGAATTATTTGAAATAGGGATGGCCTCGGGCTGGCCCGGGCCTCGAGCCGGTTCGGACCGGGCTTTTTTTGGAGAAGTGAGGCCCGGAAACCGGCCCGGGTAGCTCCGGTTCTAGGTCGGGCCGGTTCACCCGCCAGTTACCGGACCGGGCTGGTTCGGGCCGGGTAACCTATTTTTTTATAATTACTTCCTACCCCCTCCCCCACCCCACCCCTCCAAAACACCCAACTCAACCCATTTACCTTTTAAAAAATGTGAAAAACAAAAAAAAATGGCCCGAACCGGGTCCGAACCGGACGGGCCGTTTCGTGATTTGGGAGGCCCGTGAACCGCCCCTCTACAGTGCCGGGCCGGTTGGCCTGAACCGGTCAACAAACCGTGGACTAGACCGGTTCTAGGCCGAAACAGTGGCGGTTCGGGCCGGTTCTAGTTCGGTTCACCCGACCCGAGTCCATCCCTAATTTGAATGCATTTTGTAATATCAAAATGATTACGGTGTGTAAAAGAAATGTGTATGAATGTATTGTTATCAAATGACCACAATGAAATCGATATGTCTAGAATAAGAAATTTTACATTTTTCTCTTCACAAAATGGTTGTCAATCTCATTGCTTAAACTACTGATAACGAAGTAGACAAAGCTAATTATATTAAGAGCGTGTTTGTTAGGATGTAAAGTAAACACTTTGCATGCAAAGTGTGGGAGAGTAAACATTTTACCCTATTTGTTTGAACTATTTCACGTAAACAGTAAAACACTTTTTAAAAAACATTTTACAATGTACTTAAGGGCATAGTGACAAACATTTTACAACTGGTAAGTCACAATTTCTTAAGCAAATCTGGACCTCCTACTAACAAACATGACACTTTTTGTTTTGATATGAAGTGATATAGTTCAAGTTAAACGATTGATGTTCAATAACTTAAGGGCATATTCACGTGATCGGGTAATATGAAATTTTGAGTTCGCGGAATACGCACGAAGCAAGGAAATGAAAAATTATCAGAACCTGTTCGATGAAATGCCTGAAAGAGACATGAAGAGGAGTGACAAGTTCATATCCCTCCAAAAATAAAAAAGAAGATTTTAGTGTTTGCTGATCCGCCTAACAGGAAATGCACTTGCTTGTTCGCCAGTCTACATATGTTTTTTGTTAGCTGAAAGTCTAAAGCTTTGTTATGCAGATGAGACAGTAATGTTGAACTGCTGCAAACTTCTTTTCACAAATGGCGTCATCTCAACTTCTGCTGAAACACCATCTGTTGCAACCTTACTCGAAGCTCACCCGGGTATGAACCTTTTTTTCATTTCAATTTGTGTGTCTTATGTGCTTACTAATTGCTTTAACGAGAGCATTGCCACTCAAGAGAAATTGTTCGTTTAATTCAATAGTTATTTTCAGGTCAACCCTAATGAACAACTACTTAGGTGTTGTATTCAACTTTCAATGACTTGAAATGTATTCTAATTAACCCAGAAGGCAAGACATTAAATGTGGTTGGTTATTTGGTTTCAGGTGCATACACAACCACCAGGACTCATAACAATGGATCAAAGCTCTTGTTCTGGGAAAGACACTTGAGAAGACTTTCAAATTCTGTTAGCATTCTGCTACATTCCAGCCCAAAACTCATGTTCAAAGTCCCAACATATGCTGTTTCATACTCCTCAATGTCAATGGCCTCGCCCTCATGGGATTCACTGATTCAGTCTCTGGTAAATGACTCAATGAGAAAGATTTTGCCTGCTGTGCTAACAGAGAGGGAAAATGAGGAAGAATTAGCCATCACATCTCTTGTCAGTGGCAATTTGGATGATTTTAGGGATTTAGAGAGATTAAATGAGGAAAACATCTCGAGAATGTTTGATGTGTACGTGCACATTGGTGGATATGTTCCTAAAATATTTGGAATTTCAGAAAATGGGGCACACTTGGCAGTTGCTGGCTGTGGAAGAGAGGTAGCAAATGCAAAATATTCAGGTTGGGTAAGGTACTACTACGTACTTAATAAATTCAAGTTTCTATCACATCAGTATTAAGTACTTGTTTTAATTTACATATTTTTGGTAGGCAGAGGAAGTGCTTGGAGAAATTGAGGCCTCCTTCAGTCAATGAGCTCTTGTTGTCCAATAATGGAGATAAAATTTTGGAGGGCTGTTTGACAAATTTTTTTGTGGTTTGTTGCAAGGTGAGAGAATAAAGTAATGTGTTTTCAATTACTAAAAGTTTCAATATTTTAAATTTTTAATAGAAGTGCATACAAGGTACTTGATCAGTAGACCATTGCTACATGCCACTAACATGAGAATTTATTACTTCTGCAAATGAAAGTTAGGTTGGCCCTAGGAAATATATGTGGGTTCTTAGTGGTCTCTATGTAGCTTGACTTGCTGAATTTAAAATCAGTATGAGACACAAGTTTATGCTAAAGAAAGGGAAAGGGACGCACATGATTGTGATTTAGCTGAGAACACTAATGTGGTTGATTACTACCCTGCTTAAGTTCAATTCAAATTGTCTATATAAATTGTAAGAACACCAATTAATCTTGATGATTTATGCTGCAGTGTGGCACTTATAGTTATAATAGCCACATCCCAGCGTTTATCACAATTACGGTCTGATTGTTAGCCTAGTTATCATTACGGATGTCCATGTTGTACTCTGCAAGTGTATGAATAGTAACAATATTATTAGCATGCATGGATGTGGCTTTTATAACCATACGTGCCACACTGCAGCACAAGTCATCAAGATTAATTAGGATGTTTTTACTTGGACTGTTTTCAGTTCAGACCAGACTTAACCAGACCAGACTTACATAGTTATAAAATACATAGACACTAGACCAGTTTAGACCAAATTAGACGTAAATAAACCAGACCAACAAATTTTAGTACAAGTAAAAACATACTTAGTGTTCTTATCATTTAAATAGTTAATTTGGATTGAATTTCAGCAGGGTAGTAATTCAACTCCATATGATCTAATTGGGTTAAACCCGGAATTTACTTCATTATAGATGTCTACAATAAGAAACCACTACTTTTATTAATATGCTGACTATGAACTTACAACTTTATAATTTGTAGAAACTAATATCATAATTGTATAAAGGAATATTGGATCTCAAGCCTCTAAGAACATGAACCAAAGGGATTAGGGAATATGGGAAGCTAAACGGCTAAACCTTAAATCTGATAGGATTAAGAAATTATGGAGGGGTAAGAGGGGGTCAGATGTACGCATTCTTATATAACCCTGTACTAAAGCATATAGAGACTATTTATGGATGCCCCAGAGTGAAAATCGCGTCCAAAATTGCATTGACCGACTGCTGCTTCATAACAAAGAAGCGGAAGACAGTTTAGTGAGCCATTTTGCTTTATTCCATCATATTCTCAAACAAAAAAATAGTGAGTCTTTGGCTCCATTGTAAATGATGGAAATACCGAAATAGGACTACTAGAACTATCATAATTAAATTACTATTTCTCTATTTTAACAAGATGACATACTGCTACTTCAATAAGCTACTTATCTATTTCTATTCGAGTTATATGATATTCTCTTCTGCATATTAATAAAGACTTCTGTTGCTGGACAGGAAGAAAAAGGAAATACAAACTGTTTTGAAATACAGACAGCCCCCCTCAGTGATGGTGTTCTTCCAGGAGTTATACGCCAAGTAATTCTTGAGTGAGTTCCTGGTTTAGTTTATATATATTTGAAACCTTATAATTAGTCTATATGGAACCTACGTTTTTAATTTGGAAGTTTTTGCTACAATTAAGATGTGTAAGTATATCCAAGCCATATATATTGTAGATTGAGTCCATCAATAACTTATCAAGTACATGTTGTTAGAAGTGAACTATAATTATACTCCTATGCAGTATATGCTCTAGAAATGGAATTATACTTCGAGAAGTTGCACCATCATGGTCAAGGCGTGAAACATGGACAGAAGCATTCATTACAAGTATGCTATATTGTTATGTGAATTGTACTACTGTGTACTGAATTAGTGATGTCGTAATGAGTTCAGCCACCCTAGTATCATGGACAGTTAATGATTCTCTCTAAGATGTAGACAATCTGCAATGCACTGCTTTTATATGCTACAGATTATTTCTTTGTGACAGATAGCTTGAGAGTAGTGCAACATGTGGTGACAATTCGGTTTCCAGAATCAATGGAATCACTTGAAGAAAAAACTTGGAATGATGTCATATGGGAAGAGAAAAAGTTTGAGGTACCATTCACACACCTGAAGAAAAATAATTCCACACCAGGGCTATGGGAACCAAACCTACTTATTTGATTAGGAAAATCTCATTAATATGACTAAAATGTATCAGTTTTCTTCAAACAATGAATTAGTCCTATTTTACGTGAAAATAAGACTTGTTCACTTCTAAAAATGAATTATTAACTACTTTTATTTTTTAGAACCGAACTAGTCCTATTTTTAATCTTATGGCGATACTCTTATGTGTAAATAACTGAACAAGTCCTATGTTTAGTACTCCTCCGTCCCAAAATAATATGTAATAGTTACATATTTTATTTTTGGGCTCTCCCAAAATAAAGATTACTTTTCCTTCTTTGGCAAGTGATCCAAAACCGTTCATATTCACCATTCCTTTTCCTTACCTACAACTTTGGCATTCCAATTTTACTTAGTTGCTCACTGCTACAGTAAAAGTAGAGTGTAGTTTAGGTATTTTATCCCATTTTCTTAATCTACGATCCCAAAAGTTTATTCTCTATTAATTTGGGACGGATGTAGTGCCTCAGAATGATACTCCTATTTATGGGGTTAGTGCACCGAACCCCCTCGTGTTATGTAAATTCAGCACATTAGCCCATGTAATTAAAAAATGCGTCAACCCCCCCCCCCCCCCCCCCCCCCGTGTTATAATTATTCATGCGCAGAACCCCCTTCAAAAACAAATTTAACAATTTGAATATCATTTAACTTTATATTATGATTAATATGCTATTAAATTTGACAAAATCTCTAAATTATATAACAGTACTAATCATTTTTCATTTTTTTGCCAAATAAATTTGCTCTTGGAGGGGTTTTACGCATGAATAACTATAACGCAGGGGGGTCGACACATTTTTTAAATCATAGGGGATCAATACACCAAATTTATATATTACAAGGGGGTTTTGTGCGTTAACCCCTATTTATGCACATGATATATATATATACTAGTTTGTTACACCTATATATACCTTAATTTCTTTATTATACAGTTATACTAGCATGTTTAGACAAATTAAGGCATATATGAGTAAAAAATACTATGTAGTAGTATAATAATGAAACTAAGCCTTTGGGAGTACATAATAGTATGTACCAACTTGTTTGTGCATACTATTGTACTAGTATGTTTTACTTATATATGCCTTACTTTCATTATTATACAAGTATGTTTTACTCATCTAAGCCTTAATTTCATTATTATACTAGTCAAGTTGGTTTTCCTGATGTCTTTCATTAATAGCAGGGTACACCTGGGAAAATCACAATGCTCATTCAGGTAATTGAGCATATTTCACTTTATCATCTCTCTGTTAATAAAAGTAATTCAGTAGAAAAAGAGTAGAATAGTACCAGCTAAGATGTAAATCTTTATGTGAATTTGAACTCATCTCAACGGAGTAATGGTGCAATCGGGTGAGTGTGGGTGCCACTTGTTTAGAATGGATATGTATACTCTAACGTTCTCAATACATTTTTTTGGGTTTATTCTTGTAATGGAAGAGCTTAGGTTGATCTGATTCAAGAACAAAATAGATATCATTTTTGCGTCTTTTTACAGGAGGAGATAATGAAATTAGCAGAGCTAGAGGGGTATCCGGTTGCTCTTTTCAATGAATAAATTGCCTCTCATTACTGTTGTGTTAGCTTTTTATGATTTTCCGTCTATGATATAACCATGAATGAGTGCAGCAGTCATGCAAGTTCATGTGGGAGTCTTTTCTACAAGTAGGATGCGTTTTATCCAATATGGATGTGGAAAATTCTGTGCCTGAAAAGTTTGCATGCATTATTCATTTTTCTTTTTTTTGAAAGGAAAATAACTTATATTAAATCGAACGATCCAAGCCAATAACAAATCTCAAGAACTGAATCCCCCTCTATCCAACCAAAATCAAAGCCCATCGGCCTCCTCACATCATGACCAGACATAGAATAGTGCACCCTAAAGAGAGCGAGACTAATCGCTGAAGCTGTGAGAGCATAGAGGCTATTAGCGGCTAAATCAGCCCGATTGCCTCCAACTGGTAATCTATCAACTAAAGCAAATCAGAACACCCAAGTGACCCACCTACCCCACTTATTGTTTGTCATAGTAGAAACAAAATAGAAATGATAAAACAGACTGGACTGAAAGTAAAAGACTAAGTAAAAGACTAGAAATAGTAAAACAGTCTTCCAAACCTTAGTCGAATTTCCATCACTTCATATTCTTTCTTCGCTTGGATCTGCCCATGAGTCGCCTCCATTTCTTGACCAAAAGATTGCACGAACACAACCAATTCGAAAGCGAGCCGCCTCCACATCCCTATCCACATAAAGCTTATGCGTCCTCGTTCCTCCATGGCCTCCATCTTCCCCTTCTGACTTTGACCAAACGGAACTGCTCCCCTGCGCAGACGAAGCAGTTCACCAATGAAGTAGAAAACTAGCCAGAAATCAATCGAATAGCCAGAAGAGAAGTTGGCCGTCGATTAGCCAATCATCGCTTAGGCGTGACACGATTTTGGAGTTGAAAACTCCGCTGCACCTATTCCAAATCGCCGAGCGAAAGTAACTTGTCGGCCTTAGGGGTGGATTCGGTTCAGGCCACCCGGCTCGTGACCCGGCCCGGCCCGGTCTGGCGGTCCGAGACCGGGTGTAGACCTGAACCGGGGGGGATGGGCGGGGCGGGCTTGGTTCTGGCAAAAGACAACCCGGCCCGGCCGGGTCGGGCCCGAGTCCGGGTCTAATGGTCAAATTAAAAAAAATCTTTTGGGCCACAAAGAGCTATTGGGAGTGGGTTGGGGACTACCCACACGGCTATATAGCCGTTGGGTGGCCTGGCAGGGAGGTCCGGGCGGTTTGGGGGTGGGGGTTGGGTAAAAAAAAAACTATAAATACTCCTAATCTTAAACATTTTTTTATATCTCTTCCTAAATCTTAAACTCTACTCTCTAATTATTATCTTCATATTCATCTTCTCAAATTCTCTTATTCTCCAATATATTATATATCTACTTATATTATTTATCTACTTATAAATACATATATCTATATTACTTATATTTCTTATCTACTTATATATTAATTATCTACTTATAAATACATATATTATATTAAGATGGAAGGTGGTAGATTTTCGGTTGATATGGGTAACCTCGACCGCAACCGAAGGAATGAGCTTGCGAGGAAGAGATCCCGCAAAGGTAAATCACATATCGGCTCTTCATCTCAAAGCCGAGATGATTTTGATACGGGTTACGCAAGAAGGGATGGGGATGCGATGACCGACGAATAACTAGAACAAGAATTGCATCGACATAATAGCCGCTTTTTCCAAGACCAACTGAGGACCATTGACGAAGAAGAGCTCGAGGATGATGATGTGGATGAAGTAATTCCGGAGAGCCACGACGAGGAGGAGGAGGGTGGCGGCAGCCACGATGCCGACGAGGAGGAGAGTGGCGGCAGCCACGACGCCGACGAGCCTGCCTCATCCCAAACCGGTACGAAAAAAAGTAAATCTGAACTAATGGCTAATAATTTTTCTAAGTGGAAGGACCCGAACACCGGGAATTGGACCGTAAGTTGCAATTGGTGCAAGAAAAATTATAGCTTGGGGATTTCCAGCAGATACGGATTCGCCACAAGACATTTTAAGTCCAAACACCCGATGGAGTATGCAAAATTAAGCGGCGGAACGGGGAAGCAAACTCAAATATGAGGTTTGCAAATAACCAACAAGCTTTTGGTAATTTCTCATACAATGAAGCACAAAATTTGACTGGTATGTATGGGTGGACTCGGGCCGGGTGGCCCGACCCGGAACCGGCCCGGGACCGGTACTGTTCCGGCCCAGCCCGACCCGGTGGCCCGGTCAAAGACCGGTCCGGGTAGGCCCGACCCGTGGGTATTCTGGTCCAGTCTCGGGTCACCCAAAACAAGGCCTGACCCGGTTCGTGCCAAAATTGATTTTTTTTTTCAATTTTTTTTAAATTTTCGGGTTGGGCTAGGTATTTTGGGCCATTTGGGGTGGTTTGGGGGGTTGGGGGTGGGAGGGGGGTTAATTAGGAAGAGGAAAAAAATGATAATAGGCCCGACCCGGCCCGGACCCGGACCCGGTGGGTACCCGGGCCGGTCCCGGGCCCATCTATTCAGAACCGGCGGCCCGGCCCGAGTCCAACTCTACTGGTATGACTAACTTACTTGTTGAAGAAAATTTGCCTTATTTGTTTTCTGAAAGTCTTGCTTTTCGTGATTATGCACAAACTTGTTTAAATCCTCAATATAGAGGATATAGTCGCAAAACGGTTAAGAAAGAAATTTCAAGGCTTTATGGTGCGGAAAAGGTAAGGTTACAAAATTATTTTGCAAATTTTGATGGGCGTGTTACTGTATGTTCTGACATATGGGAGGATACTTTTCATAATTTACATTATTTGGGTCTGACTGTACATTATATTGACAATGATTGGCATATGCATAAACGTGTTCTTGCTTTTCGTGAATTTAATGATCGTCACACCGCTGAACATATTTATATTTTGATTGAACACATTTTAATTGAGTATAATTTAATTGATAAGGTGTTTGTCATTGATTTTGATAATGCTACTAATAATACTGCTGCTATTCCTAGATTGTGTGAATTGTGTGGTTCTACTTCTTTGATGGGTAGATTTTTTCATCAACGATGTGCGTGTCATGTTATAAATTTATGTGTGCAAGATGGTCTAAAAGCGTTGGGAGCATCTTTGGAGGTAGTCGGGAGGGGGGGAGGGGATTAGACGTATTTGGGGTAATGGACAACTTAGGAAAAAAAATGGCATGATTATTTGATAGAAAGAGGTGAGAAATATGTGGCTTTTCCTAAAGATTTGTCTATTCGTTGGAATCGTACTTATAAGTTAATTGCAGTTCTTCTTAGATATAAATAACATTTTCCTGCTTTTATGAAACAATATGATAACTATATTATAAACTCGATTGAGATCGACACATGTGAAAAAATTTGTAATGCTTTGATATATTTTAATAATGCAACTGAAACTTTTAGTCATGTTTATAAACCTACCTCAAACCAATTTACTCGTGAAGCTGTTAATCTCGCCGGTGCTTTTTCAAATTTTGAGAATGCTGATTATGTGAGTTATTTTGCTAGTTTTATAAAGGAAAAGTTTTTAAAATATTATTCACATATTCCGCATATTTATGGTATTGCATTTTTTCTCGATCCTCATTTTAGACTTGGTTATTTAGAAGAATGTTTGAATTATTATTATGCTGCTTTTTTTTTGTCCAATGCCAATGTATGAGGACAACCCAATTGATCCGAAAAAAGAATACAACGAGGTTAGTGATATATTTTATACATTATTTAATGAGTTTTATGCACAATATGGCAACACGCTCCCTCCCCCGACACAAACATCTTCATCTAAAGGAAAATAAATTTTGAAATCTACATTTGCCAATCTTATTAAAAAAACGAAATCAACTCCCGCTACTCAACAAAACACAATTAATGAGATTTCTTTGTATTTAACATATGATGTTGATTTTGAAGAAGATGATGATTTTGACGTTCTAAACTGGTGGAAGGGAAAAGAAAGAATGTTCCCGGTTTTAGCAAAGATGACTAAGCAAGTGCTATCAATGTCGTTTTCAACAGTTGCCGTGGAACAAGAATTTAGTTCGGACGGCAATGTCCTATCAATGCTATCAATGCCGTTTTCAACAGTTGCCGTGGAACTAGGGATGGATTCGGTTCGGGCCACCCGGCCCGTGACCCGGCCCGGCCCGGTACTGTGTGGGCCCGGGACCGGCCCGGTTCGGGCGGTCCGGGACCGGCCCGGTTCGGGCGGTCCGGGACCGGGTATGGGCCCGAACTGGTGGGAAGGGCGGGGCGGGCTCGGTTCAGCATTTTTGTGACCCGGCCCGGCCGGGTCGGGCCCGGGCCCGGGTCCGGTCCAATTTTTTTAAAAAAAAAAATTTTTGTTTGGGCTCCTACTAGCCGTTGGGGGCGGGGCTGGGGACAACCCAAACGGCTATATAGCCGTTGGGTGGGGTAAAGGGGGGGTCCGGGGGGGTTGGGTGGTGGGGGGGTTGGTGGGGGGGGGGTAAAACAAAACCTATAAATACTCCTAATCTTAAACATTTTTTCATATCTCTTCTCCAATTCTTCCTATTCTTATCTCTCTACTCTCTAATTCTCTTATTCTCCAATATATTATATATCTAGTTATCTACTCTCATATTCTCTTCTCCAAGAAGTTAAGATGGAAAATCAAAATGCCATTATACGGTATAATTTTGATAAGCAGAAGGACCCGAAGACCGGGATGTGGTACGCAATTTGCAAATGGTGCGAAAAAAAATGTATAATGGGGGCTTCAGGCGGATTCGGGATGGCAATCAAGCATATGAAGTCATGTGACAAAGCCAAAGGATCGGGAGGTGCATGAAGTTCCTATTTCATTTCAAATAAATGCAATTGAAGTCTGTTTTTAATACTCGTATAAAACTATAAACTATAAATATAAATTATAAAAAAAAATTACCGGCCCGGCCCGAACCGGACCCGACCCGTGACCGGGCGGGTGGCCCGGCCCGAACCGGACCCGTCCAACCCGCGGGCCGGTCCCGGGCCCACTTTTCTTGAACCGGCGGCCCGACCGGGCCCGACCCGGCCCGAATCCATCCCTACGTGGAACAATGAAGCAATGTCTGAACCTTCATCATCTATAATATTCGATTCTAACCATGTGTGGTTTTAGAATCCAGATTAACTCTATTAGTTCTTCGATTACAGGTTTCTCGACCTCTTGGAATCTCTGGTTTTGGTTTCTTCTTGGATTGGCCGGTTCCCTATTATTTCTTATACTTTGCAGGTTCTCATATTGTATTTTTTTCTTAATTTTCAAATGTAGTTCCTATTTCATTTCAAATAAATGCACTTGATGTTTGTTTTTAATACTTGTATAAAACTATAAAGTATAAATTATTAAAAAAAATAGATTTAACCGGCCCGGCCAGGCGGGTGGCCCGACCCGTGACCCGGGCGGGTGGCCCGACCCGTGACCCGGGCGGGTGGCCCGGCCCGAACCGGAATCGTCTAGACCTCGGGCCGGTCTCGGGCCCATCACTTACAAACCGACGATTTAATTTGTAATATACTGCGTTATAATTTGTATTTAATTACATGCATTAGCGATTTGAAACTAAATGTTTCTCTCATCTGTTTTGAGCCTTATTCGTGCTTTTTAATGAATATGCATGCACATGGTTACACAAACACGCCCTTTTTATATACAAACACGCCCTTTAATGCAACTATAGAGTGGGGTGACTACTTTATTGCTTTTTCTTTGACTATTTAGAGCTTTTTTTTAATATCAAAGAATTAGCCCAAGTCCCCAACCCCTTTAACAATAGCTCCAAACACGGCTATTTCTCTGTGATCAGTATTAACATCCTAATACAGTTGGGCTAGTGAAAAGTTTTGTCTACGGACCATCTTTCTCATTTCTTTTTCTTCATAAGCACAATAAAGATATTCAAATTTAGCCAACTATTATTGAATGAGAAAGTACTTATTCAATTTTATGTGATTTTTAAGAACTCACATAGTGTTGTAAAGGGTGCCAAAAGGCAGGACATAAACACACGCCTAAGCTTGAATTTAATCATAAAAAATAAATGTGGACTAAGTTTATACTTTATATTGAATTCACTTCTAATAAACATTGAATGAGTCATTTCTTGAGTTCAATGTCAAATAAAATACTACGTACTACAAATGTTTTTACTTGAACTTATTTCGATTACAAACCAATCTAGAACTTCAGACAAGAACATTTCAATTTAAACGTAACAAACTATGGTCCTGTTTGTTTTTCAGTGGATTGCTACCTAACAACTTCATTTTGCAGCGTTTTGCAATTAAAATCAATCCAAACAGGGCTATACTAGATCACACTAGATAAGAAGAGTTTTTGACAATTGTAAAATACACAAACATTTAAAATAAAATAAAAATGGAATTGCAGACTTTTCAGTCCAATTTCTTTTGATTGCTCATTCTGGCCTAGCTACCTCCAATTTCACCACTACCAGTCGTGGTGCTTGTCTCTTTCAGTCAATGGATGCTGCTAAAGTTGTGTCGCAGTCACGGAATCAGCCGGACGCTTTAATGGCTCCGACATCCGATATCGATTCTCAGCTCACTTCTATCGTCTCCGGTACTCTCTCTAGTCTCTCCCTCCCTCGCGATATGCATGTGTATACCGTGAGCTCATTTCACACATTAGCTGGTTTGGGTATAAGCTTGTCAGAGACTCAGAGTACACCGTTGATGGTTTCGGTTGAAGTGTATATGTATTGAACGCACGAATTTCACAATCTCTTTGTAGTTTATTGGAGAGTTCATCTGTTAATCTATTACACTTCTCCATTGCGTTTTCAGTTTGAGCGAGAATGCTTGCAAGTAAGCTTTGATATTGTATTGATCACATTTTATCAGTGGATTTTATGTGTTTTCTTAATATTTTAGGTACTTCATTTTTAATTAACTAATTAGTTATAATTAAAAAAAATCCGAATTTATGTCTATTAAATTATCATCTATTCATCTGTCTGTTGCACTTGTATTAAACTTTGGCCTGGTATATTGATAAATTTTGTGCAATCGGTTGAATGTCTTGTACACAACTTGCTCAGAGTGCATATCCCCTCATCTGAGAGTTTAGATCCTATGTTAATCAGGTAATCATAATTTTAAAGAATTTCTCGTCTGGAAATTTAGCGTCCATTTTAGACGTGTAGAAAAGTGAACTGTTTTGAATTTTTGGTACTTCACCATTGCAGTATGATCACATCGGCCTTTTCATGTAATTAAGAGGATATGAAAACTGTGTTAGCTAATATTCTGTAACTTACTGTGTGCCATTGATGGGCCAAGCACGTGCCAACGTAGAGGGAGTTGTGCTGGTTATTAACTTATTATGAAAATACTCTTATCATTTGTTGCTCTCGTTAGTCGTCACATGGCACTTCACTATGGCATGAATCCATAGTTCATCACTCTTCACTTTGACATCTTGGTTGAATGTTTTGTATTCCCTATAGATCAATTAAAAGTAGAGATTATTGATATCAGATCCTCAATGCATGCAGCCTTTTAATAGCATAGTACTTTCTTAGTTCTATACGTTTGAAAAGGGTATTTTGTATGGCATACAGATCTTTCACAACAAGTGCAAGTTGTAGTGGAGAACATGGTGAAGATGATAAAGTGAGTTGCTTCCACTATTAACATTGGTTCTAACTGTTAGGAACTTAGTATGATTTAAATAATGGGTTTGAAATTTCACTGCAGTCGTACTACATATGCTGTACTCATGCACTGTATCTCAGTAGAGCATCATGTTATTTAGTCATTCACACTCGATATTTTATTTAAATGTTTACGGTTGTATGTAATTGTCTTTCTCCGGTCCTGATAGTGTTTTTTCGTATCGGTGGAACTGAAATGTGCATCCCACATTTCCATCCAAATTTCAGTTTGCGTCCAACTTTTGAAATCATTGATATTTGGAACCAAAGTTTGACAAATCTGTTAAAAATAGGAAAAGTCCCATTCAGAGGAGGAATGGGGTGTAAACTACATTTTGAGGTGCAATCATTAATTATTTCAAAAATGTGGTGCAAACTCAAATTCGGATGAAATAGTGGGGTGCAAAGTCCAATTCCTCCTTATTTTTTAACTGCAAGTTACATTTTTCTTCACTTTTCATGAATTCCCGGGCTTATTGACTATCTTCTTGTGGACCTTCTGCAGGGAAATTGACCAGAGCTCCACTGAAATAGTAGAAGAGATAGAAAAGTGCAAAGACACTGCTCTTGAGAGGAAGAGAGGCTTAGAAGAACAGAAAATGGATTTTCAGAAAACTGCTTATGCTGTTCTAAACATGCTGAATAGTGAAGAGATTAACTGATGCTGTATGCTTTTCGACTTTTTTATTGTTTCCCAATTTCCCTGATTGATAGTGCAGATTCCAGTGTGTACTTTCATGTTGTTAGCTCATACTCTCTCTGTTTATCCGTTCTCAGACATTTAAGGTTTCTACACATAATATTAGGAAAGCATTGAATTCTCCTAAATTGTTGAAGAATGAATGAGTGAGTCGACATTGTTGTGAAATTGTGAATCGGCTTGTATTGTACGATTGGGAAGCATATTAATATAAAAAATCTAGATAACAAAAGCTAACTCATGATGGTTGACTTAAGTAGTTCTATTTATGTATTTCTACTTTAAGACTTTTTGTTTGGAGATTTGAGTACTTCTATAGCATGTTGTGTGTTTGTTTGCCTGGAATTGGAATACCTTTTAACTCATTAAACAATAGAAATGATTTTCTAAAAGCCCGATTGTACCGTCCGCAGGATACAGGATGTACAATATAATTTGCACAGGATGTACAATATAATTTGCACATTATCCACCCAGAACCTCTTTAAAAAGTTGGTATACTATCTACTCTTTATGCTATGTTATCATAAATCATAACCAAATCCATGTGGAAATTGGGAGTTGATGAATGAATGAGTAACCAAAACTAGGGGTGGACTCGGGTCCGGGCCGGGTCCGGGTCTAGGCCCGGGCGGGTCGGCGGTTTAGGGGTGGTGGACCCGGGACCGGCCCGGGTAATCACCGGGTCCGGTCCGGGTCCGGGCCGGGTCGGGTCCATTATCAATTTTTTTCCCTCTTCCTAATTAACCCCCTCCCACCCCAAACCCCCCCAAACCACCCCAAATGGCCAAAAATACCCAGCCCAACCCGAAAATTTAAAAAAAATTGAAAAAAAAATCAATTTTGGCCAGAACCGGGCTCGGGCCCGGCCGGGTCGGACCTTGTTTTGGGTGACCTGAGCCCGGACCGGAAAACCCACGGGTCGGCCCTACCCGGACCGGTCACTGAACTTTTTGTTATGTATTAATAAAGAATAAAAAAATGGATTCGATTAAATTGATGGAATACTTATTTTGTTAAGTTGAAGATAAAGAAAAGTAAAATTGAAATTAAATTTTTAGGATTTTAATTTGATGGAAAAGAAGAAGCATTATAGAAAAGAAAAATAAAGAAAGAAAAACAAAAGAAAAAGAAATCACTATGCATGCTCAAAGAGGAAAGGAAAAAGCAAAGCAATTATCTAAAGTGAGATCGACACAACATGCGGACGGTGGATCGATCCCACAATATAATTTGCATTTAAAAATATACAATCTGGAAAATCAGATAACATTATTTATCCAAGAAACTTTAAAAATTGTACTTTACAATGTTATATGCGCGCTTATTGTTTATTCCGTGTAAAGTATGGAGTATGTGTATAACTCCATATGTTGTAAATTATTCACACCCTATCTTTTTCAACCCCTCTCAAGATCAGTCTGTTTTTTATATGGTCATATTCAATCTTAACTTAGACCGTTATAAAATAAAGAAAGTTATCTACCAGAGCAAAATAGATCATACTAAATTATATTAAACCAGACTAAACTAGATCAGATCAGACCACAAAAGTTTAGTCTAATTGTTTATATTATTTCTTTGTATATGTATTTTTCTTTTTCTTAATCTACACCTCCAGTTAAATTAGATACTACCTTCGTCCAAAAAACTTTATACTCTTCTTAGTCAATGAGAATAGAGTTTGGACAATAATTTTAGTTATTACTCCGTATATTTGTATATAATTAATAAAGTTTATACTTGTATCGGGATCCTTTAAATAATGAACATTTTAATATAAGTTTCATATTCAAAATAATTTCTTATTAAAAATAGCATTTGTCAAAATTGACTATCATTGATCAAGAAAAATCAATTTGTTAAATATTTTTGAGACTTTTGCATGAGTATTTATTTGGAGAAGGCTTCTGATCATAATTTCATTATTATTGTGAAAGCTAGTTTTTCCTACCTTAATTTGATGTTTAAGTAATATTTGTAGATTATTTTTCATTTGTCATTATGGTAACATGGCTTTTAGATATATAACCATAACAGATTGGACATGAAATTTTCCGGTACTCATACCAAAATAGCCGCTAATTGCGAGAGAGAACGGGTAAAAGGGCTGCTTTTCATCTTAATTCTCAACTGAATCACTATTGACCAAAAAAAATTACAGCATGAAAAATATAAGCTAAAGTAGAAAAGAAAAGAAAAAAAAAGGTTCCTTCTGCTCATACTTCCACCACGGCTAGAACTCTGTTCTTCCTTAACAGAATATAGAAGAATCTCTTTCCCCAAGAACCAAAAATTAATCAAGGGAAAGAACTTTTGCATGTTCAGATCTAATGGTCATTGGTGTATGAGCCATGAAGAAAAGTAGCCGCAGCATTATACCACTGATCTTCCTTTCCGTAATTCTCATTCTCTTTGATGTTTCCGCATCAAGTGATCGCCGCCGCCGCCGGTTCGATGAGGGACAGGCGGTTTCTTCCTACAACAGAGATGCTCTCGCCGTGGATCCAACCCTAAAGTTCGACAATGACAATCACCGATTGAAGAATGCCTACATCGCGCTTCAAGCTTGGAAAGAAGCCATTATTTCCGACCCGCAAAACATAACCGGCAACTGGATTGGAGCGGATGTCTGTAACTACACCGGTGTCTTCTGTTGGCCGGCCCCCGACGATCCCTCGGAGATGACGGTCGCCGGAGTCGATATCAACCATGGTGATGTTGCAGGAACGCTCCCCCATGAGTTAGGTCTGCTGTACGACCTCACTCTGTTCCATATCAACTCCAACCGCTTCTGCGGGAAACTCCCCTGGAGTTTCTCAGATTTGAGACTTCTCTTCGAGTTAGATCTGAGTAACAACCGATTTGCCGGAAAATTCCCGGAGATTGTCCTTCAATTGCCGAATTTGAAATATCTAGACCTCAGATTCAACGAGTTTGAGGGCACACTCCCGGAAGAGCTCTTCGAGAGGCGATTCGATGCCATATTCGTCAACAACAACAGATTCGCTTCTGAACTGCCTCCGAACCTGGGGAACTCCCCCGCTTCGGTGGTCGTGCTGGCGAACAACCGGTTCCGAGGCTGCGTGCCTCGGAGCCTCGGGAACATGTCGGGGACCTTGAACGAAATGGTGATATCGAACAATGCTTTTCATGCGTGTTTACCGGACGAGATCGGAGGGCTTAAGAACTTGGACGTGCTGGACGTGAGCGATAACGAGATCACGGGAAGGTTACCGGAGAGTATAGGCGGGATGGAGAGGTTGAAGGAGCTGAATGTAGCGCATAACCTGTTCTATGGGGAGATTCCTGAGAGGATATGCTCGCTTGATGGGCTGGTGAGGTTTGATTATGAGCATAACTTTTTCACGGGGGAGGCTTCAGCTTGTCTCAATTTGCCATCCTATGATGACAGGCATAACTGTTTGGGCAGAGACAGGGAGGATCAGAGGCCTGAGTTGGAATGTAAGAGGTTCTTGTCCACCACATCCACACTCAATTGCAGTAGTTTCAAGTGTTTAGCCTCACCCAAACCGCCTTTGTCTCCTCCGCCATCACCGCTGCCTCCACAGCCAGCACCAATATTGCCTGCTCCACCACTTCGGCCTTCATCTCCTCCTCCACCAGCATCACCACAGGCTCCTTCGCCGCGCCCACAACCAGCACCATTATCTCCATCTCCACCACATCGGCCTTCATCTCCTCCTCCACCATCACCCCAAGTTCCTTCTACACCACCACAACCCGCACCAGTATTCCCATGTCCACCGCATACAAAACCTCCACCGCCATTGCCTTCATCTCCTCCTCCTCCTCCTCCTCCACCAGAATCACCACAAGCTCCTTCACTGCCACCTCTTCCACCACCACCACAACGGCCTCCATCTCCTCCCCCACCACCAGCACCTCATGCATTTACGCCTCCAACGTTTCCACTGCCACCTCCACCACCGAGTCACTGCAATTGCAGCATGACAACACCTCCCCCTCCTCAGGAAAACTCACCTCCACCACCGCCTACCTCTAGGCCACCCCCAGCTTCTCCTCCACCGTGTTCAGAACAAGCACCACCGCCTCTATATTTTCCATCCCCACCCTCTTCAAGCTAATAATAACCGCAGAAAAGAAAAGCTACAATTGAGTTGCCAAAGACACCCATTCAACTCCTTAGGATGCATCACTTGTGTCATCTTTATCTTAGCAGGCGGCCATTTCCATTCATGATATGCCACAGTAATAACTGGATGGTCATAATTCAGGTTCTGGCAAATCGAAATTCATCAAAAAGAAGAGAAGTGAATCATCATTCATCAATGCACGTGCCGCAGGATTTTGACTTTTTTTGTTTTCAACGATATCTCATTGTTGATCAACATATACACACACGTACCGAATGATGGATATAGTGACGTGGTAGAGACGCCATACCAGAACACAGCATTTACTTTTCTTTGTTATCCAACTTTGTACTTCCTCCTCCTATGCCATAGCATTAGTGTAGGCACTACCTAGCCCACATACTATCATTTGTTCTTTCATTCATTCTTTTATAATGATTTTGATTGCTTCTTTGTTTAAATGCAACATTTTTTTTTTGCAAAAACAAGACTTTTTATTAATACTAGCGGATGGACCGCGCAAAGATTTAAATTTTGGTGTTTTTTAGATTAAAGTTGTGTGTCTTAGGATGAAAAAGTATGAGACGCATTTATGGAGTTTTGTTTCTTACTTCGTATATCAATTTTGTATCCACGCGAGAGTTTGCTATAAAATGTGACTTGAATAAAGGGCTCTAACAATCGTTTACAAATATACAGATTTTAGATTAGGTAAGACCGTAAGACAGATAACTAGCAAAATATCCAAACGTTACGCCAAGCACATTGAAATTGTTTGAATGTGTCATCACCATCCATCCCTCATTAGTCATTACCATTGATTATGTTGAAGGGTTAATGGTAATGGGTGATTAATGGTATGGCACTGATGGATATGTGTAGTTATAGTAATGGGTACCCACACGGGTAGCTCAGTTGTTTGAGTGGTGGAAAATTTGGATTAAGGGACCAAGGTTCGAATCCCGCAGCGACCGTGCGGAGGTTACAACCTCACAAATGGGTTGGACCTCTGGCGCACACGGGTATATGGACCTACTATCACTTCGCTGACTGAGTCACCGTGATTTATCCTCCCACGTGCCCTGTCGGGTCGGGGTGTGGGGGGCTCAAGAGGTGGGAGATTCCACCTTTTGGATCAAGTTATGGTAATGGGTGGGGAATTAAAGGTTGGGTTATGGACTTGGCATATATGCATACCCTTTTACAAAAAAAAAATACAAAAGAAACATACAATAACATCATACGGAGTATTATTTAACACACCACTTTTTATATAAAAATAATTATAATAGTCATTTTAACTTGTTTCCAAGTTTTTTGTACGTTTATTTATAAATTGTAGCATTTCCCTTAAATGTTAAATATATTAAGTGACTGTTTAAGAAGTGAGTGTGCGCCTTTAATAAAAAGAAGAAATGAGGGTGAGAAGATATTTTAATTGAAAATTTTATTGAAAAAGTAAAGATTGAATAAATAATAAAGTAATATTATTTTCGTCCCATTGTACTTTGTCATATTTGAACTAGGTAAGAAGTAAGAAAATAAAAATTATGTTATTAATTTTTTGCACATAAAAAATAAATAAATAAATAGGATTACGAATTACTTATTTTAATAAAAAGTGAATTTGTTTTGGAAGAGCAAAAAAGAAAAGTTGATAAAACTGAACAAGACTAATAATACACATTAATAAGTGGGAAAATATCAGAGGAAAAATCGATGGACAGAAGGGTTTGATAATTCTACATTTTAAATGAGCACGTGAGCACGTGACTACTCAAACAAAGAAGCAATTCATCATAATAATACGTAATAATTAAAGATTTTTTTATTTGTAAACATTTTCTTATACACATCTTATACACCCTTCCTGAGAACTACTTTTTTGTATGTTTATTCTCGTTCACAGACAAAACATTTATGAGAATCGTTTAAGTGGAAGGATTCACATACGCATCGTCAGTTAAGCAAGGCGCTTCTCTGCGGCTTCACAGCAGCTTCTTCCACATCGACCGACGGACCGAGTCGACTCAGACGAGGGACGAGCCAAGTCAGCGGACGACTGGACGTCTGCACCGTTAACGGTGCTGTTCCTGGGGCCCTGCAGTCACGGCTTATCTCGGGTATGGAGCTGCACTGCAACTTATTTTTTTTCTCACCTTCTATGCGCTTGATTTTATTATTTCAGATGGAGCTAATACGCGGGGTTTCTGATTGGATTTTTTTTTGCGCTCTTACGAATTAGGTCTTGAATGCTGGGGAATTTGGAGGTAAAGTGAAGCTGTGTGGGGGCTAAGACTCGTGCTCTTGGTCCCCTGCGAATATGTATATTTAATTGAAAGCGTTTCGTGATTCTGATTCAGAGAAAATGAGTTGCAGACTAGAGAGTCCATTCATTGCTTGCCAGTTTACCCGCGATTTATATGGAGTGAAAAGGGGGAGATTGTGTTATAGAGGTGGAACTAGGATACTGAAAAGGGATATTTGCAAATGTAAATGCTCAAAGAAAGATAGCTGGATATCTAAAGGTGTAAACTTTACGCATTCTTTAGAGAGAAATGCTCAATTGCTATGGAAGAAGTTTGCCCTCAGAAGCGGGGGATTGATGTATTCAGTTAAACAACCTTTGGTCCAAAGTAGGAGTTTCGTGAAATGGATGGTTCGTGTATGGGATGAAGGATTACTTCTTGTGCGCTGTTCTGTCTTTTTTACGGTGATATCTGGAGTTTGTCTACTGCTTTGGTATGGTCAGAGAAAAGCCAAGACCTATGTTGAAAACAAGCTTCTGCCTTCTATTTGTGTATTATTGAGTGATTACATTCAGCGTGATCTGGATTTTGGTAGAGTGCGGAGAATTTCACCACTAAGCATTACATTGGAGTCATGCTCTATCGGTCCCCATAGTGAAGAGTTTTCCTGTGGCGAGGTTCCATCTCTCAAGTTACGAATTCTGCCATTTGCTAGTTTGAGAAATGGAAAGATTGTTATTGACGCAGTCTTATCAAATCCAAGTGTTCTGGTAGCACAAAAAAAGGATTTCACTTTCTTGGGTATACCCTTTTCTGAAGGCAGTCAACAGAGGCATCTGTCTGACGAAGAAGGAATTGATTACCGTACAAAAACTAGGAGGATTTCCAGAGAGGAAGCGGCTGCTAGCTGGGCCAGGGATAGGGACAATGCAGCTAGGGAAGCAGCTGAGAATGGTTATGTTCTTCGTGAACGGGTATCTTGTTTGTCAGAGGGCGACTTCACCAATGGTGGTGTTAGTTCTTCGGAAAAATTGGCAGCATCTGAGTCATTCTTTTGTATGGATGAGAAACTGCACTGGAAAGATCATCATTCTTTGGACACTGTAGGGGAGTATGTTATGAAACATGCAGATCTCGAGAAGGCTTTTGGTGCCAAAGTTCCTCCTCCAGGGACTACATTTTGGTCTCAAATCATGCCTGCTGTAGTGAGGCATAATTTCAAGAAGTGTAATAAAAAAGAGTTAACCACAACTAATATTGCAGCTAAAAAAAGAATCTTAGAGCGAAGTGCTTTGACCGCTCGCATATATTATCAAGCTCTATCAAATGGTACCAGGGGAATTGCTACTCAATCTCCTGGAGATCATGAAGTGATAAGTGAGGCCAAAAGTGACGAGGACAGGGAAACTGTGATTTCACCAGTGCACGATGCTGAAGGGAACAAAGTTAATGATGATACAACATTTGAATCATTCATGCATGATTCTATGAGTAAGGGAGTCGGGGAACTTGGGCAAAACTTCAAAAGTGAACATATCAGTGTCAAATTTCCTGGAAACTTTTTGCCTGGAGAAAAACATGACAGTAGTTACATTGGTAGTATACCATTCTTGTGCGATCCTTTTCTTTTTATGTTGACTAGACTGTGCGAGACTACGAATCTTTGTGAAAAACTATCAATGAAGGATGTTACCAGGATTAATGAGACCAACGAAGGTGATATAAATGCTAAAGAATCAGAAGTTCATATCATAAATGGAGATGATAGTAGTCATAGTACAAAGCAAAAATCTGAATTATCTACTGACTTGATGCAGGAGGCTTGTTCTGATCCTTCAGATAGTCAAAGAGACCATCCTTCTAATGACTCAAGTTTTAATGTCTTTAATTCTTTTCCTCTCAAACACTGCTCTGAAAAGGTTGGGCTGTTCAGCCTCAAATCTGTACTGCGCAACATGACTCTGGCTTTGAGTCTTTTGATTGGTAATCCTATTAAAAGAATGGAGTTGTACATGAATCCAAGAAATGGTTTTTCTGAACTTGCAGAAGATGTTGAAGAAGATGTGGTCAACATAGAAAGAGCAATTCCAGTAATTTTGGATTCCGTTCATTTCAAGGGTGGCACCTTAATGTTGCTAGCATATGGTGACACTGAGCCAAGGTAATCCTCTCCAATGTGCTTCTTTTTTTCATGTTAGATTAAAAGTTTTTTAGGAATTTGTTGAGTTGGCCCTGTAATTTGTGTCTGTCTAATATTTTTCCGCAACTTTACCCGCTCGCAGATTATGTCATGTAACTAATAATCTTTCCTATATTAACGATATTTCCATTGGAATTTGTCATAACCTTTAGGAAAAGTAGGGCCATATGTGACTTTGAAGGGTTTAACGTAGGTTTAAGTTGTTTTGCTCCATTATTATTTGGGTGAGATGTATCTTATTAAAAATATGGGCTTATTATTAATACATGCTGAACCAGAAAAGTAGGTTGACAAACCTTTGCTAGCCCAGGCTATTTACATGACCATTTTTTCTTCTTCTGCGCTTCATGCACAACAATTGTGCCTCAGTCAGGTAGCTGCGCCCGGCAGCCTTACAGGCGCTAACTATCAGATGCGCCTCACCTGGTGTGCTTAAGCCCAGAGCCCCAGACGCTCACTTTTGACTACATTGGTTGCATCTATATTTATTAAACACATTTGAACCATTTTATGTACTGCATGGGGTAAACTTATTTTAAGAATTTTAATGCCAGCTTCGGGTACTTGATTCAGTCATTGGACTTTTGATTTCTACCCTCCACACACACATAGTGGGAAGTGAGAATGGTTTTCTTGCATTGGATTTGAGATTTGATGGCTTTAAAAAGTGCACACTGAGCAGCAGGTTTGGTTAAAAATGCGGTGGCAATTCCGTAAACAAGTGAACGTTTTTTCCACCACATTAAGGTGTAGTATTTAAACATAAAAGTGCAAGATAGCAAAGTAAAAGTGAAGAGCATTTCTCACGTTAAGCACTATTTTTACTTGAACCACACTCTCTATATAGATATGCATGCATATATAATTTATAATGATATTATTATGATTTATAATTATTATAATATTATGATTCCCATAGAGAGATGAAAAATGCTACTGGGAGTGTCAAGTTTCAAAATGACTATGGTCGCGTGCATGTACAACTCAGTGGTGGGTGTGCGATGTGGAGAGAGATGACACCCGAAGATGGGGGCTGGCTGTCATGTGATGTTTATGTCGATATGAGTGAGCAGAGATGGCATGCAAATCTGAAACTTGCAAACTTCTTTGTTCCGGTAAATTACATTTTTGCTAGTATTTGATAAATAGAGCTACTCCTTTTCTCCACTCAGAGAGCGCTGAAGTGACTTCCGAAAGTCATGCTGATTGTTATGTCCATATACAGCTTTTTGAGAGAATTTTGGAAATCCCGATTACATGGTTTAAGGGAAGAGCAAACGGTGAGGTGCTTCTCTAACTTCTTGTGCTGTTGAGTTTTAATATTATATGCATAGATGACCTTTTTTTTTCTGAATCTTAAATCCTGCATCTGTGCAATAGTGCAATAGACTTCTACATTCCCATCTTTATTTTCTTATTTTATTTTTTTGTTTGGATTGCTTAAAGTGCTTATGTTAATTCATTGTGTTGAAGATAGTTGTACTACAGTCCAGTCGTTGTTCATTAGCTGAAATGCAGAGTCATATATTAGCTGTTGTAGGTATCCATAGCAAGGCGATAATATGCAACTCTGGAGCTAGTTTACTGGAAACGAATAGAAGCCACCCATTCATACTAATAGATGACCTTTATTTGTAATGTCTTACTTCACCTCCGAAAAAGTCCAATTTTGTGAAGGTATGACTTTTTAATATCTATATCAAAGTACAACTATTGAAAGTCATGGAATCCTACCTATATTTTAGTATCTATTTTTGTTTAACTAAAGTCATAAGTCATAACATTGAACTCGTTTGTAATTTTTCTTGGAGAATTAGATTGATGGTCTGATTCATGTTAGCCGACCCCAAAATCTTTTGGGACTAAGGCTCGGATGTTGTTGTTGTTGTAATTAGATGAATGGACCAGTTCCGTCTTAGGAAATAGGGCTCCTTTTTTAAAGGACAAATATGGCTTTTGAAACAAAATTCTTTTTTGGGATGGAGTACAAAAAAAATCCAAGAATAAGCAACCACTGATTTTCAATTTGGTCCTCAGATTCTGCATTTTACATGCATTTATCAGTTTCCTTTAACTGATTTTTATTTCTTCTTCTGTGAGTAAATTATCCAGCATCTTGCAGCCCATTGCGTGTATCAGAAATTCAGAATGTTACTACTTGTTGTCTGCACTCCACGACCAAATGGGGTTGCAAAATTCATCATTTGGTGGACACAACTTAGACCCTTTTACTCATTCTCATGTGGTTGTGGAGTGGGCTTAGTGCATGTTCTATACTCTTGCTTTATGAATAGGGTCTTTAGTGTATTCTTTACGTAGTACCGAAGTATTTCGTCTAGACATATGAGGATAGCATATTTTTCATCTCAAACTTGCATGGCATTAAAGATTTATAGTTCTTTCAACTTCATCTATGTGCATAAATGTACCCAAAACCTTAATTGCTCGATAACCTTTTTTGCAACTGGATTAGTGTGAAGTTATGTAGTCATCATCATCATCATCATCATTACCCCAGTGCCGCAAAGGCTCCCACCTACGGTGGGGTAAGGGGGGTTGGATGTACGCAGTCTTACCCCTGTACTAAAGCACAGAGAGACTGTTTCCGAATGACCCATAGTGAAAATCGCGTCGAAAAATACATAGAGTGACTGCTGCTTCACAATAAAGAAGCGCAGACAGTTTAGTGAGCCATTTTGCTTTATTCCATCATATTCTCAAATCTCAAGCCAAAAAATAGTGAATATTTGGCTCCATTGCAAATGATGGAAATTGTGAAGTTATGTAGTGAGTGTACATAATCATTATACTCATCCTCATCTTTCCAAACCCAATTGGAGTGTCTCACATTTTCTTGTGTTTCTAATTTTAGTTCGTGTGATGCCATTTTGACGAACATTTTCACAAGTCATTTTGTAATTCGTATCAATTATCTGCAGCTTCTCCCCTTATATTAGTTCACACAGATGTTATGTGTCCATGTTGTGTCATATGCCGATATGTGCTTTGGGTACCCTATCACATTCATTGATACTATTCTAGGTATACATAGTTTTTGTTTCAAAATAGAATCATAATTCGGCAAGCTAATCCTTTTCTGATTAAGTGACAATTCTTGAAAAATGTTTCTTTACTCTTAAGACTCTGCCTGACTTCTCAGAGTAATCCCCTGGTCCTCTTGTTTCTTCGTAGTGCAACACACTGGGATTCTAGAACATAAAACCATCTCTTAGTAGTTGTAGCCTGCGCCCTTTCACTTCATGCAGATGCTCCTTCCCATTGACGGGGGTGATGCTGCTCACACAGCATGTCACTTAGTAAATCACATGCTGTCTTATGTCAGTAACCGTGCCAAAGGTCAGAACTTCGCTTAAAATTTAGAGTTTCATAAAAGTAACAACACTGTTCACATGGTTAAATAACTTGGCGTAACATAAGAAGCTCTAATACCATGTAAACTACTAGATTTTTGGATTAAAATTTCTTGATTGGATTAAGGTTTTGAGGTATAAGAAGCTCTAATACCAAGCATTCCAGCCCAGCTGGTTGTGAGGTTATCGTGCCTAGTGAGAGGTCTCGAGTTCGAAACCAGCCAGGCACATAAGGGTTTGAAACTCAATGGAGTGAGTTTCAGCCCTGGTTACTACAGGCCCCCCAGCCCCCCCTAGAGTAAAAAAAAAATAAGGTTTTAAACATCCTTAAATAGATACGTCTTAGTCTTTTAAACAGTAAGATTTGCTATGTTGATTTAATTAGTTATTTGTAAGCTAGAGGTGCACTAATGTATAGCTTCTCTAGACTTGCTTGACAGCCCCGATTGATGAATTTAGTAGTATATTGATGAAGATAGCAGAGTTACTATGGCACAAATCGTAAGAAATAGAAGAAACAGAATGTCGAGACCCTTAGACCAGTCCCCTCTCCCAAGTTTCATGAATTATGTTGTCCGACACCCTATATGTACATTATTACATTATTTAATACTACCTCCGTTCTCTTTTAATTGCAACATTGAACTTTTTACACTATTCACATATTCTACTTTGACTATATTTTATTTATTAATGTATTATAATTTAAATTTTTAAAAAATATTGTTAAATTCTTCTCATTCTAGATTTTCAAAATCTGATTTTTTTAAGTTTTTTACTAATAAGGAATGAAAATATTGTTGTCTTTCACTAATTTTTTTAATTTTTTACTATTTTTTTGTTTTTCTTTTTTCTTGTTGTCTGTCTTCTCTTTTTGGCATCGATATGATGGATCGATTCATGTTAGCCGACCCCAAGATCTTTTGGGATTAAGGCTTGTATGTTGTTGTTGTAAGGAATGAAAGATGTTAATGGTCAAACTTGTGCGTTGGCAAACGTGAAAAGTGGACTGTTGCAATTAAAAAGCAACGGAGGAAGTATAATTCTATTATTCGTATTATTATTGGCTGTCCATGTCCCTATCACCCGAGGAATACAAGTACGGTAACATTATACTTTAACACATTTGTTGCCATGGCCCATGGCCATTGTTGTAAATATCATTATCTCTAACCAAGCTATGTTTACTTGTTTGTTAAATCACGTCTTGGTTAGTCAATTATCACACCTAGTGCCTTCTTGACAGTGATGTGTTATGGCTGATAGAATTCCAGTCATCCAGTGGTATATTGCCAAGTATATCTAAATATGTATGCCTGACCATTCCTTATTTACGGGTCATGCCTAATTTTCTACCTTATCAAATTCTGGAATCTGGATTTCTTGACAGGTTCACATATGCATGTCAAGAGGAGAGAATTTTCCTAATCTGCACGGGCAGCTTGATGTATCTGAGTTAGCATTTCAGATATATGATTCTCCATCAGGGTTTTCGGTGAGTCCTATTTAAACCTATATTTGCATTAGTTCTAAAAAACTTTAATGCTGATGGCTTATTCGGTGCAATGTAATTATTGCTTGCTTGTTACTTCCTCCGTCCCTCAAAACTTTGCCAAGTTTGACTGGCACAAGAAATAAAGTAGAAACTGCGTGATTGGGGTTTGTGTAGAGGAGAGAGAAATAATAGGAACCCCTAATTCATTGATTAAAAGGGAAAGTGACTAAGTTTTTGGGACACCCAAAAAGGAAAGATAGACAAAGTTTTAAGGGACGAAGGGAGTAGTTTTTAAGAAAAAATTATCTTTTGATAGTTTAGAGTAAGTTATTGCCTAGAAACATCTCTAATTAATTGCCTAGAAAAAAAATTATCTTTTGATAGTTTAGAGTAAGGTATTGCCTAGACAATTAGACATTGGGAATACATAGTCTGTTTACATCGTTCTTAAGTGCAATTCTAGGGTGTGCCGGAGGGCACTGAAATTTACATTAGTGATATCTGTGAATATTTTGGTTAAATGGTTTTTAGGACTTCAGACGTACTCTGTTTAACCACATTGTACTTTTTCATTCTATGGCACTGTTGATGGAAACTGATAGTTACATTTGTCTTATCTGTTAATGTTATGATGAAATATAATCTTTTTTAGGACTTCTTGCTTGAGTTGCTTCTAGCTGCCAGTCTTCTCACTTTTATTTTTGTTGTGCGAAGTGGATGTGATGTACATGATAGTAAGTTACCAATTCTAATGATCCATCCTGTTTCTGCATTTCCATTTTCAGGACATATCTGCAAATTTATGCTTTCGTGCTCAACGGATATTTTTACACAACACCAATGGTTGGTTTGGAGATATTCCTTTAGAAGCTTCTGGAGACTTTGGCATTGACCCAGAGGAAGGAGAGTTCCACCTTATGTGTCAGGTATAATCTTTGAGCCATTTTCTAAAAAAACTGAAGTACTAAAACATCACAAGCTGTTAAACTATAGAAAGCTCTGACACTGCATTGCAATATTAGCACATGAAACCTAAGTACGGACTGGTTCTGGTACATCAGTCCTCTCTCCCTTTTTTCTGTATGCAATAACTTAATACCATGTCAATGTTTTGACTTTTCAGTTTTATCAAAGTTGGTTACTATCCTGGTGGCTCACTTCTTTATTTCTGTTTCTGGTTCTTTTTTCAGGTTCCTAATGTCGAAGTAAATGCATTGATGAAAACTTTCAAAATGAAGCCTTTATTGTTTCCGGTATGTATTCTTTTCATTTGCGCACTTGGTTGCATCTATCTCCATATGACCATATCTAAACTCGAGTGAAATAAGTCTTGCTTTGAGCTGAAAAGAACTACTCTGCTGCATTGGGGGTGGTGCATGTTTATTCCCTCAACAAAACTTTGTAAAGTTAAGCTTGTTTTTTAGTATAAGATTTTCTAATGAAGATTTTTTCATTGAACTTTATTGGCACATTACTTCCCTACGAAGGTATACACCCTTGGCTGTCGTAACTCGTAACCCAATATGTAGTAGTCAGATAGCAGAAAATAAAAACTAGTTCTATATCAACATTTGAAGCTCGTGAAATTATCTTTAGGAAAGAATGTAGTTGCATTTGTCTACAATTGTTCACTTATTCGCATGTTGGTCATGTGTTCATAATCTGATCCTGGAACATTTTGTGCATTTGTATAAACACCTTGCAATTGTTCACTTATAAAAATGGCTCACTAAACTGTCCGCGCTTCTTTGTTATGAAGCAGCAGTCTGTCCATGCAATTTGCGACGCGATTTTCATCATGGGTCATCCGGAAACAGTCTCTCTGTGCTTTAGTACAGGGGTAAGGCTGCGTACATCCGACCCCCCTTTACCCCACCGTAGGTGGGAGCCTTTGTGGCACTGTGGTAATGTTGTTGTTGTTGTTGTTGTATAAACACCATGCATAACTTTCCAAGACTAGAACTCGAGCCCAATGGTGTGACTCTTCAGCTGAGGTAGATGCATAATTATAAACCCTGTGTGCATAAATACTATTTGGTTGATAATCCCCCCTCTCCGTGAGGTTTTTGAGCATTCTGTTGGAGTCAACTGTGTGTTGGGTCTCACAGTCATTTCAGCTCTTATTAATATTATGAATGTACCATATGAAAGTTTTATGCATCCCATCAAAACCAAATTTGGGAGAAGTGTTATTTTATTGCTATATTTGATTCATAGAGCAGCGTTTGGGGTCGTTCTACTTTCTCCATGATGTTAAGTTGTTAACCCCTCTTTTGTTTACTTCAGATAGCTGGTTCCGTAACAGCTGTATTCAATTGTCAAGGTCCCTTGGACGCACCAATTTTCGTAGGGAGTGCATTGGTTTCTAGAAAAGTTACATATTTGCCCAACCAACATCCCGTGTCAATTGCATATGAGACTGTGGCTAAAAATAAAGAGGCTGGGGCTGTTGCTGCAATGGATCGTGTTCCCTTTTCATACATCTCGGCCAATTTTACTTTTAACACTGACAACTGCGTAAGTGATTAATCATAACTACAATTCAGTGACCGCATTTAGTATTATTCATTTTTTTCTTGAGAAACGTCAATAGTAGGTAAATCTTGTACGTTGTAGGTTGCTGACTTGTATGGAATCAGAGGCAGCCTTGTTGATGGGGGTGAAATCCGTGGCGCAGGGAATGCATGGATTTGCCCAGAGGTTTTTGCGCGCACAAATTGGCTTAAAGATGCATTAAATGACATTGATTGGAATGGCTATACTTATTATCATTTCTCATGGCTGCTTAGCACCAACTTTAGAGCTCTTAGTTTGATAAGCTATTGTTTACCTTGTCCTAAGTTGTTGAGCCATGTGAAAATCATTTTTTACTTATTATCTAATAAGATTAAGTAAAGCTTTGAATGGTTCTGTACTGAATCTTGTAGACGCACTTTGCCTTTTTTGTTTTACGTGATTATTTAGGTAACATGAAACTATTTTGAAGTGCATGGAATTTAGTGGTTTATGTTTACAGTCTTGGTACTGAGAACTTTAATCATGCAGGGTGAAATCGATGATACAGCAATTGATGTAAACTTTTCAGGAAGTTTAAGTTTTGATAATATCATGAATCGCTATGTCCCTGGTTTTCTTCAAGTGACGCGTCTTCGGCTAGGTCTTCTGAATGGGGAAACAAAGCTTTCTGGCTCGTTATTCAAACCGTACGATCTCTTTGTGCCCTCTGTTTGCTAATCAGCTTCTGTTCACATGTTCCAGTTATATTTTTCTGTGATACTTAAGGGCCCCTGTATTTGTAGAAGGTTTGATATCAAATGGAATGCACCAAAAGCTGATGGATCACTCACTGATGCTCGTGGAGATATCATACTTTCTCATGATTGTATTACTGTCAGTTCTTCGTCGATAGCTTTTGAATTGTATTCAAAAGTATTAACATCTTATCCAGATAAATATTGGTTAAATCCCACGGAAAATGATGAGAAGATTGCCCTGCCTTTTGTTGTGGAAGGACTAGAATTAGATTTACGAATGCGCAATTTTGAATTCTTCAGCTCAGTCTCTTCTTATGCTTTTGACTCTCCAAGGCTGGTGCATTTGAAAGCAACTGGAAGGGTTAAGTTTCGGGGAGAAGTTGTAAACTGTTGGAATGCTACTGATGAGAAATTATGGCATTCCAATAGGAGCGCAGAACATGTAACTAAGGATGACAATGGTTCACATATTCTTTCTGGCGATGTTTCAATTTCGGGTCTTAAACTTAATCAATTAATGCTGGCACCTCAGTTAACTGGAGTCTTGAGCATGACAAATGAGGTTTTGAAGGTTTGCCTTTAACCTCTTGTCCTTTGTTTCATACATATTGTCTATCTTTGGTCCATAGCACACTAATCTGAAGTAAAACTCTCATAATTAATCTAGGTAGGTATTTTTTGATCATCCACCTAAAAAACATTTGCATTGATTCTTTTCTTTTGTTCTATTGTGTTGCCTGGGGGGGGGGGGGGGGGGGAGGGGGTTGAATTCTAGAATGGATCCAACAATATGGAGATGTAAAGTAACTTTGTCGTGCTCCTCAAACAGGTTATGATCCCAAGTTTTTGCTGAAAGTGTGATGTTTTTGAAATAGAATAAAAATGTTTTGCAAAATCAAACTTTGATCTTCAGGGGCTAAATTGCTCTGGAGTATAACTTCTGATCGCTCCTCAACTCAACCCCTTTTTTCTGTCTAAGCTGCAGTTGGATGCCATAGGTAGACCAGACGAAAGTCTTGCACTGGAGATCATAGGACTCTTTCAGTCTCTTTCAGAAGAAAATGTTATTGGCAAGTCGTTCTCGCTTTCCCTCCAAAAAGGGCATCTAAAAACCAATGTGTGCTACCAACCACTACATTCAGCTAATCTGGAGGTACTCTGTAGGCTCTAGTGCTCAATTTGTGGCATTTATGCTTAACTTAACTAAAACCATTACTGCAACCAGGTACGCAATTTGCCTTTGGATGAGCTTGAGCTTGCTTCATTGAGGGGAACGATTCAAAGGGTAATAGCCTTTTACTTAGAAATATCTGGTCCATTTGATAAACTCATTGCACACTTCCACCTGTGTCTAGAGTTTGATTCCTTTCCCATTAGTACATTTTTTTAAGGAAAAGAGTAGTAGTAGTAGTAGTAGTAGTAGTAGTAGTAGTAGTTGTAGTAAATATGAAGTATGAGAAATAGTTTTTATTAGAAAACGAACTCAGATGAAAAGTAGGAGATTTCAATTATATTGATTACAAGAGTCAATACAAGTATTTATAGTAGAATACAAGTAACTAACTCTAACAGCCTGTATAACAGCACTAACAGCCTAAGGTATATCTAGAAGGTTCCAAGCTATTTACAATAAACGTATGTAACATTATTTTATATTCCTAACATTCCCCCCTCAAACTTAGGGTGATTGATTTGGAAGGTCGGTCAATCACACTAAGTTTGGCTTTTAACTCAAGAAAAGAAGATGCAGATAAAGCCTTTGTCAGAATATCAGCAATTTGTTGGGAAGCAGGAATATGGAACACTTCAATCTGCTTGGACTGAACTTTCTCCCTCACAAAAAAGAGATCAATCTCCATGTGTTTTATCCTGGAGTGTAACACAGGGTTGTGGGCAAGCTGTACAGTGCTGAGGTTGTCACAGTAGATTTTTGGAGTAGAGAATGATACTTGAAGTTCTTTGAGTAGGAACTGAAGCCACAGGAGTTCAGCTGCAGTGTCTGCTAAACTTCTGTATTCAGCTTCTGCAGAGGATCTGGCCACTCTCAGTTGTTTCTTGGACCACCAAGAGATGATGTTTGACCCAAGAAAGATGCATGATCCAGAAGTAGACCTTCTGTCAACTAGGTCAGATGCCCAATCAGCATCACAGAAGGCAAAGATAGGTAAAGGCATAGTTTTCAGAGGTAGAGGTTTAATGATGATGCCATGTGTTATAGTACCAGATAGATATCTGAGAATGTGTTTTACTGCCTTCCAGTGATCTTGTAGAGGTACTGCCATGAATTGACAGACCTTATTTACAGCATAACTAAGTTCTGGCCTTGTAAGAGTTGCATATTGCAGCATGCCAACAATGGATCTATAAGTGGAGGGATCAGGAAGAGTAGCACTTCCTGTATTGGTTAGCTTGCAGTTACTAACCATGGGAGTTTTCACTCCTTTGGAATCAATCATGCCAGCTTGATGTAATAAATCTCTTATGTACTTGGTTTGAGAGAGATGAAGACTTCCATCAGGTAGCTTTTTGACTTCTATTCCTAGGAAGAAGTCAATGTCACCCAAGTGCTTGAGAGAAAAGGATGAGTGTAGTTTGTAAATAAGGTTTTGAATTGCTTTAGAATCATTGCCTATGACCAGAATGTCATCTACATATATTAATATGTAGATCTGAACTCCTTGAGACTTGAAGAATAGGAGAGATGGATCACATTTACTTTGCTGAAACCCTGCTGTATAAAGAACTGAAGTCAGTTTTTGAAACCAGGCCCTAGGAGCCTGCTTTAGGCCATATAATGACTTGTGAAGTTTGCAGACTAAAGTGGTGTCCTGTGCCTGAAAGCCTGGGGGTTGGACCATGTAGACTTCTTCATCAAGTGTTCCATTTAGAAAGGCATTATTGACATCTAATTGCTGAATGGACCAATGATAAGAAACTGCCAAAGTGAGCAATATTCTGATAGTGATAGGTTTGATCACTGGAGAAAATGTTTCTTTGAAATCAAATCCAAACCTTTGATGGAAGCCTTTGGCCACTAATCTGGCCTTATATTTGTTAAGAGAACCATCAGGGTTTTCTTTAACTCGAAAGACCCATTTACAGCCTATAGCTTGTTTGTCGGGTGGTAAAGGAACTAAAGACCAAGTTTGATTTTCTATCAAGGCATTATACTCATTTTTCATTGCAGAAAACCACTTAGGAGATGTGAGTGCTTGCTTCACTGACTGAGGCTCAACATGTGCTAACAGCAAGGTAGGATTAAGTCTAGGTTTATTAATTCCTGATTTTGATCTAGTTTGCATAGGATGAGTGTTAGTTATATGAACAGAATTTGAAATTGAGGAAGTAGAGTCAGATGATGGAGGAGAAGGTGGTTGATTAATAGCTTGTTGATGTAGGGATGGACTGGGAGTAGAGTTGTTGGAATTTGCTGAAGAATTATGAGTGGAAGGAGTAGATGAATGGCTTGCTGATTGATTGTGATTATTAGAAGAGATGGGTTGCGAGGCAGTGTGCTGGAAATTATTTGATGAGAAGTTATGAGACTGAGATTGAGATGAATTAGAACCAGAAGAAGGATTTGAGTCTAAAACAGTTAATATGGCAGAATCTGAGTTATGAATAGGTTTGGTTGTGGGAATAGAAGATTGGGATACAGATGAATAGGGAAAACTGGATTCATGAAAGATGACATCCTTTGAAATGTACACTCTGCCAGATTTTGAAAGACACTTATAGCCTTTATGCTGAGAAGAATATCCTAGGAATGTACATTCTTCTGAGTGAAAATCAAACTTTAAGAAAAGAATAATCTGGAATAGATCCATAAAGTTTAAAATATGGGCTGGAATTGGCAATGGACTTAGATGGAGTTCTGTTGATAAGGTGCACAGAGGTTGCAAATGCAGCATCCCAGAACTTAAAAGGTAAAGAAGAATGGGCTAGGATTGAGAGACCTTTTTCAACAATAGTGCGATGTTTCCTTTCAACCAAACCATTTTGATGATGAGTGTGGGGACATATGATTCTGTGAGTGATTCCTTTGTCATTGAGGAAATTAGTGAAGGATCTAAATTCTCCTCCCCAGTCAGACTGTACAGATTTAATGGATATTGAAAATTGATTGAGAATCAAGTTGTAGAAATTTTGGAATGCTAGAAGAGCATCAGACTTATTTTTCAGGAAATATATCCATGTATATCTTGTAAAGCCATCAATAAAGGCTATATAATAGGAATATCCATCAAAAGATACAATGGGTGCTGGACCCCAAAGATCTGTGAATATTACTTCAAAGGGTTTATGATAAACAGTATTAGAAGGATGTGAAGGAAGTCTATGTGCCTTCCCAAGACAGCAAGCAGAACAGAAATCAACATCAATGTGATTTATAGAAGACACATTACAATGTTTAAGTACAGATTTAAGTGCCTCAAGATGAGGATGACCTAATCTGAGATGCCAAAGATTACATGAAATTGAAGAATTACATGACTGAGACTTATTACATGATGACAAACAAGACATTGGATGCACAAATTTATTAGTTGACACTAAAGAGGCTGGAGGATGGACTGCAGCAGTTTGACATGAACCAAGAGGAATGAAAGGAAACTTGTATAAGCCATCTTCACCAAGTTTTCCATGCAACAAGACTTGTTTAGAAACCTGAGATTTGACATAGCAGTCATGAGGATAAAATTCAAAGAAGACATTATTGTCCTTGGCAAACTGACTAACACTCAGTAGATTTTTGGTTATATGAGGAACATGAAGTATATTATTCAGTAAGAGTGATTGTGAGGAGTGAAAAGGTGAGAGAAAGGAAGAAAAACCTATAGACTTAATATCCAAACCTTGTCCATTGCCCATGAAGAGCTTGTCAGATGTGGCAATAGGCTCACTGTGCTGGAAATTTAGTGGATCTGCAGTAACATGGTGAGTTGCTCCTGAATCTGGAAACCAATGTTGATTAGATGGAATAGGACTAGGTACAGAATGATTAGCAGTGGCATAGTTTGCAATTGGTGGAGTATTAAAAGGTTGCTGATGTCCCCAGTTGAAGGTTTCAGGATGTGGAGATGGATTGGTAGGCTGATGATTCCATGACTGATTGGGTTTTGATTGTATAGACTGAGATTGAAAGGTATATGGTTTAGGTTGATGAGTATAATGATTTGGAGGATAGTGAGATTGTGAGTTGGGATTCCAGTAGGATGGAGGTCCAGATGTTTGATTTGGATAATTAGGGTTTTGAGAAGAAGGATTAGGGTTTGGATTGGTATATGCAGGATTGTATCTATGGTAGCAAATCAAGGCATGGTGACCTGATTTTCCACAGACTTGACAAGTGATAGAATTACGTCCAGAGCGACCACCCCTGCCTCTGTAATAGCCACTGCGACCACGTCCGCGGTAAGAATTACCACTATTTGGATTATTATACTGAGAAACATTTGCAGAGGCATTTTCAACAGAAACAGAGATTTCAGATGAATTGTTTTGAGAGGAATTATCAACTTGAGCAACGTTGGCAGAAAATATGCTTTGCTGAGTAGTATCATGATGTTTCTTAAGTCTCATCTCTTTTGCTAGAAGCAAGGACTCAAGTTCAGTTAAGGTAACTGGTTCGAGAATGCTTCGAGAAGTTACAGAGGACACAAGAGATTCATAATCTTGCGGCAATCCTTCGAGTATGACATTGATATGATCTTTATTAGAGATCGGTTCACCTACGAGAATAAGATTGTTAACAATTGTCTGAATTCTAAGCAGGTACTCTGAGATGGATCGTTCCCCTTTTCCAGTGTTATAGAGTTCGGACTTGAGCTGCCTCGCCCTAGCAACGATGTTAGCTTGGAAGAAATTGCGAATCGTGTTCCAGAGTTCATACGATCGCTGGCAATGAATAATACGAGCATGTAGAGTTTCAGATAGAGACGAAAGCATCCATGCGAACAACATCTGATCCTGTGAATCCCAGTGAGTGTAAGCCTCATTCACAGTTTCATTTCCATCTTCATCTGTGATGAATTGCTCTGGAGTCTTCGAATTCTCTATAAACCGAACAAGTTTGTGCGCGCGAATCACAGACTCAACATGATGCTTCCACAAAAGATAGTTATTCGAGTCTAATTTGATTGGAAGAGGGTGATTGAACGCTACTGGAAAGGCGACACTTCCAGCAGCGGAGGTTGAAGATGAAGTTGAATCAGTTTCCGGCATGGTTGATCGAGCTAAAGCTCTGATACCATACTAGAAAACGAACTCAGATGAAAAGTAGGAGATTTCAATTATATTGATTACAAGAGTCAATACAAGTATTTATAGTAGAATACAAGTAACTAACTCTAACAGCCTGTATAACAGCACTAACAGCCTAAGGTATATCTAGAAGGTTCCAAGCTATTTACAATAAACGTATGTAACATTATTTTATATTCCTAACAGTTTTCCTATACAGCGAAGACTACAACTTGAACTGGACCAAGTCCATCCCATCCAGGGTGACGCATTATATCAATTACTATTTGTTAGTTCACTGGCAATTATCTACTGATACTGTAATTCCTCATATAAGAGAGAATGGACTGCCTAGGGAGTATGAACTATGAACAACAATTTCAGCAGAAAAGCCAAGGGCTTTAGGTTCTCAGTTAGTCAGTTTTCAAGCAAGACCAATCCTAGAAATTCAGAATCTCTATACATCCTAGTCTTTATTCACATTCTTCCCCTTCCCTTCATAATATTCATTTGTCCACTGGTACTGGTAGTTATCATCTGCTGTTTTTGGACTCTTAGAAACACCCTATATAAGGGATAAGTTGACTCCCCATGAAATACAAGGTCAGTGTAAAAGGTAAGGAAGTTTTCAAGCAAACCAAAACCTAGAAAGTACAGGATCTCAAACAAGCATTAACCTTTTTACATTTTCTTTCCATTCACAAATAAGCCAGTAACGTTTTTCAGCACATCACTTTTGGTTCATTGCCAATGTCATGGGCGATCCGATAGCTGAACACCCAAAAATAAAAGAACTTCAGGAATCCAATCGGTCTAGTATGGCCCATCTTTTAGTATCCAGCCAGTTGTGGGGACTGGGTAGATAACCCATCTTTGAATGAAGATGACTTCATTGGCAATCATGATACACCAAGTTGATATTTGAACCGTTATGGAAAGGGAGGATTCTAGCCTCCATTCACACTCTTTCTCTTCCCTTCGCATTAAGCTTCTAACAATTCATCACATGACATGACGCCTCCAGCACTCAGTTAGTAGCGCCAAGTTTTGTTTCCGTGCCTAACCTGAGCTGAGTTCTGCTTATCAACCCAAAAAAGTGTTGTCGACCAAAAAAGTGCATTAAGCTTTATGGGTCAAGGTGTTGTCGACCAAATGTGAAAGAAGATAGGCGATATACTAGAAAAGGAGAAGACAATTTGGTAGAAGCAGATGCCCAGTTTTTCTGATAATTGTGAACTCTGGTTATCTCTCCTTCCGGAATTTTTCCTCATTCTGATCATTTAAATCCTTTTATCTATATATATAAATATTCTTTTTATCCCTTTTATTCTATCTTTTTTATGTATATTCATCTCTTTTATATTATCTTTTTATCTTTCTTTTCTTTCTTTTCCTTTTGGTGGTGATATCATGTATCGATTCATGTTAGCCAACCCAAAATCTTTTGGGACTAAGGCTTGGATGTTGTTGTTGTTGTTGATGATGATGTTGTATTCTGACCATTTAAAACATGTACAGGACCATCAAAACTCTATGCTCTTTTGAAGGAAAGCCGCTATACTAATGACGCTTCTTGATTCTATGTTGTTGATAACATGGTCAATTTGAAAGAAGTAATTAGCATAGAGACCTTTCCAGGAATTCTCAAATTTGAAATCCGAATGTAGTTAGTCCCTATTGGAGGACACAGTTATTTCTTGTACTTCTGGCGGAATATTGAGCCTACCAATAATACTTTTTTGAAATAACATGGTGCCTGGAACAGTTAAACTTTTCAAGTGGTTTCTTTAGAACTTTGTATCTTGACCTAATAAAAAAGGTTGGTTAAGGGCATATTTGTCAGTTTGAAGATTTGAAAATGACTAGTGGCAGATATAAAATGACATGAAATGATGTGCAAAAAACATTAAAGTTTGGGGAATTTAGGATCACATGTTACATTTCGGAAAAGATTGGAAGATTAAGATATGGCAGGTGGCCTTAGTGGTTTGACATTGAGGTTCAATTTTGTTGTTGATTTATGGAAAACTATATCATGACTTGTTTTTGCATAAGTTTAAGTGTTTGTAGTGTGGTTTGAGATTCAACTTTTCTTTTCATGCGGGGAGCTATGTGGATTGCAGTTCACTTTTTTTTTTTGCTTCGTTCCTTTCCAAACCCTTTGATAATTGCCAAAGGATTCAGAAGGATTCAGCACAATTCTTGATTTGATATGTTCATTTGCTGTATGTTATGTTTTCGGAGTAAAAAAGTATCCTTGATCTCAGGCATAATCTCAACTTAGCTTCCTTGATTTCAGGCAGAGCTTCAACTTAATTTCCAGAAACGAAGAGGTCATGGTTTGCTGTCAGTTCTGCGTCCGAAGTTCAGTGGGATGTTGGGTGAAGCTCTAGATGTGGCCGCTAGATGGAGTGGAGATGTAGTGAGTATCTAAACCATTCTTCCAGTGTAATATTTTCTTCTTTTTTAAAAAATAAACTTGAGGATTATAATTTTTCACATCGAGGAACTATTTTTTTATTTTAAACTACTCCCGTCCCTCTAAAATGGGGTCACGAGGAAGCTGCCCAATTTTTACGAATGGTGTAATTGTGTGGCTGTTATTAATTTGTAAAGTATGGATAAAGTAAGAATTAATCAAACAGACGAAGAAGGAAAGATGAGACAAAGGTAATGGGACGAGTGAGTAACTAACAAGTCTTTAACTTTACTTGTTTATATTTGCTCAGTCTTTGTTATCATAATAAGAATATTAGCACTGTACATTTGGGGGGCAACTTTTATAATTGAACCTATTATATACGAAGTATGTATTTGTATACCATCTTTCCAGCTCTTTTTTGCTTAAGTTAAAAATAAATGAGATTGATCTGCATGATCCTTGCTTGTTGAAAGTTGGAAATCTTATGTTTTTTGAAGCAGTGGTGTCTTTTGTTTGAATCCTCATGTTAGTAATACTCCCTCCGTTCTTCAATAATAGTCCTCCTAGGTTTATTGTGGTTTTAAAGAGGAAAATAGTAGGGGTAGTATAGACGGTGTAGGGTAAATGTAACTAACAAATTATATGTAATTTTAATCTCATCTTTTCACACTTAATATTAAAACATATTTGTACTTATTTATTTTCAACTTAAATTAGTTATAATTACATATTTTGTTCATCACATATATTACATTATTCTTTTTAATAAATTATAAATTGTCTAATTAATTATTTTTTCTGAAATTTTTTATGATACTTTTATAGTGTGGATTTGCCCCCCTTCACCGAATTTTGTGGATACACCACTGTCTGCCGTCCTCCCTACACTAGTACGCACACTTGTAATACAAGCCTCATACGTATAGATGCTGATATATTCACGTGATATGCCTTTTCTAGTTAAGGCACACCAAAGGACTTTTCGAGGTACCCTATCATATGCCTTTTCTAAGTCAATGAACTCCAAATGCTGATTCTCTTTAGTGTCTCTATACTTCTCCACAACGTGTCTAAGAAGGTGATTAATCTCAGTTGTTGAGCGTCCATGCATAAAATTGAATTGATTCTTCAAAATTTTCACACTTCTTCAGAGTCTTTGCTCAATTACTCGCTCCCAAAATTTTATGGTGTGACTCGTAAGCTTAATCCTTCAATAGTTGGCACATTCGTGTACAACACCCTTATTCTTAAATAGGGGAATAAGAGTACCCTTCCGCCAACTCACTAGCATTTTGTTGTTTCTGCAAATCATGTTAACAAGCGTGTTAACCACTAGATGCCTCTTCTCCCAAACTTCTCCAGGCCTCAATTGGTATGCCACCTAGACCATTGCTTTCTTCTATCCCATCTTTCTCAAAGCCTCTTTAACTTCTGTGGTTTGGATACTTCTCACAAAATCCCGATTTATCATACAATCTGGTATTGTGAGATCATTAATACCTTGCACTGTATTCTCGTTGAACAAGGTATTAAGTATGACCTCCAGCTCTCTTATTTCCCCGTCCTCCATTAGCACCATTTGATCGATCTTCACACACTTAACTTTTTTGATATCTTGAGTCCTATGATCACGAAGACAATCAAGTCTGTAAATATTTTTTTCTCTTTCCTTAAAGTTCAATTTTACATACAACTACTTGTTCACTTTCTCTCTTACTTCCTTTACGCCTTTCTTTGCTTTTCTTTTAGCCTCCTTGTACTCCTCTATGTTCTTTAGATTCTCCAAGTATCTCCTTCGCCACTTTGTTAATGGGCAACTCCATCTTCCCCAACATTTTGTGTGCAAAGCTTTTCTGGAGATCCCCTCGAGCCTCCACCACTTATCTTTGGCTCCACTTGTTGGTTTATTTATTTCGTATTTTTTTGGACGTAAAATGACCTAATATAATAGTTATTTGTTTTTATAAGTGAAATTATAATTTTTAGTTCCAGGTTACCGTGCCGTTTCCATATCTTGTTATTTTGAGATTAGAGTTTCCCCATCCCCATTTTTGTCAATGCTACTTAGACTAATAGTTAAAAGATTTTACATAATTACAAATGATCGTTAGAATATAATCTAATTGATGTGCAAAATAATTGGTAACAAGGAAAGATTGGCTCTCCTTTTACAATTATTACCTGTATTGACTCTTTCTCAAGCTGCATGAATGAAGCTCTATTGCTATTGGTTCATTGCTGTCATGATACGGAGAAACATTGACATGGTTGTCTTGTACTGTAATTGTAGAAATAAATGTAGTATGAGTGGCACACTCCCTTTTATGAAATCTAACCATAGATTGCTTGTTGGCTTTTTTGTGTAGATTACCATTGAGAAAACTATTTTGGAACAAAGTAACAGCAAGTACGAGCTTCAGGGTGAATACGTTTTGCCTGGATCCCGAGATCGAAGCTCATCTGGAAAGGAAGGAGGTAGTTTATTTCATAGGGCAATGACGGGCCATCTGGGTAGTGTAATATCTTCCATGGGAAGATGGCGAATGAGACTAGAGGTTCCGAAAGCTGAGATTTCAGAGATGCTTCCACTGGCACGCCTTCTCTCTCGAAGTTCAGACCCTGCTGTTCAATCTCGATCAAAGGTTAGTGTTTCTCTTCTTGAAGCATGATATCAGCTTTTACCTATGTACTACGTGAACTGTACTGACCATGGTATTGCCTCGAAAACGTGCCCCATTTACTAGCACATTCATGATTGTCTACATGTTTCCCCACCCCAAAGTGGCTCCTCTTTTGTTGTCTGTTTTGTATAATCCGATAAAGTGTAGCGAGTAGAAGCTATTTTCGCATTAAGTTTCTTAGTTTTGTCCTATATTTTAAGGATGTGTTCGGCTATATCCCTTGATGCTTTTACATTCAGAGTGTCCTGATTTCCAAACCCCTCCTTTGGCATTTTTATCTTATACATGTGCATCTTATGAATTGGGGATTTATTATCCCTTCAAGTTTCTTAGTTAAGTGTTGGGGGGTGAATACAATTATTCCTAGTTAAAGAAACTCTAGTGTCGCTATATCATAGATAAGGCCCATCATAGATAATGATGTGGACCATTCTTGCTAATTGCTATGCATATTTGTCATGATATTAGATCTTATTTGACACTTGACAGTGGAAGAAAAATAGTGAAGTGTTTGGGGGTGTTGAATATATTTGAACCCTGGATCGAAAACTATAGTGTCGCTATTCCCCACTATAAGGCCCATCGTAGTTCTAGATAAGGATGTGGACCATTCTCGCTGATTGCTATGTCTATATTTTATGATTTTTATACATATTTAATAGAGAAGGGGGGTAATAGAATGGCCACTAAGACCAATTGATAGAGGAGAACGCTAAAATACCTAAACACTCCACACTTACACAGATCCCTATAAGAAAAAGGAAATGTAGCTGCAGGTAAACGAAGTAGAAAACATAACCCTAAAATAAGGTGAGGGGAAGGAAAGTCTTTTTTTCTAACGTTCCTTGTTAAGTTGCCGGATTGTTTTTCAAGTGGTGGTCTAAAGAAACGTGAAAGTAAACACAGATAGGCACCATAGAAATTGCATTGCGTGTTCTGATAACTCCGGCTTATGCGTAAGTGTTGTTTTTTAGCCGTTGGCAATCACTACATAGTCAAAACTGCAGTAAAACACTGAAGAGATCCCTACACACAATGTGCACTTCTGAAAAATCGGAAGTGCACATTGAGAGATGTGCGAGAGGAGCCAAAGGAAAACAAGAGCATCGTCCAATACGAGCAAAGTCACAATGCAAGGAGCTAACCCATTGGTTCTGAGAGTATAGAACATCCTAGCTTTATTCCCAAAAGATTTTGGAGTCGGCTAACATGAATCCATACATGATATCAGAGCTAAAAAGAGAAGAAAAATAAGAAAAATAAAAAGATAAGGTATGATAAAATGGATAAGATAAAGATAAATATAACATAAAAATAACATAAGAACATATGAAGGACAAAGAATAAAAAGATAAAAGATCATAAGAAAAATAAAAGATAAAAGTAATGTAAGAACATAGAAAGATAAAGAATAAAAAAGAAAATGATAGAGTGAGAAAAGAGATCACTCGTCCACACGAATATGCGCCCTCCATTTTATTATCTCCAAAGCATATTAGTTTTGATTCCTCTAATTCAAGTCTATTTGAGTCTTCCTCTCCCTCGTCTCCACGCCTCTTCTCCCCCACCTCTCAACTCGTCTAACAGGTGCATCACTCGGTCTTCTACGCACATGACCAAACCACCGCAACCGAGACTTCTGTATATTATCATTTTAGGTGTTACTCTCACCTTTTGTCCGATTATCTCATTTCTCAAGCAGCCTTTTCTGGTATGTCCACACATCCAACACATCTCAACCACACTCATCTTTTGAATGTGACATTGTTTCACCGCCCAACAGTCTACGCCATACATTAATGCAAACCGATAAAATTTACCCTTGAGTCTAGTCAGCATACCTCGATCGCATAGAAATCCTAATGCACTCTTCCATTTCATCCACCTGCTTTGATTCTATGGGATACATCATCATCTAATTCACCAACCTTCTGAGTTATGGAACCCAGCTAATAGAACATATCACACACCGGTATCGCCTTGCCATCAAGAGTAATCCCACTGTTGCTACTACCTCTACCTCCACCAAACTTGCAATTCATATGCTCAGTCTTGCTCCGGCTCAATCTGAAGCCCTTGGTCTCCAATATTTGTTGTCGTACTTCCAACTTTGCTTCAAGCCTATGAAGGTGGGCTCAAGCCCGTCCCCGCCTTCGGTAAACCCACAGGGGCCTCAGCCTCTCTTCCTCCAAGCTGAGCTTCTGCTCTCTATCCATGATGATACCGATATACTTACGTGATGTCTGTTCTAGTTGGGTCCCACCAAAGGCTTCTCGAGGTACCCTATCGTATGCTTTTTCTAAGTCAATTAACACCAAATGCAGTCATCCTTCAGACACAAACACAAAATTGTCGTCCTGAGAGTATATGCTCACAAAATTGTAGTTAATTAAACTTCTGTTCTTAGTTTCTTTGCAAATCTGTTCTTAGTTTCGTTTTTTTGCATTAGACTTTTAGTTTATTACTTTATTATTTTGTCTACTTGTTTGCTACTTCTTGTATAATAGTGAGTGTAAATGTGTAATGCTCATCTATAGTTTGTTCTCATTAATAAAGAGACTCCTTAAAACTCTACTTTTGTTATTTCCAATCAGTCTTTGTCCTACTGCACGGTGCATGGCATGATACACTTCTTATTTAACACACACGTTTCCAGTTCTTCACATATGCGGCAACCAACGATAGGGAAAGCTTACAAAGCCTCCAAGCAGTTTACATCACTAGTTAATGACGTCATATATCCGGAGACATTATAAGGTGCAGAAGCCTGATGCTGGTGTTGCTGTAGGGTTTGGCAGGAACAATGACCTAAAATGCCCGATGTGAAGTTTTGTTAACAAGTTTGGTGATCCATATCATTGGTAGGCGCAATAGATGAAAATCGTAACGGTCTTAGTTGTGAACTGAATTGAATGAACATGACTGTATAGCCCTAGTGGGCTGAGCGCAGTGTATGCCAGGATGAAGTGTGTCTAGTTAAGTTGAATATGAATGAATTCCTATTTGACATAACACTGTTTTAACAAATAATAAAGGAAATAAAAAGTGTTTGAATGCTTAGGATGCTTGGATATAGAATTGTTTGACGTAACACTGTTATAATTAATGAATTATAAATTAATTTAGGAAAGAAAAAACTCTGGTTTAGAGCAGTGCATTTTATTTGTGTAGCTTGGTTATGCACGCATTTCATTTATAATGTGCAGGACCTTTTTATCCGAAGTTTGCAATCAGTGGGACAATATGCAGAAAGCCTGCAAAGTCTGCTGGAGGTACTTCCTTGTGAATAAAATTTTCTTATCTACTGTATATGAAAATCTTATCTTCTATGCACGTGAGCTGTTGAAAATAAACAATGCATTTTGGTACTAAAGAATTTTTTTTGTTAGTACTTTGTTCCCTGACATTTTTTATTATTTGCATATCAGGAAATTCATGTTCTTTTTACCCCCTCAGATGAAGTTGTCCTTGAAGACTATAGCCTTCCCGGATTGGCTGAACTTAAAGGTCGCTGGTGTGGTTCTTTAGATGCAAGTGGAGGAGGCAATGGAGACACATTAGTACGTCCAATCAATAAGATCTTTCTAATGATCTTTGAGAATCCCAATGATGCTTCGATATTTTAGCTTCATTAGTATTTAAAATTTTGTAACAACATGGGTATTTTTATTAATCAAGCTAAACTACATGCCTATAGTTTTTTTGTTGACATTCATGATTTTATTTGACAAGTGCTTTCCGTTTATCATCTGCGAAAGGTTTATTTGAATATTTAATGGAAACTTCCTGAAGTAGGAGTAAGAACAATGTAGATTTTGAATATAGGAGTACTATATAGCTTTCCCAAAACATGAGTAAATTACTGTCATCTTGAAATCGTACTGCTATATTTTGGCATTTCTAGACATTAATATGGCAGTATTTTCCAAGCATGGGAGTAATTACTCCTATTTAGGTAAAAAAACATAGTACCCTATTTTTGAATTTCAAATTGTTTTACTCCTATTTAGGGTAACTTCTGATATTTGAATGCCCTCCCCTTTGTAAAAACATAGCATGTTTTTTCTCTTTGGACAGCTTTGGTATCCTTCAAAAATGGATGTCATCTCATTTCCTAGAAAAAGGAGTGTTTAGCTTCAATTTTAGCCTCATCTCTCTATTGCTTGTAATAAAGACTGATTTAGGTTCCGAGCTCAGTGCTTTTCACTTGTATCTCATATTGAAAATTTGAAATGTATATTTGCTAGGCTTTTCTTGACAAATTAAGGAATCTAAGACACTCAAGGAAAAGACTGCAAATAACTAGACTTCTTAATGTTTGACCAATAACTCAATATAGACTCTTAGCATAATCTCTAATTATTTGGTGATATTACAGGCAGAATTTGACTTTCATGGGGAAGAATGGGAGTGGGGAACTTATAAGACACAGCGTGTTCTAGCAGCTGGTGCATACAGCAATGAAGATGGTTTGCGGCTAGAGAGAATCCTAATCCAGAGGGATAATGCCACAATACATGCTGATGGAACCTTGCTTGGGCCAAAGACCAATATGCATTTTGCTGTTCTGAACTTTCCTGTTAGTTTGATTCCTACATTGGTTCAGGTCATTGAAACTACAGCCACTGAAGCTGTTCATTCTCTGCGGCAGTTTTTAGCACCAATAAAGGGTACACTGCATATGGAAGGGGATCTTAGAGGAAGTCTTGCTAAACCAGAATGTGATATACAAGTAAGGCTTCTTGATGGTGCCATTGGCGGAATTGATCTTGGGCGAGCTGAAATTGTTGCTTCCTTAACTCCTGCATGTCGTTTCCTTTTCTATGCTAAACTTGCACCAACCATACAAAATGGTCATGTCCACATTCAAGGAAGTATTCCTGTAACCTTTGTCCAAAACAATGTAGAAGAAGAAAATTCAGGAACTGTAAAAAATGAAGTGATGTGGAAACGTTATTCTGGTACAGATAAGAATATAGGCATTACAGGTGAAGGTATTGATAGGAGGGGGTCTAAAGAGAGAGGTGGGGAGGGTTGGGATATTCAGATGACAGAAAACCTCAAGGGTTTGAACTGGAATGTACTAGATTCAGGAGAAGTAAGGATAGACGCTGATATTAAAGATGCTGGCATGATGTTGTTAACTGCTCTGTCTCCTTATGCCAACTGGCTACAAGGCAGTGCTGAAGTTATGCTCCAGGTAAGTCAAATTGATGTTGTGAGATTGTGCACAGTTAATAGTAAACTTCATGAATGGCTTGATTTCTACTCCCAGGCCCCAAAACTATCCTGGTTTTATGAGTCTTCTTTAATTTCATAGGTTAGTGGAACAGTTGAACAACCAGTACTTGATGGATCTGCATCATTCCACAGGGCAACAATATCTTCACCTGTGCTTCGAAAACCACTTACCAACCTTGGCGGTTCTGTTCTTTTGAAATCAAATAGACTGCACATCAGTTCTTTGGAGGGCAGAGTAAGCAGAAAAGGGAAACTGTCATTGAAGGGTAATTTGCCACTCAGAACAGGTGAAATAGCAGCTGATGATAAAATCAACCTAAAATGTGAAGGCTTGGAAGTACGGGCCAAAAATATCTTAAGGTATTCTAATGTGTATTCATCATATAATCTGAAGTTGTCTATGGTTTGTATCTTCTGTAGACGTCTCTTCTTAACCTAATTCTCTGGGTTTGATGGTAGTGGTTGATGTGGTCCATGCTATGCATATATTTTGAGATCATTTTCACATTTTTATGTTGACTTTGCATTTGTTACTTGATTGTTGTCCCCCTTTCACAATTTCCTTTTTTCCAAAGCTGATGGTTCCCAACATCCAGTGGTCAGGTTGACACTCAAATGCAAATAAGGGGGTCCATATTGCAACCTAACATTTCTGGAAAGATAAAACTAAGTCAAGGTGAAGCATACCTACCACATGACAAGGGCAGTGGAATTGCTCCTCTTAATAGAGGCACATCGTATCATACAAGGCTTCCTGATGATGCTTACAATCGTTTAGTTGTGTCAAAGTATGTTTCACGATTTTTTAATCTAAAGCCGGCTGCGTCCAACCTCCAGCTTCATCAATCATCAGGTAATGAAGCATCTGACCTTTATTTTTATGCAATTATTCTAAAAGTTTAAGTAGGGGAGGCCTAACAACTTGTTTGGATGGGTAAATGGGGGGTTGAAGATGAGGATGACCAAGCATTGCAGCTAATTTGCTTTTCTGTATGCTTCTGCTTTGTGATCAGAAGTACATATTGGTATGCAATATGGCCAATGTAAATATTACCATCTTTAAGTGTGTTATGACTCAAACCAGCTTAGGATAAGCTTGTTTATTCCAAATATATGTTATTCAATTCTTTTTTTAAGGCTGCTCCAAGTGCTTCTTTTCTCTATTTCTTCTCTTCGTACAGCATGTCTGAATTACTCCAACTCTGACATTTTAATGTGTTGACAGATGTTCTGTGCCTATTACAGATATCACATATATTGTGTTTCAAACTCAACACCAAATGTTCATATGGCTGCTTTAGGAGGATATTTATTGTTTGGTGTAGCTCATGTTCAATTGTTAAAACTTTTTATAATTACTCACAGGTAAACATATTGAAGATGATAACAGCATGGTGAAAATAGACAACCCTAAACTTGATGTCCGCCTTTGTGATTTGAAGCTTGTTTTGGGACCAGAACTGAGGATAGTCTATCCTTTAATTCTCAATTTTGCTGTCAGCGGAGAGCTCGAGTTAAATGGTGTTGCTCATCCAAAATGGATAAAACCCAGAGGAATTCTGACATTTGAGAACGGTAATGTGAATCTTGTCGCTACTCAGGTAAATATTGTTTGTGTTTTTGTTATTGTTGATACTTTTGATTTCTATGGGTTATCTTGGAGCTTACATTTTCCCTTGTTCTTTAGTGTTGGTTTTTGCAATCCATTTCATGAAGTTTTTTCTAGTTTGTTCTGCTGTTACTTCCATTGGTTTATTACTTAAATGTGAAGGCTTGAAAGTACTAGCAATATCTTTTGCTATAGTTTATTCTTTTTCTATACAAGTGTATCAACCTCTTTTTAAGAACCAATGTTTTTATTGATATAATAAATTGTTGACTACTTTTCTAACACTGTATGTTTAATGCGCCTGACCGTGGGGGCCTAGGGTTTCTATCAATCCTCAAGAAGGAGATTTTTATGCTCTAAGCTTGATACAATAGCTATACATGTAATATTGAACATTGGAAAAAGTTAAACTTCAAATTAGAAATTTGGGTTGAAGTTGAACTTCACCATAACTTAAACTTCTTGATTTGAACTTCACTTATACTTTGACTGGTACTATTGAACTTGTGTGAGTTCTGGCAACATATGCATACTCAGCTTGAAGTTGCACTTATCATTACTTGATTTTAATTTCACCAAACTTTTTGTATTAACATCTCTCGAATAAGAAAAACACATTACTGCTCTCAAACACCTATCTTGATATCCTATAATTATAATAAAAAGACACCTTTCAAAAGGAAATGTAGAAGTTCAACAATTGTGTTGTGCACTACTTGTGCGAGAATAAGCGAGATGTAAAAGCTGATTGAATGACTGTAAGACAATTAGCATAGCTATGTACAACCATGTAAGCTCAACATGTTAGCCTTTAGAAAGTTGTAAGTCGAGGGTTTTAAGTCAGTAGAAGTCTTTTTATTCAAACAAAATACATGATTCAAGATTACTCCTCAAACTTTCTACGAAGTTTATCTTGTTTTAACCTATCTTTGAGCATTCACTACATAATCTTAGCACTAGTTTTCCAATCAAAACTATATGTCAATAATAAGCATTGCCATTCTTTGTGATGGTTCATATGGTTGGAGGTATTAAGGTGTAAATGATAAATAAATAAATAGCAATCTAATTATATTTCTTTCTTCAAGCTTGTCTATAAAACTATAGAATGTTTAATGCTTACTGCTTAGTATGCCATTTGATCTTTTTTATTCACAATTTTTTAACTTAGGTGAGGCTTAAGCATGATCATCTGAACATAGCAAAGTTTGAGCCTGATAATGGACTTGATCCAATGCTGGACTTAGCTTTGGTTGGTTCAGCGTGGCAATTCAGGATCCAAAGTAGGGCTAGCAAATGGCAGGACAAGATAGTTGTCACATCAACCCGCTCTGTGGAGCAAGATGTCCTGTCACCTTATGAGGTATGAAGTACTTTTTATGAGGCTTTGTTTTGCTCTTTTATTTGAAACCTTAAGTGAAACTCACTCTTTGACGAAATTCAGCCAAAGGAAACTTTCAGAACAAAATTATTAGAAGCTTTTTAAAATTTGAACTGCTGTTTGTTGTTGCAAGTGGTCTAAGAAAATTTTTCATTACATAATGATAAGTGGTGCAGAAAACCCTAGAAATTATGAATTTGGAGTGCACCCGGAAAATAATCATTCATATAGTTTTTGCACAAAATTTTACGTATGAAAATAGTGTTTTACCATATTTGTGGTAGGCCCGGCCTGGTTTTGTCTCCTAGCTATGCCCCTGTTAATGATTACCTTGTGAACAAGCATTTGGGTTCTCGAGTTTTTGTTATGCAAACAGAAGGGTTTCATTTGAGAAAATATTCAGTGTGTTTTGTACTAGATAATGTAAATTTTCTTCCTGTACGAGTTGTATGATTTCTGTGTGATGCAGTGTTTTTACTGTGCTACATATTCTATGCCAAGTAGTTTTGTAAATGGGAATTGGTTAACTCAGTCAAGGTAATCATTTTAGAAGGTGATTATGATTTGAACAGGCTGCAAGAGTATTTGAAAGCCAATTAGCCGAATCCATCTTAGAAGGTGATGGCCAGCTCGCTTTGAAGAAGCTTGCTACTGCAACGCTGGAGACATTGATGCCTAGGATTGAAGGGAAGGGCGAGTTTGGACAGGCTAGATGGAGGCTTGTTTATGCACCTCAGATTCCGAGCTTGCTGTCTGTCGATCCCACTGTTGATCCTCTTAAATCTTTAGCCAACAATATTTCTTTTGGTACTGAGGTTGAAGTACAACTGGGGAAGCGCCTTCAGGTTCATGATTTTTAAATCCTGTCCACTCCAAATATTTTCTTTTGTTTGCTTCATATTTATCATTTTATCTTTAGCTTTTTCCTTCTTTCCCCTACTTAAACCCACGTTATGTATTTAAGTACACCTAAAAAAGGACAGCCCTGTGCAAATTGGCACCCCCTTGTCATTTTGACAAGATGCAACTCCCAAGACTTGAAACTGTGACCTCTCGGTCACATAGCAACACCATAACCGGTGTGCCAAGGCTCCCTTTCATATGTATCAAGTACACATGCACAAAATCAGCGTTGTTAATCCCAGATAGCTGAGCGTAGCGGCCAGCCTTGAAAATGCTATAGCGGTATAGCGGATAGCGGGATGACCGCTATTCAGACTACTTTTAAGTATAATACATAATTAACTAGAAGCATATAATTGCATTACATACACATTAGTAAATTATGATATATGCCATTGAAAGTTGCAAACATCTTAACATTCTTAAATCCTAAATTAATGGAAAATATTCCTTAGTTTCTTGAGCAAAACATATGATACTATTAATGATTAAAACATCTAAGTCAAAACATTGAATAAAAAACAAGTTCCTTGTTTAAGCCTTGATAAATTAATAGTCTATCAGTCTACCACTGGAATGAAACAAAGAGGAGGGTAGTATGTGTCATTCTTGTACAAGATGGAGCACAGGTCGTCAAACATGCGGATTATTTTTGAGATATTACCCACAATAGGACTAAAACAGTTTGAAAATTCCAAAATAGGACTGTCATGTTTTTATTCCCAAAATAGGACTAAATACTGCCATGTTTTGGCAGTACCAGACGTCAAACATGGCAGTATTTTCTAAACATGGCAGTAATTAGTCCTATTTTGGGAATAAAAAACATGACAGTCCTATTTTGGAATTTTCAAACTGTTTTAGTCCTATTTCGGGAACTTTCCCTGATAGGGACCTACCTATTAGTTTAATAATAGAAAGAATAATAATAATAATAATAATAATAATAGTAATAAGGGCTTATTTAGTATTCTGGTATAAATAGACATGTAAGGGGGAGTTAGAGGAGGTTGTTTAGACTTTGAGTCTGGGACTGGGAAGTTGGAGTTTTATCTCCTACTTTGGGACTCTGTACACTGTTCATCTCTGTTAATGAAGTTTGGTTACTTTTGCATCTTTTGTTCATATTTCTGTGATTTCCGTCTGTGATTGGTGAGGATCTAACATTCCCATTATTTTTTTATTTTAAAAACATGGAGCCGTTTTTAAGGGTTCTACACTTCTGCGTACGTGTACAAGATTTTAAGTTGCTTACCATTTAGTTTTAAAAGTCTACTTTACCCCTGTCCATCTGCAGTAAAAAAATAAACGCAGAAAAACCCTAGCAGACCTTCGATTCCAAAAAGCGCTGCTATAGCGTCCGCCTCTACCGCTATAGCGCTCCCGCTATAGCGCCTGCTATGTCCGCTGCACCTAAACGCCCCGCTACAGGAGGTCTAGTAGCGCCAGACCTCTCCTCCCCTCCGCTCCACCGCTATAGCGCGCGATTGACATCACTGCACAAAATTAAATTGCAGCCTAGTTTTCACTTTGATGGGTAATGTTAACATTTCAGGTTCCACAATACTGAATTCTCCAACAACATTCCTACTGAAAGTCTGAAATTCACTTTCATTTAGTCAGGAAGTTATTTGCATAAAACATTTTATTCACCAACGCCTTAATTATCCTGAACTTTATAGTATGAATTAGTAGTCTGGAACTAGTCAACACTGAATTAATGCCAAAGACTGGCAAATTTTATCCCATCCCTTCAGCCACAACTTTCTAAAGAATGGTAGTGGTATGAAATCCGAAAACTGTCTAAAGACTTGACACATGTTTTGTCAATATGCAATGAACATCTTGTTTTCACCACCTATCATTTACTAACCCTTCTTTTCTGAATGGTTTGATGCAGGCATCTGTGGTTAGACGGATGAAGGATTCAGAAATGGCAATGCAGTGGACTTTGATCTACCAACTCACAAACCGTCTGCGTCTACTCCTACAATCTGCTCCACACAAGCGTCTGCTATTTGAGTATTCAACCACATCACAATAATAGGCAAACTGGCTACATGGCCACTTAGATGTCACATGGTACACAATTATGTTTTAAGGTATATTCTTTTATAAATCTGCTAGTAAATGAGATCGGAAAAGTGAGTATAGATCAATGGTGTGTTTTATCTTTTAGTTCGTTTCCTGCAGATCCTGTGATGCCCGACCCCAAATTCCCTAGGTCCGAAGGGCTGTCCTACACAATGTAGTGGATAATGAGCACGTTAGTTGTTCCCTTTTTAAGCCCTAGTTATGTAAATACATCACTATTATTTTTGTTGGATTTGGTGCTCAAATAAGAATAAACATGTTAATAGTTCTTTCGCTAAACTTGTTTTCATATTTTGATGCTCCAACTTTTTACCGTTTGGGGACTTGGGGCTAGGGGTGGACCGGTTCGGGCCTGGGCCCGGCCGGGCCTCGGTTCATGAAAGGGGAGGCCTGGAACCGGCCCGGGTAACCCCGGGTCCGGTCCGGGCCGGGTAACCCCGGGTCCGGTCCGGGCCGGGTAACCCCGGGTCCGGGCCGGGCCTCGGTTCTTATAATTTTTTTTTTTGGCTTTTCCTAATTAACCCCCAACCGTCCCCCCTCACCCCAAAACCACCTAAAATGGCCCATCATACCCAGCCTAACCCAAAAACTTAAAAAAAAATCAAAAAAAAAAAGAAAAAAATATAATTTGGCCCGGACCGGGCCCGAACCAGCCGGGACGGTTCACGATTTAGGAGGCCCGGGCCCGGCCCGCCTACCGAACCGGGCACCAACCAGTTCACCGGGCCGGTCCGGGCCCGCACAGTAGCGGGCTGGTCCGGTTCCGGGCCGGTTGGCCCGGCCCGAGTCCACTCCTACTTGGGGCCAGCTCTCACTTTTTCGGTGACCATGGAAAACGAATGAAGAATGTGTTCCCTAAAGAATGAAAGCATTAAAAGCCTAAAATTATAGTATAAGAAAAAAAATTGATGAAAACAAAATACTTTTGTTTCAATCAAATGATGCTTTTAATTAATAATTAATATACTACCTCCGTGGCTCTGTGCTTAAACCAAGTTCCCGCCATCCTTTTTTGGATGTCCTGAACCAAAATCTTCAATTTTTGATAAAATGTCTTTGCGTGTCGCAAAATAAATTCAATACTTGCACTAATACGTAGTATAGTGAAGTAGAGTTCGTATCCACAGGGAAATGAATACTTTTCTTTTATGAAACTAGTAATTAAAAAAAGGGTTTTTGGGATTGTTTGATTTTAAATTTTTAATTAATTAAACACTAAGATGAATGACTTATATATTTTAATTGATGAGATAAAAGACTTGGCTTTGCTACTTTTCACTTGTTGATGTCTGTTTATTTCGGTTATATCTATAATTTATCACCTTCTGAATACTCAATGTCTCAATCGAGGAGTATCCCCACTTCATTGAGGGTAGTTATTAATAAAGATTGTTCATTAATAACTCTTACTATTAGCCAAGTATAGAACACTGCCATGTACTGACTTTATAGTAGCATTTAATCTTTTTTAACTCCTTGAATCCTTGATGAAATCAATTGAGATTGACAACCTCAACACAACGGTTTTGATTTAACTAACACAATTAATCCATCTTAAGAGTATTAACCATGACCGTGCATTAATAACCCAAAGTTACTTACTTTTGAAACCATCAATGTTTAACCATCAGTTCATTGATCGTTTCTAGTAGTATAATGTCAAGATGTTAATTAATTGTCATCTTAGCAACAATTCTCAACATTAATATAGAGATAGAATAAAGGAAGAATTAATATTCAAGGGAAGAAGTAAGAAAATAACTCACGACTTTAACATTCAACCAGTTTTAAGAGCAAAACCAAGAAATGGAAGATTAACTAGCTCCTCATTTGGAGTAGTGATGGACTCGGGCCGGGTGGCCCGACCCGGAACCGGCCCGGGATCGGTACTGTTCCGGTCCGGCCCGACCCGGTGGCTTGGTCAATGACCGGTCCGGGTAGGCCCGACCTGTGGGTTTTCCGATCCGGGCTCGGGTCACCCAAAACAAGGCCCGACCTGGCCGGGCCTGGTTCGGGCCAAAACTTTTTTTTTCATTTGTTTTTAAATTTTCGGGTTGGGCTGGGTATTTTGGGCCATTTGGAGTGGTTGGGGGTGGGGGGTGGGAGGGGGGTTAATTAGGAAGAGGGGAAAAAATGATAATGGGCTCGGCCTGGCCCGGACCCGGACCAGATTGACATGTTGTCTTGAGTTTTGCTCTGTTTGAGAAGGGAGCCTACTCGAATCTTTTGCTTCCAATTTGCTCATGGCTCCAGCTATTTGACTCACTTGATTTTCCAAGTTTAGAATGCTTGACTTGGTCTCATTTTGAAATTGCACCATGTTTTGTTGCATGGTGGTCATGCTAGTAGCTAGAGTCCGAACTATGTCCTCTATTGACATGTTAGAGTTGGAGCTTTGGCCTTGATGATTTGGGAAGGATTGTTGAAAAGGTTGATTTTGTTGTTGAGGGTTCCCATATCTTAAAGTGGGATGATCTCTCCGCCCGGGATTATAAGTGTTAGAGTGTGGATCGTACCTCTTTTGTTGATGTTCATTGAAACCCAAGGCGTTGATTTGCTCTTCTTGGAGAGTTGGGCATGAATCAGTTGAATGTCCGGGCAATGTGCAAATGTCACATGCTTTCACTTCTTGAGTTTTTGAACCCAAGATAAACTCCTTCATGATTGATGTGAAACTTGCAACTTGATTTTCCAAAGTAAATGTGTTGGATTCCGCCGCAAGAACTCTTTGAGTTGATGATTTGTGGCCGAATTGTCGTGAGTTCTCGACAAACTCCGAGATCGAACTCGTTGCTTGTGACGGGTTTTGTTAACAATTCCGCCTCCACAAGCGGCATTTATCATTCTTCTATCATCATCAACAAGACCATCATAAAAGTAGAGTATGAGGTCTTGCTCTGTTTAGCCATGATAAGGGTAGCTAGCATATAGCTTTTTAAATCATTCCTGGAATTCATAAAAGAATTCATCATCCTTTTGCTGAATGTTGCTGGTTTGTTTCTTTAAGCTTGAGGAGATGGATGTAGGATAGTACCTTTCAAGGAAGCATTTTTTCATGATCGCCCATGTTTCTATACTTCCTGAGGGAAGATAGAATAGTCAATCTTTGGTCGTGTCCTTTAATGAGAATGGAAAGGCCCGTAACTTAATTTGTTCTTCTATAACATTGTTTGGTTTCATACTAGTGCAAACTATATGAAACTCCGAAAAATGTTTGTTCGGGTCCTCGCCTCGTAGACCATGAAATGAAGAAAGTAGACGGATGAGCCCCGATTTGAACTCAAATGTAGCACCTTCATCAAAAGTACGGAATGTGATACACTGAGGTTGTTGATTGAGGTTTGGAGCCGTGAGCTCCCTCAATGTTCTTGTTTCTAGAGCCATGTTGATGGGCTCTCCGGATTCGCTAGAGCTAGCGTTTGAAGATTCCTCCGAGGGTGTATGTGGAAATAAATTTCTCAACCTCTCGAAGGTTTGTTCTATCTCGGGGTTTGTTTGGTATGCTCGAAGGTTTGTTCTATCTCGGGGTTTGTTTGGTATGTGAGTAGGTTTATAGAACGGGTTTTAACCATATACTCAAACAAAGCTCATAAAAAGTAAGAAATCTTTATACTTTTATTAATTATTTTTTTATTTTTCTAAATAAAAAGAAAAATAATTGTCTCTCCCCAGCAAGGGCGCAAATTTGACGGCACTAAAGTCGTTGTGTGCCTCAAAATAAATTTAATACTAGCACTAATACGTATTATAGTAAAGTAGAGTTCATATACACAAGGATAGAAATACTTTTCTTTTATGAAACTAGTAATTAAAAGGGGGTTTCGGGATTGTTTGATTTTAATTAATTAAACACTAAGATGAACGATTTATATGCTTTTAATTAATGAGATAAAAGACTTGGCTTTGCTACTTTCCACTTGTTGATATGTCTGTTGATCCCGGTTATATCTATAACTTATCCCCTCTCGAATACTCAATCGAGGAGTATCCCCAATTTATTGAGGGTAGTTATTAATAAAGACTGTTCATTAATAACTCTTACTATTAGTCAAGTATAGAACACTGCCATGTACTGACTTTATAGTAGCATTTAATCTTTTTAACTCCTTGATAAAATCAATTGAGATTGACAACCTCAACACAACGGTTTTGATTTAACTAACACAATTAATCCATCTTAAGAGTATTAACCATGACCGTGCATTAATAACTCAAAGTTACTTGCTTGTGAAACCATCATGATTAATCATCAGTTCAGTGATCGTTTCTAGTAGTAATTAATGTCAAGATGTTAACTATTTGTCATCTTAGCAACACTCCTCAACATTAATATTGATGGAGTATATGGCCCAGGAACCCCCGGCCCACATACTTTCACTACTACGAACAGGCCCAACAGGCCCAATGGATCAAACACAGCAAACAATACTCCGGACGGACTCTGGTACGTACGTCCTCTAGCACATGAAGGCTCCAGGGGTACGTACGGCCTTCAACACATGACGTTCCCCCAGCTACGTACGTCCTCCAGCACATTAAGGCTTCCGGAGTACATACGACCTTCGACACTACCCCGACAAGATCTTCTCTGCACGCTCCAGATCGCCGCATTAAATGTGGTGTCACATCCAACCACCGCATTGAATGCGGCCACATGCTATATCGACATCACCCTGGCTGAGTTGACCCTCCATCACTGCTTACTTGCCACGTGTACCCTCATTTATTGCATCCTGCATTTATGGCAGCTATAAATAGCTAGGCCTTACTTCGTAACGGATCCCGAATCCGATCGAACACTTGAGTTCAATTAATACATATCATTTCTCTCTCTAGCTCTCCATTATCTCTAGGAGTTAATACTTCATCATTTGGTGCTCTCATTGAAAGCTAGAACAAATCAAGTGAGATCCTCTCAACCCATAATATATCACATGAACGCATGACATGGGATCCCTTCGGCCAAGATCATGGCAGTAAGCTGGTTCCCCTCCGGCACAAGACGGACGTCCGCGCAGCCTGAGCATGGGGAAAACAACTCTTTGTCTCCACTAGGCGGTCATCAACGTCCAGTCAAAAACACAATTCGCGCTTTCACCCTGCAGCAAGGGGAAACCTTAGTGGATCCCTCGGCCAG